GTATTTTTTTCTTCAAGATATCATGGCTTGTAGTGATAATGCTGTAAACTTGTGGAGGTTAACATTTTTGAAACATTACAGTATAACCAGTAGAGGTTTATATTTTGGAAATATTTTGAAAAATTACAGCCATAAACTTCTTGAGGTTAATGTTTTTGAAATATTGTTATAAATCTCCTGTTTGTGGTTGTAATATTTTGAAATACACGTCAAATAAACTTTAGTGAAGGTTAGGAATTTGGGTGTAATCACATGATTATAAGTGACTAAACTCATGATCAATTTGTGATATTAACAAATAACTGACTCTGGAATTTGGTTTCAATATGTTGTTTTCTTCACTAATCTATTAAACTATAAAAATAAAAATGTAATCTCAAATATAAACACGAAACTAGAAGATCTAATATTAAAAGTCAAGAGAAAGAATAATGATAAAGAAGGTAAGAATTAGACAATCACGATTTAGAAGGTATTTATTTAAAAAAATACCAACACTTTATTGAAAATAAAATATAATGTCTTTTTTTTCGGAAGATGACAGCAGAACGCTATTATTGTTTTTATATTCGATTCCATCATGACTCTGCAGTTTTCTCATTAGAGAAAAGTGTGCAAGGGAAAGTATCGTGTGAAGTTATTATTTGTTTATCTACAATTTTGATTGGGCAAAACAATAATCTGATAAAACTCGGACTATACGTGTACATCTACCTATTTAATAAATTTCCTGTTTTTGCCCAAATGATCTACAAATCTATTGCAAATATTCCTTTTGAAAACTTTTTTAAAATGAAATTGTGAAATACCTATTTTAAAAAAAATTCCGATGGAAGAGCGAAATAACAGTGTTTCAAACAAAGTATTATAAACAAATAACCTTTAATTATTATTTTAAATTGGTTTACAAATAATATAGCATTACTTAGAGCTGTATTTTAATTCAATTGTAATTTAATCTAAACATCAAATAATATAGTTAATATTAATATTTATGCATCTATCTGAATTTTATACAGTAATAAATAATTATTGTAAATTAATTTGATTTGATTTGACCTGAGTGTTTATCTAACATAGACTTTATAAGTAAGTTTTAAAAATAATTATATATTAATAATTTATAATACAATACTAATTTTTGATTCATTAAATATCTTTCCGAAGCCTTGACTCTTTCCTCAAGATTATTTTTAATTAATTGCCAAGATCATATTAAAAGAATTCAAAATTTTTATACTTTTATCTTAGAAACAATATATATTCCAAATATAGAAAATTTAAAAATTATGGTAAAGAAAATTTATAATTTTCTCAACGCAACTTTAATTTTGAAAAAGATAGCTGTAATTGTTTTTAAAATAAAAAATGAAAATTTAATAATTAAAACTTTCTGAATATTATAAGTGATTATAGCCTATCAGAAGATGGTTTAAATGATGAAAGTTGATGGCAAAATTATTCATCTCTTTTGTGCTTAACAGAGGTTAAAGAACATACCTGTAATTATGAATTGCAGATTATGTACTTATTACCTGTATTACAACTATTGCATGTTTTGCAATTCAAAAATCTCAATTATTTACAAGTCACTATGAATCTACACAAGTCCATATTTATTTCAATATCAAATAAAAAATAGTAATTTAATTAATTTGAAAGTTTTGATATGTAATCAATCTACAAGTATGCAAATTTAAATAATACTTAAGATGAAATAACTCAATCAATATCTATTTATTTTGAATAAAAAATTTACCAAAATAATAGATAAGTTTAATTATACAAAAATTACTCAAATATAATTGCTGATTGTTGAGATATTATCTTCTAAGTTTGCATTTTAATTTTGTTCTAAAATTTATATTGGTAAAACTTCTCTCTAAGATAACTCATCAAAATCATTCAATCAAGATGAAAAACTATCATTTTGAAGAGAACATGAGATTTAAATTTCTAAAATTTTTTGAATAAAAGTTTGCAACTATTACAAAATTGTGGATTTATATCACAATTACATTTAAAAAAATTTGCAATATTAGGACTTGTAAGATTAGTTACAGGCACCATTTTAATAGAGGCACATCAAGTAAGTTTTTAAAAATGATTGATTCCTAACATTTTTTTGGAACAAGACATATGCATATTAATACCAAAGTCTTTTAGCATCTTCCCAGTCTCCAATAGTATCTTGTGTTTACAAAATAACATTTGGAAAAAATGTACATGAATTCTGAGGTAAAGTTTTTAAAACAAATAAATATGTTAATCAATTTAAATTATACATATGCATAGAGACTGGTGTATGTACAGTGACAGTCAAAAGTATTGCATCATCTAAATAAAAATTTTAAAATTGTACAATATTACAATACTTATTTTGTAGATTTGTTGGTTCCTATTTTATCATCTTTTTTTTTATTATTTTATAAATTTATTTTATTAAAATATAATTTTTTTTGAAAGTTGCAATGCATTTTTTTTGACCGATTTATAAAAATAAATATAAACAAGTTATATACGATTTTTTCCATCAAAACACATCATGTAGCACATATAAAAATGATACTTTATGGCATACTCTGCCATCTGTAATTTTATAAACTATTCATAGTTTATTTATCTACTGAAAAAAGAACCAGAGTTTGCACACTACTTGAAGAAGAATATCCCTTCCGTTATATAGTAAAAAAAGAAAATATTTCTTAATCAACTGTCATAAAAATCAAGCAATGTAAAGATAGAACTGGTACCTTTAAAAATCAACCAAAATCTGAATATCCAAAACTCTTAACTGGCCAATATGAACAAAACACTTTGTAGTTTATTACAACAGGTGAATGTACAATTATTTATATAAAGGACTAAATTTCTCTTTGCTCAGTCCTCAGTTAGTTCAGTTCAGATAGTGAATTAGTTAGTTAGAATTAGTTTGATATCTAATCCTCAGTTCCTTTGCTAATTCTGTTAATAAAATATGTTGTGATTTACCTTATAAATAATAAATACCTGTGTGGATTGTTATTTATATCATTATAATTTCTTAGTGAAATTCTGTATTATTCTTTAATGGAATACTGAAACCCTTGTTAAAATTATACCTTGCTTTGTAATTTTGATATACAGTTTTTGTGTTATAATTCTTTACTTAGTGTTAGGAATTATCAGTTTAGTTTAGTTATATCTTATTCTTTGTGAATAGTTTAGTTAAACCCTTATAAAAATCTCATAGCCTTGTCTCTTTCAAACAAATCTGTAATATCTAAATCCTTCAAACATTACACTTTTTGTAGTATAAATTAGTTAGTAGTAATATATTTTAGTTTAGCTACTGTACCTTTAGCTAACAGTTAATTGTATCCCTTGAAGGTTGGATCATGGTCAACAATACGATCATCATGTCAAACCTATAGTCAAATTTGGATGGGGCAATATTATGGTGTGGGAATGCTTTACATCTTATAGAGTTGATAATATAGTTCAAATTTATGGACATATGGATGGTAATTTATATTGACAAATTTTGGAAAAAGACTTATTAAGAACCATTGAGTGACATGGGATGAATAAGAAATATATCACTTTTCAGCAGGATAATGATCCTAAATACACTGAACATCTTACAAAAAATTAGTTTGAGGATAATAATATTAGAGTACTTGACTGGCCTGCACAATTCCCCAATCAAACATTTTTGAAATGAAATTGATCAATGTTTGAGATGGCTTGAAACACTTATCAGAATGCAGGATCAGTTATGGGATGCAATACAAAAGATTTGGGTTGAGTTAGGAGTTGATACATGTAAAAAGTTGGTAGATACTATGCCAACCTATATAAATGATGTAATTAGAGCTAACAGTGGTTATACAAGATGATAATAACAATTTTTGAAATTTTCAATGTAATTAGATTAGTTTTTGTTAAATTTTTATATAATAAAAAATAAAATAAAATAATGGTCAAAAGAATTGTATCACTTAAATAATTAAGAAAAAATTATTTTTCAATTTTTATCTTAATATTACGCAATGATTTTTTATTTTATTAAATTAATTATTCTGACAAATTTAATAAAAAATTCTTGTAACATTATGCTACTTGAGTCACAAAATATTGCAATTTTAAAATTTTTATTCAGGTAATACAATACTTTTAACTGCCACTGTATCTCTTATTAAGATGCATGGAGGAGTTATGATTGAAGTATTTACAGATCTGATACATTGAACTTGATCCAAGTTGTTGTGATTTATTTGTTGCTGTAGAAGTAAATAAAAAAAGAGAACAAAAGAGCAAAGAATGTAGGTTCACAAAAACTAAAAAAGTGAGTATATAATAAAATATAATAGTTTTGTCAAAAATTTATATTAATATATTTTTTAAATAGAATAAATATTCAGCAACTTCTTAAAAAATATGCTGACTTCCAAATCTCCAGATATTTTATACAAATAAATCTTTAAAATTAAAATTATCCAAGACTTTCAGATCAACTCGATTATCGCATTTTTTTTTAAAAAAAATATATAATTATAAAGTATAAAATTTTTGAATTGTTATAACTCAATTGATATTGCATGATAGTATGATAGTATCACCATTCGATTCATCATATAAGATCTTTATTTTGGAACACTCTATGGTGAAAGATTATAGAATATATATATAAATTGAAATATCTCAGTTAACATTGATCCAATAGTATGAATCAATTCATCTCAATGAGATCAATAAAAATCCGATAATTATTATTAAAGATATTTTAATTTGTAAATATTATATTATCGTTTTATAGTATTAGTTAACTTTTGTAATAATCATATGATATTATGGTTATTGTCACGTGAACTCGAGCACATTTATAACGCCGTGCGATGTAGAGACAACTAGTGTGACTGGTTTTAATTTCTTCTAAATTGTTCAGGCCTTTCTCCTCCATTATCATACATATTCCTAAAAATTTTACTTATATTTCTTGCAGAATTTCACTAATCAAAATGTTACATATCTGGTACCAGGTGTGTCAGATAGGTATTCATTCTTTTGCTCAAATCCAAAAGAAATAGCAATAGCATTTTTTAAAAAAACTTTTTAATTCAAGTTTTCGCTTTGGTAATATTTTGATCTGGATTTATATCTCTATTCACGTAGTCTCGGCGTTCTTTCAAGGTACATGCAGGTTGTTTCCATTTAAACCGAGTATAACATTTAGAACATGTCTAAAAAAAGAATCAGATAAATAAAAATAATAGAATTCATCAAAATATATCGTAAATATTGCTTACAAAAATTTAGTAACAAATTTCTTCATTTCAACTTGTAAAAAATTATTTAATAGGCCGGAGGAATATCCACAAGAAGAAGATGAAAAATGTGCAACAAATCCGGCCAGTCATTATTTTTTCTAAAATTCAACAATATAATTTTTTATTTCCAATATAGTTTTATAGTTTTCCAATTCATATGTAAAATTGGGAAGCACCAAAAACTTATGTAAATTGTCATAATGAAGGAGTTCATATTGTATATTCTGAATAAAAAAGAGACATATGATGGCTCAGATGATTTTCATTTTAAAGGTTTTATTTTGTATAAAATATCTTTACCAGTATTGATGAACCATTTTCTTTATTTTATATCATCCATCAATTTGTTATTTTTTTTTATTATTAGTTATATTATTATGTATATTTTTATTAGTTTTATTTATTTACTTATTATAAAAACATTAATATGTAATGTCTTGTCCTGTAATAATGCTAATAGTATTATAGTGATTCATGGAACATTAAAATGATATTCTGAACTTAAAATGTACGAAATTACTATATAAATGAAGGAAATCCCCAGTTGTAAGATCAGACAGTTACATGTAATAAAGTTATCGTTATCTTTATAAACTAAAATATATGCAAAAGTATATATTTTTTATTAAATTATCAATATATAATTCTGTCTCGGTCTCAATAAAAATTCTATTACATCCTTTTGTCACCAGTTATTGCCTAAATCTAAGTATCTTCCCAACACAGGTCATTATATTGTTTTAAATTTATCTAAATATATATTTTATTATTTGATAATAAATAAAGTGGTTGGATTTACGCGATTTATTGAAAATTGTTTTTTAGTATACCAATTTAAGTAATAATAACCATTTAACTGAACTAATAACAGTTTTAGAACGACAAATGATAGATTCTACCAAGGTACTCTAGTAGTAGATATAAAAATCAATTATAATAATAAAATAATGTAATTTAAAATAAATTAAATTTATTACTCTTAATTATTACTCAATTATTATTTATTATAATTAATATATAAAAATATATTTTTGACTTTATTTTTAGAATTTATGTATATAAATATATTTATTTATTTAGAATTTGTTTGCAATTTGTGATTTATAACAATATACTGCAACTGAATAATCACTTAGGGATATAATTTAGTGATATAATAATTTAGTGATATCATTGATAATAAAATAAATTTCAAAATTTAATAATTAAATTAGAATTAAATTATATTCTTTAGATACTTCACATTCAAACTGGGATTATTAATGAAACATCTTATTAAGATTGATCAATAGGATTGGCCAGAATTACATAATAAATACAAAGACTTGTTTGAATCCCGTGTATTATGTAATGATGCACACATATCTCTGTCTGTCTTTATGCTCTTATATGTCTTCATCAATGCATGTGTCCAATAATTTTCTTTTTTATCTAAATGCCATCCCTTTCTTTCTTCCAATTTATCTATATGTATCAGTATCTATCTTCCATCTTCTTTTCTGACTTTCTGTATCTGTCATGCAGAAAAACGGTTTAACACAGAGTCCTGTTAGAAAATTTGGAAATAATAATAAAATTAAGACCTTTGTCTGAATAAAGGTTGGAATTGTAACAATTATAATAATAACTTATGATAATGATAATTATAATTCTTGAGCATTAAATAGTTTGTTTACCTAATTTGGAAATAAGTTGAGTTGTTGTTTAAAGAAAATAAAAAATATGAGCAAGGTTTACTTAATAAAATTATTGGCTAGACTAAATAAGGAAAAAATAAACAGAAATACTTACCCACAGTTGATAATAACAATAACAATAACAACAACAATAGACAACGACAACAACGACAATAATTATAAATAACAAGTAGTTTATTTTTTCATTTCGAGAAGACAAGGTAAGATGAGACAAGAAAATAACTTGCTTGCACGTGCGTATTACTATAATAATTATCGACAATCAATAATTAATGTGTATATATTTCAGACTTATTCCAGAAGATCTATTTCAGAAGAGCTATTCCAAACTTATTCCAAACTTATTCCCTGACTCTATTCCAAACTGTTTTTTTTTATGAATAATTAATTCGTAATTTTTATTATTAATAATAATAATTTGGATTTTCATTAAAAAAAATTCATTCAAATAAATGATCTTCTCTTGTAAGATATATACTTTTAAGGTGTACATTTTCAATTGCATTTATTATTTATGATATTATCATAATGAATCGGACCAGATAAATTGTCTTTTTCTTTAAAATGAAAAATGATTTTCATGGAATGGTGTAACATATTTATAACAGTAGTGTAAATCATCATCCTTTAAATTATTCTTTCATTTATTTTTTATAAAGTTAACCCACGATTGAAAAACAATTGATTCTGTAGTATTTATCAATGAAAGATAATAATAATTAAACTATATATTTTAAAGATAATAATAATAATGATAGTAACCGATAATAATATTCATTAAACTATAGTAAACTATAATAAACTTTAATAAAAACTACAAAACCTACAATATATTGATAAAAGTTGTTTAATTGATTGAATATCTAAAAAATAAAAAAAAAATAATAATAATAAAAATGACTTTACACGATTTAATAAAGAAAGTTTTACCAGTTATCGCAATTGGAAGTACAACAATTGTAGTGAGTGGAATTGCATTATTATATACGTTTCAACGTAATTTGATTTATACTTCTCATTATCCTGTTGGATCTCGTAAAAATGTATGCGATTATTTTTTTTTTATTATATTTTTTATCATGTTTTATCTAAGTCACATCACATCATTATTCTTTATTAATATTTTATAATTTATAATTAATATAATTGATTTAATTAAAAAATTAATTTATTTATTACCAATTTAAATAAGGTTCCTAAACCTACAGAATTTGGAATTCCATATTCACAAGTAATACTAATTACAGAAGATAATGTACTTATTCGGGCTTTTGTTTGTAAAAGACAAAGTGAAGAAGAAACAACTAGGAGACCAACAATTTTAATGTTTCATGTAAAATGATTTTAATGATTTTTGAATTATTTTTAATAATTGATTTTTAATAATTGATTTTAATTTCGGTCAAATATTTATATCTTTGTAGGGAAGTGGTGGTAATATGGTACGGTAATGTTATTATTTTCATCATGAATGAATAAATATATTATTTATATCATATTTATCATATATCTCAATAATGTATTCAATATAAATATATTAATAATATATTCAATAAATATATTAATAATATACAGGGACATAGATTACCAATTGCTGAAAAATTTTATAAAGACTTTAAATGTAATGTGATATTATTATCTTATAGAGGGCAAGTATGAATTATAATTGTGATTAGTGTGTGTGTATTATATTATTTATTATATTATTTTATTAATTATATATATATATATATATATATTATTTTATTATTTATATTATTTATTATATTATATTATTATATTATTTATAAATAGATATGGCCGTAGTGAGGGAATTCCATCAGAACAAGGTCTTCGTTTGGATGCTCAAGTAAACTAATAAATATAATTGATTTTTTATTTTATTATAATTTATTATAATTTATAATAATTTATTATAATTTAATAATAATCACAAGTAATAATAATAATAATAATAATAATAATAATAATAGGCGGCACTTGATTATATTAAACAAGATTATTTATTAAGAGATACAAATCTTATAATATATGGACAATCTCTGGGAGGTGCCGTGGCTATTGATTTAGTTTCCAGGAATGAATCTAAAGTTAATGCTTTGATTATTGAAAATACTTTTCTTAGCATTGTAATCATTTATATTCATTTATATTCTTAATATTTATTTAAAATTAAAATAATTAATAATATTAAAATAATTATCATAATTCATTTATAATTAATTACAGCAAAAAGCAATCCCATTTGCTATGCCAACACTCCGATATTTGAAATTCTTATTTTCAGAAATTTGGCCATCCGAAATAAATATTACAAAAATTAATGAAATTCCAATATTATTTATTTCTGGAACTAATGACGAAATTATTCCTCCTCAACAAATGAAAACTTTATTTGAATTAACTAATACGAAAGGTGGTAAAGTTTGGAGAGAAATTCCTGGTGGAACTCATGAAAAAACTGTTACTAAACCAAGATATTTCGAATTTATTGGTGAATTTTTAAAGACTATTCCTAATTTATTGGAGGAAGGTGAAGAGGAAGATGAAGGTGGTGATTGTGATGATGATGATGATGGTGATGATGAGTATGTGAATAATTTGAATAGTAGTATGAATGGTGTGAATAATGTGAATAACAAAGAAGAAGATTTAAAGAAAGTGTGGGGAGAAAAGAAAAAATAATAATAATGAAAATGGTGAAAATGGTTAAGTAACTATTAATTGTTAACTGTTTAATATATATTTAATTTATAGCAATGATATATAGTTAATATAATTATAAAAAAAAAAATAATAAGATAAAATATAAAAATATAAAAAAATTCAATTAATTCACTTGATTTGTATAACAGATAATAATAATAATGATAATAACTTCTTTAATAACTTTAACAATAATAATAATTATTATTATAACTAAATACAGTAATTAATTCTTTAAAAAATTAATTCTCAAATAAAATTCTCTAAAATAAATTCTTTACAATAGGATAAACTTGTTTCCGTGACAAACTAATGTTTTCTTGACAGTAAAATTCAATATCTTTATCATTATCTTCTTTATTATTATTATTATTATTATTATTATATTTTTTTAAACCAATTAATACCTTTAATTTATTCAAAACTTCTTTTCGTTTAAATGGTCCATTATTATCTTCACTTGAATAAATAATTAATTCTCTTTGAAATCCTTTCTTCAATCCTTTCTCTTCTCCTTCTTCTTCTACTTTCTGATTAAAAGACAGCATTACAATAAATAAATCTAACTTTCTTAATTTTGAATATTCTTTTATTGATTTAATTAATTCTTTAATTCCTTCCCGTTTAATCCACGCATCTAAATACCAATTAACACTACTTATTCCCAGTATATAATTATTTTTTAATTTCCATTCTTTATAATCTTTACGCAAAAGATCATGATTGGTAAAATTCGATATATTAGATCTTACCAACTGGATTTCATTAAAATAATTTTTAATAAAATTTTCATCTTTATTATTCTCTTGGATGTTTTCCAATAAGAAATTCGCTGCTTCTTGATCTTTTTTACTAGTTTTACCTTTTGAAATATCCAATAAAATTGTATCCACTAATATCGGTGCTAATAATAATTTTGATAATTTCACCAATCTATCATTATTATCATTATTATCATTATTATTATCATTATTATCATTATTATCATTATTATTATCTTTAATATCCTTATTATCCTTATTATTATTATTCTCACATTTCTTCTCGTATTTCCATTTAGTCAATACATCCTTAAAATGTAATACTATCAAAGATGTAGCTGATCCCACTCCTTCTTCAATATATCTTAATTTAGCATTTTGATATAACCCTTCATCTCGATGATGATCAATAATTATTTGTACCTTGGAAGAATAATAATCTTCATCTTCATCTTTTCCTTCTTCTTTCCAAATACCAATCAATTTATTATGATCCACAAGAATTAATTGTAAATTATAATTATTTGATGATTTGAATTGATTAATATATGGTAATATATCATCAAGGAATAATAAATTATCAATTGAAATTTCACATTGTTGAAATACAAATTCACATTCTGGGCGAAGTGAAAAATCTTTTCTTGGAGTTTGGATTATTGGAAGATAAATGTTATTATCATTATCTTTATTATTATTATTATTATTATTATTATTATTATTATTATTATTATTATTATTATTATTATTATTATTATTATTATTGATGTTATTGTTAATATTGTTAATGTTACTTAGGTAGGCATATCCAACTGAACCTATTGCTGAATCTAAATCTATTATAAATCTTTTATTAATTTTATTAATTATATAATAATAAATAAATATGATACTAAATTTATTAAATAAAATTAAAATTAATTATTACCAACTGATTCATTTCCAAGTACGAAAAAAATATTTGTAATATTATCATTATTAGATGAAGTATTGGATGATAATTTATTAAATATTTTCTTAAAATCAAATGACATTTTATATATATATACATATTTTTTATAATTTCAAATATTTTATACTTATTGGTATATTGCGGATTAACGCGTGGCGTGACTTGCAAAAAAAAAAAAAACCAATTATTGTTGATGATCACACATATAAAAAGTATGATATGATTAAAAATTCGCAGGAATTTTTTAAAACAAAAGGGACGCTATTTATTCATATCTCTATTTTGTTTTTTGTTCAATTTTCATTTCTTCTCTAAAAATCCATTAATATATTTTAATCTTTCTAAAAGGCAACTTTATTCAAATTAGTCAAATATTATTTTATTCTAAATTTTATTTTTTCCTTTTCTATAATAAAAGTAAATTATCTATCCGTTACCACCAACAATTAAAAAAACATTCTATCACAAATGATGTATTTTTCTTTACTCGAAAGAAACCTTTTTGAACGCGTACCTGATTTCGCCGCGCACATGACATGCTTTATTTGGTTTGGAAATTACTTCAATGGAGCATTAGTTCACGAAAACAATAATTATCAACCAAATAATCGTTTCAAGAAATTCTGTCGTCAAGTGATTTCCGCTGGCCCATTCTCTCAATCGGAAATTCTATTAGCTTTATTATACCTTCTCAAATTTAAAATGAAACAACATCGCCCTAGTATAATTCTCCAAGTTCCTACAATTCCCACAATTAACACAGTTTTTATAATTCCTACAATTTCCACAATTAACACAGTTCCTAAAATTCCCACAATTCCTACAATTCCTACCACAACTCTTACAGCGAAAAGTAATCATCATCATTATAATGGCTTAAAAATAGAATATCAAGTATTTGCATGTTCTCTAATGTTGGCCAGTAAATTTTGGGTTGATAATACTTATGCCAATAAAGTCTGGTCAAAGACTTTAAATATTCCCGTTTCTAAATTAAATTTAATGGAAATGGAATTTTTAAAAACTTTAGATTATCAATTATATGTTTCCGAACATAAATATCTTGAGTGGATTAATTTTTTAACAAATTATGTCGTTACTCATATTTCTCCGAGTAGTAATTCACGAAATAATTATCGAAGTTCTCAAAATAATAACCAACTTGAACTATTACGACACAAAAAAAGGACTATTACGAACGCCTTTGATGATGAGATGATAATGGCTCTTTCCAAAAGACCTAATTATTGCCAGCAGAATCAAAAGACTAAATTGCCAACGAAACAACATTATAAATCATGAGAACCACCCATCGTTACTACAATTGTTACTTCCGATATTATTATTACTGCAATATAATTTAATTCAAGTTCGCTAACGTAAAACAAACGTGCTTTTAGTCGCGAAAATTTAACTGTATTATTCGTGACATGAATAATAAATATTTTTATTTCTATAATTTTTCTAGGTTATAGGAGTATATACTATATATATAATATGTATATAGGGATAGTATATTTTTTCAAAAAATATTTCTTTATTTATATGATTAATTACATTCTTTGAGTATCATAGTAACATCCATAATTCTCATTTTTTTTTATTAATAATAATATTAAATGAATCTTTATATATATATTAACCAAATTTATTCAGAAAAATCAAAAAACCACATTAACTGGGGTAATGATTATTCTTTATAGATAAAGTAAATATGAGCAAGCAGATAACCATATCCTTTTTCAATCTAAGAAATTGGTGAATAATGAATGTTATTAATGTAATTCTTGTTTGTATAGAATAAAGAATATATATTTTAGGTAAAATAAAAAACTAAATACGTTTTATATATATTATCATATTGTCTTTACCAATTTTGACGGATTTTTTTTTTCGTTCTAATTTTCTCGCTTGGATCTATATTAATCATATTCGTGCTACTTCTCCCACACACAAAAAAACTTGTTACTTGTACTGGTCATCAATAAGAGTTACACAAAGTATTTAACATTAATTACGTTTAATTAAACACAATTATTAAAAATAGGTTTAAATTGGTAAAGACAATTTCTTTTTAAATTCGACCATATTATCGATGATAATTTATTCGTATTTTCGTATTTTATAAATTTTATAAACTTTATAAACCTAAGAATGAAATTAAAAATTTACTAGCTAGAGGGAAGGCAAGCACGTTAAACCATTCTTTTTTAAAAAATAAAATAAAATAAATTTAATTATAATTATTGACATGACATGATTTTAAAATTCTTAAAATTCTTAAAATGGTATAAAATTTTTTCGATTTATGGCAATTTTAATAACTAACTAAATAACGCGGGAATTATTTTTATTGAATTTTTCTAGCAATCAAAACGGACGGTAATAATAAATTAATAAAAATATCATTTTCTTTTAAAATAACCAATTCATTAGGCTTTTTTCTACCTACGGTAATTTTTAATTATTGTACAATTAACCAATTATCATAAAATACCATGAATATGTAGTATCTGTATAAATATGCATATATAAACTAAACCAACCGAATGAACGAACGATAAATCGTTTAAAAAATTATATATTCTTCACGACATAAAATTATTCTTCTTCTATAATTTACATTTTTAATTTGCATTACATAAATTACAAATAAATAAATTATACATCAATTATACATAAATTACATAAACTATACATTATAAACAAAGAATATCATTAAAAAGCAAATTAAAATTGTTAAAGTTATCAGTTATGATTAAAAAATTATTTATTATTGCATTTTCAATAATAATATTACAAGTAAGTAAATTTCAAAAAAAAAAAAAAGATATATTACTTTTATAAAATTTATAAATATTGACCATTTTTTTTTTTAAACCATTTTAACAGATATCATTGATCTTTGGACAATCTACAAATTCATCCCCAACAACGATAATAAATTCAATAAATTCTATTAATACCTCATCTTCACCTTCTTTAAGTATATATTATCCAACAGCTACAACAACAGCTACAACAGTTCCTGATGAGGATCCTGCACCATTAATTTCTCCTTATAAAACTATTCAAATTCCAATTAATAATGGAACATGGCAAATTTGTGCTCAAAATTTAACAAAATATATAAGTAAGTATTCTCAATAAAATTTTATATACAAACTTTAAATATACATTTTTAAAGATACTTTATTTATATATATTTTTTAACATAAATTTATACCTTGGTATTAAAATGATTAATTTAATTTAATTTAATTTAGGTTATAGTATAAGAGTAATAAATGAAAATATTCCAGTAACTCCAGATTTTGGCACAACGAATTCCGGATTATCAACACGTATACCGACAGCACCTACAGTAAAAGTTCTAGCTCGAGTAATGTATTCAAATGGATTAAAATATATTTCTTCATTATCATGTTATAAAGAATTTATAACTAAATGTGATCAAGATACCGGAAAATTATTAATACATGAACCGGATCAATATTGTTTACAATTAAAAAATCCTGGTCCATATCCTCAAAAAGTTAATGTTAGTGTAAGTTTTATAAGTACGGTATTTAAAGATGGTGGATTTACTAGTCCTAATATACCGGGTGGAAATGAAAAACCTGAAGATGATGATGGAAATGATATAATAAATTCTTCTGGTGGTAACATTAATATTAATAGTAATAAATTTAAAATAATGTTGATGGTTATATTAATAATAACATTTATTAATTCATGAAATTCATTCAAAAAACTGAACATAATAACAAAATAACAATAACAACAACAACAACAATGATAATGGTAATAATAGAAAGAAAAAGAACAATGGAATATTAATAGAATTATTTTTAGTATTATACATTAATTAAAAAGTTTAATTAGTAAATAAATTAATCCTAAATATATAACTTCTATATTTAACAAATTATGAGAAATATTTTTTTGGATTCATGAAGTTTATTATTATACTTTAAATATTTAGACAACCATCAACAATGATAATCTTTAAATTAGAATAAGATTGAAATAAAAATTAAAAATAAAATAAAATTCAACAAATAAATAAATAAATAAAAAATTTACTAACTTGTCCAGTTATGAATTGAGCTTTAGCTAAGTATGATGCTGCATCAGCTATATCCTAATATTTCATTATGAGTTTTTTTTTTTTTTTTATAAATTGTTTAGTTTAAATATAATTTATTCACATAGTTATTTTAATATTAAATACCTCTGGTTTACCAAATCTATGTAAAGCTGTATTTGATTTGATTATTTCTTTTTTATTTACTGGTATTTCTATTTTCAAATTATTTTATTTTGTTTTTTTTTAAAAATCAATTTAAATCATTCAAGTTATTTAATTATTTTAAATTACAAATTATTTAAGAAATTTAAGAAATTATTAAGAAAATACCTGAAATCATATCAGTTTCTATAAATCCTGGAGCAATAATATTAACTCTAATATTTCTGGATCCTAATTCTTTAGCTAATGATTTAGAAAATCCTATAAATAAATATATAATATTTTTATATTAAAATATCATTATAATAATAAATAAATTTTACTAAATAATATATATGGATAATTTGAATAATTAAAAATTATATAAAATTATATAAAATTATATAAAATTATTTAAAATATAAACTTATTATTATAATTACAGTTATTATTACCTATTATTCCAGCTTTTGATGCAGCGTATACAGATTGACCCACATTACCATTAATTCCAATCACACTTGAAATATTAATTATACAGCCACCTATAATCATGAATAAATAAATAAGTTATAAAAAATAAATCAAGAATATCAAATATTGAAGAAAGATACCTTGTTTTTGTTTAATCATATATTTAACAATATTACTACACATGAAAATTGTTCCAAATAAATTTGTTTGAATTATATTATTAATTTCTTGCTCTTTTAATTTGACAACTAAGTTATCACTTGAAATTCCTGCAATAACATAATAATGAATTTTATTATTAATTAGAATCTTTAAATTTTTCAAAATTATGTTTATATATTCACCAGCTGCATTGATTAAATAATTAATATTTCCAAGTTTTGAAATATTCTATAAAATCAATTCATTCATTTCATGTTAAAAATGTTAAATAATAAATAAATAAATAAATAAAAGAATAGATAGATAAAGAAAAAATATGAATAATAAATAATAGATACTTCACAAACATTTACAATTTCTTCATAATTTCTAACATCACAAACCATTCCTACATGTTCTAAATCATTTATCATCATTATATTATTTATTGAATTTTCTATTGTTTCTTTATTTCGCCCAAGTATAACACATCTTATACCATTTTGTGCAAACTTTTGACTTATAGCATAACCAATTCCTCGAGTTCCACCTGTTATCACTGCAATTTCTTTATTTGATGAATTAGTAGAATTGTCTTTATAAATAAATAAATATGTTAATATTTGTATATATATAATTTATATAATTTATTTAGATGTTTTACTTACTTATTTTACTTATTTCACTGGTGCAATAATACTTTGAATACCATTCACCAATTTTAATATTGTTAAATTTAAATCTTTGAAAGTTAATCTTTGATAAAATCATTGTTTTTTTTATTTTATTTTCTATCTGTCTTTGCTTTTTAAACTTTTTTTTTTTTTTAAAAAAAAAGAAAAAACAGATTATAATTATCACATCAAAATTAATTAGCCACAAATTTATTACTGAACAAAAATAAAATAAAGTGAAAAAATTTATTTGGACAAATCTCAAAAATCAATGCTCCTTGATTAAATACATTTTTAACCGTATTGTTTCCGAATATAATTATTGAAAATTCAATAAAAATAAAAAGTTTAACACACCATCCTTTTATCCTATCCCTCAAATTGAATATTATTGATACATATGAATTATTTCAAGAAATAAAAAAAAAAATAAAAAAATAAAAAATAAAATAATATAAATAAAATAAAAAAACACAAATTGGAAATTATATGATTTCGCGCATTTAGAAATTTTTTATTTAATTATATTTGGTATCTTCGCTACTATTAGGATTCATCCTCTATAGCAACCCAGTTACAAAAAAGAAGGTTAGCTGGAAACAATAGTTAGGATATATAATATATGTAAAATCGCAAAAAAAGGGCAATTTAATAATAAAAAGATAAGATTAGTAAAATAAAAGGATAGTAACCAAAAGGAAAGTTGGAAAAAGTTAGTAGCAAAAAAAGGAAATGTTATTAGAAAAAGAAAGCGAAAATTGGTAACAAAAATAAAGAACTGGTAGCAGCAAAAATTAATTGCAAAAGGAAAGACAAAATTAGTAAAAAGTAGTAACAAAAAAAAATGCAAAATTAATAGAAGAAAGCAAGATAATGTTATTAGAGAAAAAGAGAAAAAATTAATAAGAAAGCGAAAGTCAATAAAAAAAAAAAGAAAAAATTAGTAGAAAAAAAAGGAAGGCAATAAAAGAAAGCAATGTTAATAGTGAAAAGAAGAAAAATTAGTACCAAAAAGAAAGAAAAAGTAAAGAGAAAAAAGAAAGAAATGGAGTAGAAAAAAAAAAAGAAATGGTAGTAGCAAAAGAAACCAATGTTAGTAGTAAAAGTTAGTAGGAAAAAAAGAAAAGTGGCCTGTAACAAAAAAAAAAAAACAAAAGTTAGTAATGAGGAAATAAAGCTAATATCAAGAAAATCAAGATAGGTAAAGTAAACAAACGAGATAAAGATACTTAAAAAAAGCAAAGTTAGCACACGAGAAAAAATAAACTAACAAAATTAGAAAAAATTCATCAAAACTGTGAATAAATAACAATTTACCAAGCAAAACAAACATACAAGTATAGCAAGTATAGCAATAGCAAACATAGCAAGTATGACAAGTATGTGAAAATTTCCATCATTTTTCCACAAATTTAAAAAATCTATAACAATTTCTTTAATTCTTTAATGTGAATTTACATTGATATCAACATTAAAATAAAATTATCTATTTGAAAATCCTTAAATAAATAAATAAATAAGATTAATAAATTATCAATAAATTAAATATAGATATCAAATTAAAACTTTCCATTAAACATCATTAAGCATGCATGAACCATATCTCATTCAAATATAACTCATATTCCACTCAAATCTCATCACATTTCATTTATATATCATTCATATATCATTCACATGCTAATTTTGCATCAAAACTTGTTAAAGCAATTGCAAAAGCTTGGAGAGGACACATTGGATACATGAAATCCATGGTAAAAGTATCTTCTTCAACTCTACCAAATTGCATTATAATATAATCCACTAAGACATCATTTTTGGAGGTATTTTTTAGTTACAAGAAACATATTTAAAAAAAAATAAATAAAAAATATATTAAAAAAATAAATTATAAAAAATAAATAAATAAATAAAAATAAAAAATTTGAAACCAATGATTTTTTTTTCAAATACATACAATCATTATCATGCACAATTTGAAAATTCTTTACTGATGCTAAAGTTACTCGACCATTAAAATTAAGAACATATGATTGTGTTTCTAATGATAAAATATATTATTAATAGAAATTATTGAGTAAATATATATAATAATAATATAATAATAATAATAATAATAATATAATAATAACATAATAATAATATAATAATAATAATAATATAATAAAAATAATAATATAATATAATAATTTACCTTCATTCCATTGTGGTGATTTATTATGTAAAACTAATATATCTCGATGATCACCATTTCTAAATTTTCCAATCAATGTTTGTGATTCCTATAAAACGCACTCATACACAAATAAATAACTAAATTAATAAATAATTAATAAATTAATAAATAAATTATTCACCTTGATTGGACGAAAGTCTGGCCGTTGACCTGACCTTGTCATTCCTGTTAATAAAACTGTCATTTTTCGTGGTCCTTTAAATCCAAGAATATTTGGATCCTATAAATATATATAAATAAATAAATAATATATTAAGAAATATAAATAATCAAAAATACATTCAACTCACATAAACAACAGCTCCTAATTCTTCTCTTATAGGTGATTTATTGTCTAAATTTGGTTCATTTTTGAAAGGATTTCTACCATTTGAATATATAGCAAAAGCTGTACCCAAAAAGTTTGATCTGAGGTAATAATAATAATAATTGAATGATTAAACAAATTTTAATATAATCAAAATAAATAAATAATTAAATAATAATAATAATAATAATACTAATAATAATAATAATAATAATAATAATAAAATAATAATAATAATTAAATCATACCTTACTTTTCCTACAGTATTTTTAGGAATTATTCCTGTCTCAAGTTTATCTATAGTAATTACATAATTTGAACTTTTGCTATTTTTTCTTTTTCTTGCTGAAAGAAGAAATGTTTTCTTCTCCTCTTCTCCAGCTTCCACTATTTCTTCAATATAAAGTTCATATTGAGGATATAATTTACCAAAACCTTCTTTACTACGAGTAATCTTACAAAGAACTTTTTGACATTGTGGAACAGGACTTTTTGAATTATAATAACATTTAATAATGTAATAAGATTTTAATAAATGATTTATAATAATATTTAATAATAATAATAATAATAATAATTAAATACCTTATTACAAAATCAATTAATTCCTTTGGTGACATTTCTTCTCTGGATTTTCCTAATCTAAAAGGTGTAATCATTGTAGCAGTTGGTTGATTAACAATTATTGGTGATAATTCTTCGGGTACAATTGGTTGAAAAATTGTTGTGGTTAAATTTCCAAATTCATCATTATTATTATATGATGAAGTATAAGATCCACTATATCCATTATTTATTGAATTATTATTATTTGAATTATTATTATTTGAATTATTATTATTATTATTATTATTATTATTATTATTATTATTATTTATATTATTTCTCTAAATGATAATGATGACAATAATAATAAATTATTTAAATTATTTTAAATTTCCGTAAATAACATGAAATATATAATAAATAAATAAATCTTATTCATGTTACCAATTCTTCCGTATCATCATCATCTCTCATTGTTCTTTCTCCATCAGAATCATCAGAATTATTGTCAATAGTAAGATCATTAATAGCTGATATTAATGTGGGTGATATCTCTGAAGTTTCTTTTTATCATCAATAAAGAAATGAATTTAAAGAAATTAATATAAAAAATTAATATAAAGAAATGAATAAAGAAATAAATAGAGACGAATAAATGGATGAGAAATGACTAGCGACACTTATGAATGCATTCAATATGGGGTTTACTCACCATCTACACTTGTCGTTGGAATTTGAAGAGAATTTGATCGACTAGTCCCAATTTGAGGATCAATATTCATTTTTTTTTTATCAATCAAAATGTGAACAAATTCTCAGACCTTTTTGTATCATTTAATTCATTGTAGTATTGTGCAACTACGAAATTTTGTTATTATTTTTCGAAGCATGAAAGCAAAATCAAATCTTGTTCGTATCGGTTGCTATAGGTTATTCTTCGTTATTATTTACATTTTATCTTTTAACCAAAAAAATGCAAAAAAAAAATTGTCATGAATTTATAATTTATAATATTTTTTAGCGCATTCTGGGGTGATTCCGTTTCTGCGGCAACCCAATTAATCAAAGCTAAAGGTTTAGATTATTTGGTTGCCGATTATCTTGCAGGTAATTTAATTTTAAAAAAATTGTTATTAAAAATTGTTATTAAATAATTGTTATTAAATAATTGTTAAAAATAATATTTATTTATTATTATAGAAGTAACAATGGGTATTTTAGCTCGACGTCGTAATCAAAGTAATCAAAAATCATCAAATAATGAAGAAGGAAAAGATTTAGGTGGAGCAGGTGAAGGCGGTTATATTGCTGAATTTATTTCTTTTGTTCTTAAACAAAATTTACCTGATATCATTAAACGTAAAATTAAGATTGTAACTAATGCGGGAGGTTTAGATCCTTTAGCGTGTAAATTAGCTATTGAAAGTGCTATTCAAAAAGCTGGTATTAAAGAAGGACAAATTATTGTGGCAGCAATTACTGGTGATGATATTTTAAATCGAAAAAATGAATTAAAAAATGATTTCAAAAAATTTAGTCATATTTATGATAATGAAACAGATTCAGAATCTTATCCCAGTGATAAAGAAAAAGAAATTATTTCATTAAATGCATATTTAGGAGCTTTTCCAATCGCTAAAGCTTTAGATGAAGGAGCTACAATAGTTGTTACAGGAAGATGTGTAGATAGTGCTTTAGTTCTTGGACCTTTATTACATGAATTTAAATGGAATCCTGAATATAATAATGATAATAATAATTATTGGGATAAACTTGCATTGGGATCATTGGCTGGACATATTATAGAATGTGGTTGTCAAGTTACTGGAGGAAATTTTACAGATTGGGAACAAAGTGTTTTCTCACCAAATGGTGGATGGATAAATATGGGATATCCTATTATAGAATGTTTTTCAAATGGTGAATTTATTGTTACCAAACCAAGAGAAACTGGAGGGTTAGTAACAACTTCCACAGTAGGTGAACAAATGTTATATGAAATATTAGATCCTGGTTCTTATATTTTACCTGATGTAATTTTAGATATGAGAAATGTAAAATTAAAACAAATAGATGTAAATAAAGTATTAGTAACTGGTGCAAAAGGAAGACCCCCCACTGATAGTTTAAAATTATCAGGAATTTATCAAGATGGTTATAAAATGACTGGAACTTTAATTATTGGAGGAATTGATGCATGGAAAAAGGTATTTTATTATTATTATTATTATTATTATTATTATTATTATTATTATTATTATTATTACTATTATATTATATTATATATATATTATTTTTATTTATTATTATTATTATTATATTATATAATATTATAATATATTTATATTTAGGCAACCGCAGTAGCTCATTCAATTCTTCTTAGAACGCGTATAATATTAGCTAAACTTAAGTTTAAAGATCTTCGTAATCTCAATGTTGAAACATTGGGAGCAGAACATATTTATGGGTAAAATTATAATTATAATAACAATAACAATAATAATAATAATATAATAATTTTCATTAATTATGAATTATATGGATTATATGATTAGAATACATGCTAGAACTCGTGATACTCGCGAAGTTGTTTTGAATATTACCGTACATCATGATGACATACGTGCATTAAAATATTTTGGAATGGAACTTGCTCCTGTATATATTATTTATGATATTTATTATTTATATGTATTAGAATATTGTAGAATATTTGATTAGAAATTATTTTTAAAAAAAAAATTACGAATTATTTTTTTTTATCATTATAGGCAGTTACATCCATGGCACCAGGAATTACTGGTAAATGATTATTTGAAATTTTATTTTATTGATAAATAATATATTAATAATAATAATATTATTATATATATATATATATATATATATATATTATATAGGCGGGGGAACAGGTCGACCTCATCCATCTCCATGTCTTGTACATTTCTCTTGCCTTTTACCAAAAAGCAAAGTTTCAGCAATTGTTACAGTAGGAAATAAGTCACCTCTGATCGTAACATTTGATGATCTCGCCAGTAATGAAAATGTAATACCATCACCATTACCAACATTACTATTACCTGAGATTATAAAACTTTCAACATTTCCAGAAATTTCGGAAATTCCCGAATCTCCTGAGATTCAAGAAAATTTTAATATAAATAATTTTAATATATTAGTGAAAATTCCTTTAATAAAATTAGCATGGGGTCGAAGTGGAGATAAGGGTGATACTTGTAATATTGGTAAATATCTTTATTATTGACATATTTCATATTTTTTTAAAAATATAAAATTATTTTTTTAAAAAAATTAAAATAATTTGTAGGAATTATGGCAAGGGATCCCAAATATTTTCCATACATAAAAAGTTCATTAACAGAAGAGGTAAAGATATTAAGAATATTGATATTATTATTGATATTATCATTATTATCATTATCATTATCATTATCATTATTATTTACCTGAAAAAAATCTAAAAATAAATTTAATATAATATTTTATAATATTCATATAGTCAGTCAAAGAATATTTTGCACACTTATGTAGAGGAATAGTCAAAAGATATGAATTACCTGGAATTAATGGATTAAATTTTGTTTTAACTAAAAGTTTGGGTATTTATTCATTTATTTATTAATTATATTTATTATATTTATTATATCTTTTTACTTGTAATTAAAAACAATTCAAATCATTTTTTTTTAATCAATTAATCATTCATTCATTTTTTTATAGGTGGAGGAGGATTGAGTTCCTTGCGAATTGATAGACAAGGAAAAACTTATGCACAAATGCTTTTAAGTTTTAAAGTTGTTGCACCAGCAGGATTATTTGCAAAACTTTAATATTATTTATTATAGTTTATCATAAAAGTAAGTATAATTTATGAGTTATAAGTATTTATATTTATTTGATACTTTTAATCATGAACAATGATATTTAAATTAAAAATTTATAAATGACAAATTTTTAATCATGAACAATGATATTTAAATTAAAATTTATAAGTGACAAATTTATAAATCCATTTCTGTAAATGAGTTTTTTTATTAAATATTATTATAAATGTCGAATTTTTATCTTTAGATAATAATTAATAAAATGAATATATGATTATATGATTAGGTAATATCAGATATTATTATGATATAATATTGAATGGAGTAATGTTTTGATTTTTATTTGTAAATACCATTTATTTGATATATTCATTGATATTTGAACCAAAAATATATATATATACTGTTATATATATTATCGCAAAAAAAAATTGAAAAATTGATTATTAAAATGAAAAAAAAAGAAAAGAAAAGAAATTTATACATTAGGTTTAAATTCTTGATTCAGATTTTGATAACTATATTAGGAATATATCACTTTAACTAAATAAACATACAGTAAATTGGAATTAGAATTTCTCAGGATGAGAAACAATGAATCCTACTGAATTTTATGTATCGATTTCCATGTCTTCAGTCATCTTCATTTGATGATTGTTATAACGTCGCTGGTTAGACACTTTCGAGAATGGATGATGTAAAACATACGGTAGCTCTTGCTTCTGTCGACCACTCAATATGTTTTCCCGGTGAATTGCGGATTTTTGTTCTTTAACAACGGTATTACATTTTATCTTATAAAATGAATAAAACCGTCCTAATGCTTGTAATATATCAATTATACGATTCGAATTATCTGAATTCTTTGGGACTAACTTTGAGTGTCCATCTTTTTCCGGTATTATATGAAGTAATTCACCAATTATTTTCATATCATTATTCTCATCATGATATATACTTTTTATTCTTAAAATAGATTGTTCACCAGAGTCTTGAAATTGTATGAAATCATTGATCCTAAATAATTCTGGACCAAACATTATTGTCTTAAAATGAGTAAAGGACAAAATTTGTTGATAATATCGTTTTTCTACTTCATTCTTTGTCGAATCGGTCAAAGATATTGGTGGTTTATATTCATATGATAACACTGGCGTAAAAATCGATGCCACATGTATTGCACGCTTTACTGCCTTAATGTATTTAACCACTAATTCATCTCTTGCAGTATACTTAATGTTTTCAAAATCGAGAATAATCTTATTAGCATCAAATGCTCGCCATGGCTTTATTGCTTTTGGTTGAAGTTGTAAATTATTATTAATTAATAGTATCTGCAGGTCGTAAAGAAATTCTAATTCACGTGCAACACGAACTGAAGACTTGGAAACATATGGTGCTCGAATACGATTAATCACCATTGCTGGCCAATATTCTATTCGATCATTTAGCTCTTCTCCAAGTTGACGAGATAATTCACGTTGCTGAGTTATATCCAAAGATTGTTTGACGTTAGACCATACTATTTCTCCACGCCTAAACGTATTGTCAATATCATAACCTGAATTTGTTAATGAAAGATTTTGTGAATTTGATTTATTATCACGTTTATTTGATTTGATATTAACGGGTTTAGAATCCGGACGAGCAATAATATCATTTGGTAGTGAACGTAATTCAGTTTCTTTTCCCCTCCACGCTCCTAGTTCCGAAGGTCGACAATATTTACATATACATTTATTTGTCTTATCTGATGCCATCCACAGAAGATGTTCTTCAAATTCATGAGGGGAACGAAATCTTGAAATACTACTACCTATTAATTATATATAATGTTTAATTATTTAAATTATATTAATTTTATAACTATAAAATTTTAATTAAAAAAAAAAAAATTAAAATTAAAATTAAAATTTATTTAAAATTAAAGAACACTTACCAAACAAATAGGTATCTCTTCTGATTATTTCCGAATCACACTCCTTGAAATGATCAAATAACGCGTAACCTTTTGGAAATCCGGTCAAAACGGCTTAAATAAATGAAAAAAAAAAAAAATGTAAATATATATGTAAATGTAAAAATAAAATAAAAATAAATAAATAAAAATATATATATATATATAACATACGTTTAGGTACTCGTACACCTGTAACTTCGAGTATTGCTTGAGCAAGCGCACCTCCAAGTTTGCTTAAATAAAATTCAAGCCTAGTTTCATCAGCGGAACAATAATACGTGATAGGTTCATTAGCCTTATAGTTAGCCGGCTTATTCTCCTTTGGCCAGCGAGAAGAATTTCCGTCAGTGTACGTGACAGTTAAGCCACGTTCAGTGATCGTGACATTTGTGAAATTATATTTTCTATTATTACATTCTGCCATGGTTTTTGTTTTTATTTGAGATAAAACTTTTTTTTTTTGGTAGAAGAAAAGTTTAAAGTTTATATTTATAAAGGTTTTGATTTTGAGTTACAGGGTGACAGATAAGTATTAAAAAGATTAAAAAGAGGAAATTGATTTTTTTTTTAAAAAAAAATTAGTTATATTAATAAGTCACAAAATATACTTGTGACTATGACGAGTTAATAAAAATTTGATGACGTTTTTTCTGCTATATTTGTGGTATAAATTCCCAGAACATTCTTTATATAAAGAAATTTCAGAAAACATGATTAAAAGTGTGATATCATATAAAAATACTAATTATTAATTATTAATATTCGTTCAACATCTTCAAATCAAGATAATTAATTGGTGGAACAATGGTACGAAGACCCAAATATTATTATGCATTACGAACTAATCTAAATTTATTTAATATAAATCTATTGAACAAAGACAAGCGAAAGGATCACTTAAAGAAGATGATCTAATATCTTTGTATTGATCACTATAAACAAGTTAGGCAAGATGATATGGTGATTATATTACTATATTAGTTATTATTGGTAGTTAATTTGTATTACTGATTGACGACAACCCCATTACGTGACGCGATATTTCAAATTGCTATAAAAATGGTGTCACATGATTATATAGTCACATGATTCAATCAACGCGAAGCGAAAATCGCGATTTACTTTTTTTTTTGTTTTCAAAAAAAATAAACAACTGAACAAAATAAACAATTAAACAAATAACCATAAATAAGACAAAATAAACAAAATAAACAATAAAACGAATTATCTCTCTTATTATATCAAAAAAAAAAAAACTTTTTTTAATATTCCCCTTAGATTAGTTATATTATCATGTTTTGTGAATATTATAGATATACTGTTCCTGACAGAAGATACAGAAGAGACAGAAGAGACAGAAGAAGAAGAAGAACAAGATTAATCGAAGTCAAAATTATGTGGACTGGAGCAACTGTTAGGCAATCTGGTGATTCTTCTCAGGCCAGGTTGGCCAATATATATGCAGAATTACCATCTATGTCCGTAAATGATTGGCCTGTCTTGCTTAGAGAAGATAATTTTAGTCTCTAAGTTTGGCGGCAGTTGGTGAGAGTACTCTAGTCTTGGATGGTGGCTAGAGTCTCTCAATTATTATTCTTTATTCGTTGGGCTGCATATAATAATTCCATAATGTATCCTTTTATTTATTTATTTTTTATTTTAAATTTTAATATTTATCTTTTTTTATTTTATTTTATAATTTAAATTTTGAAAAATTTATTTTTTTATTACCTTATTGCCTATGCAGTGATTAGGTGAGTATAAATTAAATAATTATATAAAAAATTAAAAATTTAAAAAATCAAAAAAAAATAATAAAATATCAAAAAAAAAAAAACAAAAAATATATATTCTTTACAATAGTTTTTCCTTTTTATTTTTATTTTTTATTTTATTTTTTTTAAGATAGTCTTTTTTTTTATATAAAATTAAAAAAATAAAAAAAAAATATAAAATATCAAAAAATATATATATATGTATATTCTTTACAATAGTTTTTCTTTTTTATTTTTCTCTTTTCATTTCTTTTTTTTTTTCTCTTTCTGGGTCGCGAAGGGTATCGACGTCCTCGCCGTGTGACCTGGGTACTATTTTTATAATGTAAATAGTAGCTGACAGGTACCCAATTTTTTAAAATAGTGTCACAGATAACGCATCGCGATTTTTGGATTCGTGTGACATAAATTTTTATTTTAGATAATATGATAAAATTAAATTATTCATAAGTTGGAGCGATTATTTTTTTTTTATTTCCATTTACACCTAGAATATATTCTTATTTAATTTATTTAATTTCAACTCGACGTCATCTAGTAGCTCATCAAGAATCTATTTACTCGTCATATCTAAAAGCTGATGTTGACACTAAGTAATTGAAATTAGTTTATCGGAACTTGAACCTCATATCAATGGGCTTTTTTACCAGATTTATCAACACCCACCTATTGGTATATTTTCGGATTTCGTTAAAAAAATGACTTGATATTTAATTTGGTTAAAATATTTTTAATATAAGAATTTATGTATTAACTATTTAATAACATTCTTTTTTTTCAAATTTATTCAAGATCTCAAGTGCGAATAGACATTTTTCCGATCAATCTGTAGATATTTTAATTTATTATTTCGTCAGATTCAATTAGACTTCAATTATTGGAACCATAAATGATATTTTCGATTACGATAATATCCCTAGTTAGAAATTAGATTGCATATAACAACAATAATCGAAAGAAAAAATGGCTTCTTTAACTTTGATTTGGATAATAGAGAGAATAATATAATGCGTGAAGTACGTAATTTTTGAAATAAATACATGATACGACAATGATTGCTTATATTCACTTTCCATGAAGTTGAATAGAATTTCTTTTATCCTTATACCAAAATTATTTCAAGACACACGGTTACACTAAAACCATTTATCCCTTACCATTCACTACTGATTTCACTACCACCACATTTTAAAACTACCTTTACCACCACTACCGCCACCATTACCCCCATCTTTTATTCTCAGAACTTATTTCAAGAACTAATACAACAAAGATCATCTTTTGTAAACCAACTGTTTACTTGCCATATCCAAAAGTTTATACAAAAATATCAACAATTATTTCAACATCTATTTTGATCATTATTTCGATTCTCATCATAACAGCATATATTGTTCTGAACATGCCGTGTCCTTTCGTCAGTAATCATAATTGCTGTAGTGAGAGTTGTTCTGGTCCTTATGAAGGGCCATTCTTCTGTGAATAAAAATTCATATTCCCAGAAAAATTGCGGTCATTAAATTATTTAATATATTTGATACTAGAATATTTCTAACTGTTAATCTTCTATTGTTAAATAATTTTAATTTTAATTTTTTTTTACTCAAAATACCAGGTATCAATCTCCCATAATTATTCTAATTTTTCATACCTCGAAATTTTTTTATCTTTCTTCGATTTCAATATATAATAGACTCTATTGACAATTCATATATATATATAAAACAAGTATCTTGATTAAAGATCTTTATATCCATTTCTTCAAGTACTACATGAAGTGGGATAATATGGAAATTCCCAGGAAGAGCCATCATTGAAAATTTGCTTGACAGCACGTTAACATTAAAGCCCGAGTTGTACGGCATGCTGAATATTTTCCTTTTGGCTTACCCATTCGAGATTTGATGCTTTATTATTGGTAGAATCTCCATCTCACATTTTTTGGGCAAAATACTGATACTACCAAGCGATGGACAAATTATTTGCGAAATTTTTAATCAAAACGCTTTCCAATTTTAAAACGACCCGCATCTAGAGATTTGTGAGTGATTTTATCATTCCTTAACCAAATCCTTCCTAAAGAAGAAACTTTGAACTTTTGAGATTGGTATTCAATTTGTCAGATTTTTATATAAATTTTAAAATATCTGTGTAATTTTACGTTACATATTTTAAAATAAAAAGATAACATCAATTTATCTAATAAATAATTAAGAACGTAACCAATTGCTGTACAATATATTTTAAAAATATAATTATTTATCCATTTATACGTGAAGATTTTATTTAAAAAATACGATACTTAAAAAGGATGAAAGATGTGAGTTTTTATTTAATGTTATTATTGTTTTTGTTTTTGAGAAAAATGAATATCAGAATGAAAAACCTAGGAATGTTCCTCCAAATATCGAAATTGTTTGTAATAGCGAATATTTAGAAAAAGAAATAATAATCATTAATTGTATACAAAGGGAATTTGGAGGTGTTGATTATGATGTTAAATATACTGTAATAACGATATTATGTTAGGAAATAATCTTTATTTTTTTATGAAAAAAATAAAATCATGAAATTACTTAATAATTATATTTGATTAATTGACTTGACATTGAGAGAATCTATTGTTTTTTTTTCGCGTGTAAACAATTTTATAAAATCATCTTTGATAAACATTTATCCGAAATAATATGTTAGATATGTTTCATTCATCGAGAATTGAATCAACGATATTAAATCATAAATATGAAAGAGAATTAAGAAATTTAAAAAAATAATGATCTTTTGCATAAATATTTAAAACTTGAAATGAAATATACGATAATATTGGATTTATATTTAAATGAGGATAAGTTTAAAAAATATTTAGAATCCCTTTTTTGGTATTACAGATAGTAATTGTTGTGGTTCTTTTGATCCATATCCATTGGGTCCTACATTTTGGTCTAGATTATTTGAATCAATCAGAATAGTAACAAAACATGAAAAATGTGATAACTCGTAAACGAAAAAATGAATAGGAGGAATATGAAAGACAGACAATAAAGATAAAACAAATATGTAATTGATTAATGATTTAGTAAAATTATTAAAATTTATTGTTTAATAAATCATTACAGCAAATAATTTGTCGTCGATTACTTCTTGGCATTTTATGTTTTTGATGATGTTTTTGGTTTTATTGAAGCTTCTTTTTTATATATAAGTTTATTTACTTGATTTCATAAAACAAATATTTTCTGAAGATTTCTGTAGAAATCCTCCATTTGAAATAAAATCCTCATCAAATATTGATTTATTAATAACATTGTAAAAGGGAAAAGAACACAAGGAATATTTAATGGTATCAATTTATTAAATCATTAATATTAAATTATTAATGTAATAGAGAATCTATTTGACAGATTGCTTGAAACTTAATGGAAATTCAAGACCAAGTAGTTAAATCTTTCCGAAACCATTATTTGGATATAATGTAGAAACCAAAACTTATCAGGTGCATCCAGTTCTGTTCTGTAAATTGCATTTTATATTTTACATGCTTGTTAATTTCTCAACTGAAGTTATTGTTAAAGAATTACTTTGATTTTTGTAAAAAACAATTCACAAGATCCACTGGAAGTTCTAGTTCTATATGAAATGATTACTTGTATATTAGCTTAGAAGAATTTTTTTTTTTAAAATAATGGCTATTTTTTGATAACCAATTGGCATTTAAATTCTTTACTATTGAAATAATTGATATGTTAAATATGCCTATTCTAATCCCTCACTAAGGAAATTGCACATCAACAAAGAAATTATCTTGCAGGATATGGAAAAGACATTTCAGATTTAATCAAAAATGGTCTCTTTTAGCTTAGTTATTGGAATGGTTTTGTGTTAAGAAAAACGTAAAAAAAAGCATTTGAATTAGTAGCACAATGTTGTGACAACCAAAGATGAAGCTAGTGGATTTCCATGGTTTATAAAATCTGTCCTTGTAATAATTGTGTTTTACTGTCTATTATTATGACGAAGATATAGGTGTATAAGAAGCCTTCAAATGGTTTTTGAAGCAGCTGAAAAAAGAAATTCTTTGGCATAGTAGTTTTAAATAGGATTTTGTTAAGCAAATAATGAATAAGGATCAAGTGAAAAATTTGAATGGATTAAAAATGCTGATATTAAGGTCAATACATGATCGGAAAATACTTTTATGACTGGGAGACATTGTAAAAGCTATATAGGTTAAATAAAGCAAATTAGTAGGATAAATTAACGTTTAGGAGACATGAAAGTCAACTCACTGTGAAAATATTATTATTATTATTATTATTATTATATTATTATTATTATTATCATTATTATTATACTTTTACGCATGAGTGACTGACCGATTTTAAATTTCTACATTAATTATTCTAATTTATATAATTTGTATAATCATCTGTCCTGCTCCGTTTATAATCATTTCTATACCCTATCCGATATCTATCATCTATCCGATATCTATCCTCTATCGGATTTCTATCATCTATCCGATATCTATTATCTATCCGATTTCTATCCTCTATCCGATTTCTATCCTCTATCCGATTTCTATCCTCTATCAGATTTCTATCCTCTATCCGATTTCTATCCTCTATCCGATATCTATCCTCAATCCGATTTCTATCCTCTACCCGATTTATCTCTCTCTCTCTCTCAACTCTATATTGTCTGTTTTCCCTATAATTTCTAGGAAGATTATTGTTTATATAGAAATCGCGAGGATTATCGTGTCTATGGGAATTAGTGCTTCTTTGAAAACCAGAATTGAAATTTCTTCTAGAGTTTTCGTGATTTCTATCGGTACGATAATAATTTCTGTCGTTACGATGATAATTTCCGTCGGGATTAGGAGGGTATCGATCTTCTCTCGGGCGATCATAATGCAAAATGGACCGAGGTGCGGGTTCCTAAATCAATTGAAAAAAAATTGTTATTATTTTTCACATATTTTATTTCAAATAAGAAATTCACTTAAAAAAATTATTCATGACACCTGAGAAACTTTTTGTACAAAATTTTTCGGTAAAATCTTTGGTCGGCTTTCACCAGGTTTTGCAGAAAGATATAATTCAAATTCAGGACTAGAACACTGATAAAAAAAAAGAGAATATTAAGATATCAGAAAAAAAAAACCCCCCAAAACGAATATAAAAATTCATAGATACATCTATAAAAGAATTTCTTGCAATTGAATCTAATATCAATTTATTCCAAAGCTCATTTCGCTCCAAGGATCGTTGGTTTCCAAGAATAAACAAAGAAGATCTAGCTCGTGTTAAAGCCACATTTAGTCTTCTAAGATCTTTCAAGAACCCAACACTATTTTCTTGAATTTTTTTACAATTTAATGAGTTAATTTTAATAATAGTTTTCATCAAGAATTAATAAAGTGCTTTGTACCTTCACCCGCTCTCACACAAGAAAATATTATTAAATCCTTTTCTTTTCCTTGAAAACCGTCCTAAAATATATTACATATAAAATTATGAAGAAACAATTCTAGTTGAAAATGATTAAAGATAAAACTTACCACCGTGTTAAATTCTATATCCGCAAAAAGATCTTGGCTGAGTTGAGATTTAAATTGTCTCTTAATCTCTGAAAGCTGACCTTTGTAAGGTGTAATCACCCCAATACGCCCTCTAAACTAATAATTTTCAAATGATAAGTTAACAGGAATATATATATGTGTGTGTCTATTTTTGAAAAATAATTAAATAAAAAACTCACATCAATTTCAGGAAAGTCTCTAACAAGTCTATCAACTAATCTGATTGCAATTTTTGCTTCTTGGGGATTAGAATATGATTTTTTTACATACGTCATAACGCCTTTAACTTCAAAGAATTTGTAAGGCGCAAAAATTGATTTTATATGCCACGGCTGCTTTCTTGATAACTCCAAACCTTCGGAATTTTTTAATTCTGAGTTGTAAAAAAGCAAACTAGGAAATTTACTAATCTCTGGATGCATTCTATATTGTGTCTTTAACATATGAACTGATTGGGGAAAACGCTTTTGCAATCTATTAAATAGACTTTGCTCATAAAAGTATTGCGTTGCAACATTTGAAAGAACCGTAGGAGGCAATTGATTCGGATCACCAACTAATATGCAAAGATTAACATTGAATTTCAATGGAATTATTGTACATAGTTCAATTGCCTGTGCCGCTTCATCAATGATAATAGTATCAAATTTATAGGTCGATAACCTGTCATGTCCACTACCAGCTAAAGTTGCACAAATAATATCAGCATCAGCAAGTTCTTGATCTTTCCTAAACCTATCTTTCTTTTCCGATTGATCTAAACGGGATTCGGAACTTTGAGATAATTTACGAATTTCTTCATTAATTTGAGTAATATCTGCTTGCAAAGTTGAAATATCCCATCCATTAATAGTTGGATCTCTAAGCTTTCTATTTTTTTCATCCAAAGAATTTTGTAATTCAGTCATTCGAAATTTATTAGTTTCTTTCACAGTGTCTGCCACTTCTTCCGTATTGTCGTTTTTTCCGAAACGAGTCACATTAACTTGCACTAAATTTCCATCCTTGTCAAATATTCCTTGACTTAATCGTCTCTCCAACTCATCGACAGCAGCATTTGAAGGAGCACAAGCCAAAATGCGATGCTTACAAGAAGGTGAAGTTGCCTTCAATGCACTAATGATACTGACAATTGTACTGGTTTTTCCGGTTCCTGGAGGTCCCTGAATCAATAAAAATCCCTGTTTTTTCTGAAGAACTTTGCAAATTGCCTCCGCTTGTGATTCATTTATTTTATAAAGATTCATATATTTCGTCACCTCTTCTGTAGGAACAGGTGATGATGTCCAAGCTTCAGGTTGTAATATCAAATTACAAAATTTGAAGTATGGCATTGCCATCAATGCTGCATACTCTCGGGCCGTGGGTGTTAAACTAAAATATCAGGAATATTATTAATTATTATGACCATAATTTTTATGTATAATCTTTACAAAATATTTCTTATATACAAATAATAGTAACCTAAAAATTTTTTCCATAATCCACTTACTTCCCGGCCTTAATTCATGCCTCATATTAACAAGGTCTTGTTCAAAGCAACATCGCATCACAAATTTGTTAGGTGAAACATGGTTTATTAATGAAAGACATTTCTTTGTCGAAGAATTGATACTGTTTTTACTAGATTCACTAATTTTCCTAGAATGATTTTCATTGGGTTCTCTCAACACCATAAGATCATTTTCGTTTAAATACATCAAAGGTGAATCCGAGTACGCCGAAATTTCCACAAAATCATCAACAGAGGAACTACTTTCGATGAATATTTCATAAATGTTATTTTCATCTATTTCCTCTTTGTTTTGTATAAAGCTTTGCCATAACTCAAGAATTAATAGAGGTTCAAAAGTTTGTTGATATTCTGTCACAGACTTGAAGGTATCAGGTATTTGCTTATATACATCCTGCGAGACATTTGGTGGAACATTACCAGTGGCATCAATATTCCATGACAAAACCTTTTTGTGCAAACTTTTCATATTAGGTTTTAAACGTCGCTTAATATTTTCTTTTTCTTGGCGATGCTTTTGCTTTCGAAATTGTTCGATATCTTTAGTGACTACTTCGCTTATATCAAGTAGTTTAGCTTTTCGAGGAGCTTGATTTTCTAATTTTTTATTTGAACTTGAGATTTTCAATTCGTTATTTTGCACTTCTAAACTTTTTTTTGGGGCAGATTTTGATTTTTTATATTTTTCATCTTCGATTGCTAACTTTCTTGCTTCTTCCATCTTCGCTTTTTGTTCTTTAACATAAGCTTCCCGCATTTTTCTTATTGTCCCGACTTGTTTAGAAGATGTTTTATTGGATGAGATCGTTGATATTGGAGTTCTAGGAGGTAATTTTTTCGATGCTTCAGGTTTTCCATTTTTTGATATCGTTGATGGAGATTCAGTAATCAGGACGATTGGATTACCTCGCGAACTGTGAACTGGAAGAGCATCAACTCGAGATAATAATTTAAAAACAATATCATGACGTTCACCATGCAAGGCATTATGATATAAGCCATGATTTCCTGATTCTATAATTTTCAACTTTTCTTGCAAAGATTCCTCAAGAATTTCATTATGATTTCTAATTAATGTCAAGGCCATTCTCATTGATTCAAGTGCCAACATCTCAGGCATAGTAATTCTCTGAAAAGTGACAAGCAACCATTCCAAAACGTCCGTGAAAATATCTTTAAAGTTTGGATTATCCACCAAAGAAAAAGTAAATTCTGGAACCCATTCAAACAAATGTTTACATTGCTGTGGGTATTGTATAGCCACTTTCATGAAAGCTTCGCTTTTAAAAGCATCCCCTAATACAAGTTTTGGGGGCCGAAAAGAATATTCCCAATAATGAATTCTCAGTTGGTTTAAAAGAACCTCAAAACATTTACCAACTTCAATATAAGTGCTTCCTTGTTCAACTATTTCCATATAAGAATTAACTAAATTGCAAAAATCTGTAGTTTCATTACAAAATCCATATATAATAGAATCCAAGTCTAAACAGTTGAGAAGTTTCCTAACACCTTTCCAAAAAACTTGTAATTTCTTAGTAAATGGATATTCTGAATTATTTTTACCCATTTGACGAAGATATTGAATCAATTCATTCACGCAATCTTTATATGTATCGTAAGTATCCCGATTAATTATATTTTGAAAATTGTCCATACATTGCCATGCATTTTTTCGAATAAAATCATTTTCGTGAACTGATGCAATAATCATTCCAACTGGAAATTCTTGTTCAATTGATAATGACGCGTTCGTTAATGAATATACCTCAACAAAAAGAGAATTAATATTAGAAATCTTGAATAAACGATAATTTATTAACATTTCCAAAAATACGGCGTTCCGAGTTTTTTCAAATAATGATTTTTCTTTATAAATTTTTGAGGACATTGTGCCTTTAAGCTTATCTTTCAATTTTGTCAAAGTGAAAATAACTCTTTCCTGATCCCAAGAATCAATAACAGAAAATGTTTTATCAACATTATGCGTGTCCTTATATACAATTAAGTTTCTGAAAATAGAATGAATAAATTGAATTATCCTTGAAATAAATTCATATATTTGGGAATTTATTAAAAAATTTTGGATTTTATCACGTACCTTTTTCTTAATTTAGATTTTCGTAAATGATATGTCTTTATGCATTTAGCACAAATTGATAATTGATCAGCTAATATTTTTTTAAATTTTTCTACAGATTCGTCAGGTTCAATCAATGAAAATAATTCTAAAAGTTCGGTCGAAATATCTATAAATTCTTCGTTGCAAAACAAATGTTCTTGAAAACCGTCTTCGTAGAAAGCTAAAAAATAAGTGATACTATAGGAATAAAATTTTTGTGAAGAAATAGGATCCAAATCGTGCTTAAGAGTAAGTAGCTCGACAAGGTGTTTATATGAAAGTTGTATTCTATTATTTTCGCTCATTTCAAAAATCTATTGTAAGAACTTTAGAACGCAAAATTGATTCGATTTATTTGGATTTATATAATGATGCAACCAATAAGAAACGCGTTTTTAACTTTTGTATGGTGTATGTCACCTGATTAATAACATGATCTTTTTTTGTACAATAAGTTATAATCCTTTTAAATTAATGTAACTATTGCAATACTTTAAAATTTCAACTGATCTGTTATTCTTGTTATTCAACTTGTTAGAGCACTATTATGACAAGAAAATTGTTTCATCGCATTGAAAGTTTTAGTATGTGTTTATGAACATATTTATAGATATTTCTGTTTTTCAATATTTTTAAAAATAATTTCTTATAACTAATTTTATCAACTTAGATGATTAATTTAATAATAAATATCTGAAAAGAGGTATTACTTCAAATGATACTTTAATCCAAACTATATCTTTACCAAGCTACTAATAACTGTTAAAAAAAGATATGATTTTATTATAACATATTTGATGACAAAGCAAAGATTAATAATAATTAATATATATTAAAAATGATTTTATTATAACATATTAAACATATTTGATGACAAAGCAAAGATTAGTAATAATTAATATATATTAAAAAGGACTTGTATTTTAAATGTTTAACCTTCAAAATAAAATTAAAAAAAAAATTTGCTTATTACTATTAATTATTTCTTGTAATAAGAAAATAATAAATCTTTTTGTGATTAAAGCTTACACGACTGAAAGAAAAGATAAAATTTATTGGAAAATAGATCTTAAATAGACACAGCTTTAAACACTAGTCAAATACAAAAAAAATCGCTGTACCGAATGGTAATTTCTATATTATTATCCTATATAATAAATCGGCTCAAATTCAATACTATGATAAAAAATGTAAACCAAAAAAAAAAAAGTCTTTATCTCACAGAAAACCTGAATTTCTAGTTATATTTTCAATATTGAATTCATATTTGTTTTACATATAATGTGAATAATAGCCAGATTATGAGAGATATTATTATGCATCAGTAGAGAAATTCATAAATTTTCTTACTTATTGACTTATTATTTCATAAAAAATTATTTATTTATATTATTTTAAATTATTACTAACAATGCAATGTATTAAAAAAGTTATTATTTTATATAAACAATAATTATTATTCTACATTGTATTGTAAATATTTTTTTCAAAAATGCATTAAATAATTTACTGACTTAAATTTTGGTCTTCAATAAACTCTATTTCTTCATTATTCACAACACATTTCAATAATTTTTCAATAGTCTCAAAATATCCTGGTTGATTAATAGTATTTGCATGATGTCCATTTGGAAAATTTTTCCAGATTTTACCTCTTTGAGTATTTGTCAAATTATATAATTCTTTCATATGTTCTTTTGGTACTAATTTATCTTTATCACTTGATAAGAATAAAATTGGAATCCTGTGAATATTACATATTGATTTTTCAGATGGCCAGATTTGAGAACAGAAAAATGTAAAATAGCGAAGTGGTGAAAAAAATGTTGGAAGAAGTTTTGGCTAAATTTGTGATATAATTTGTGATAATTTGTAATTGTGAAATAAACTGAAAATAAGATAATTTGAAGAATCATTATAAATTATTATTCAAAGATATATATATATTGTGACTTACAATGCTAAGAAATGTATTTTCCACTATCATGGCATCAACCTAATAAATATTTTTGAAATTCAATACATAATTGCAGTATGTTAATATCCATAATTACTATAATTACTGTACCTTTTCTTCATTTTTTGACACCAAATCAATTGCCACAGCTCCTCCCAAAGATCTTCCATATATGATAAGTTTTGTGTCCTTTAATGCACTGTTTTTTTTAATGTAATCTAAACAGGTCTGAATATAAATAAATTTTATGATTCTTTTTTTTTTTTGACAAATAACAAAGGAAATAAAATTAAATAATGAATGAAGATTTTCCAATATACCTGAACATCAATTTTGATACCTTTTTCAGTTGGGCTACCTTCACTATGTCCATATCTATAAATAAATGAATAAAACCAATGAGCCAAAAATTATTATTAAATTATATTTATGAATTATATAATATAATATAAATACCCTCTGTAAGTAAGCAAAACAATATTACACTTGAAATCGTAATAAAATTTGGACACAATTATCGAACGTTGCCCCTATTTGTATAGAAAAAATATATAATATTTAAAATATATATAATGTATAATATATTAGTTATTTTGGCTTTTTATTAAGTCCAAATTTTTAAATTTTACTGAACTATATTTCCACGGTTTCCCTATTAATAAAAAAAATAAAGTAAATTGGTAAATTTAAAATTATAATACTCCTTCTTCTAATAAATTAATTAAATCGTATATACATACAGGCAAGGCTAAAATCGTTGGTCTTTGAGAAGCCTCTTCATCAGTAGAGCGTTTGCAAAAATAAGCCTTAATTTTGAAATTATCCTTGGTAATTAATGTTTCTTCTGTGAATGGAATTCCTTCTTGTGTAGGCTTTCATATTTTTTTAAAAAAAAAAGTATTAGAAATTGAAGTTTTATAATAACAAAATAGTATTAAAAGTTCTTACTAATTGTCTAGATTTTTTACGATATCCAATTGGATAAAGCAGTTCAGTTTGAAAGATATAAAGTAAAGTTCCTGAACCAAATAAAAATGCTGCACTGACAGCACTAACAATTATATAAATTGTCAATGGCATTCTTTTCCTTATTTCCCTTATTTCTTTCTACAAATGATTAAAATACCATTTTATCTGTAAATATTGATATTGATCTACAATATTAATAAACCAATAATAGAGTTACATTATTGCCATGTAATATACCTCAATTTAAAATTAGAAAATGGGCGATCAAAGAAACAATGCAACGCAACGTTCAAGATAGAGTTAAATAAATAACCTGTTATAATCCTAATCAGGAGTATTGTTATTAAATTGTCATTAGTTCAAGATCTAACTTATCCCTTAAACGGTGGTGACGTCACAAGTTACTAATAAATGCGGACAAATTTGCCGCAATTCACATGATTTACCGTTTAAGGGATAGATATATTTCCAAATGCTTTAGAAAATAATTTAATGAAGAAAATATCAATACCAAGCAGATTTAAAGTTCCTGAGTTCAGATAATTACATCTTTTTCACTTGTTCCTGCCTGCCTAAAAACCACACCACCATATAAGCCATTTTTTTCGATAAATATCTCATATTCACCCTTGCCTTGCCTTGATTATTTATTTTAATTAAAAAATAATTTACTATTACTATTTTAGATAATTTTTACGTATAATTAATAATAAAGAAAAAGAAAATAATAAAAATATACAATATTGCGAAAAGCACATTCAAACTTCATTTAACTCACCGTGGAAGAGAAAGAAAAGGAAAGACCTATAATATAAAGCCAAAAATTATTATCTAACTAATAAGATAAATATATTGAATTGTATATTTGATAAATTATATTGATCATATAATCTTATACAACTTTAATGTAATTTTTTGACTAATGGTCATTATAAAATATATTAACATTTTTTTATGTATTAATAGGTGTAAAAGTGACTGAATATCGATGAAGTTCTCGATTCTTTATAAATATATATTCGAATCCGCGGATCATATTGTTACGGATCGGATAAAATCCAAAAAATAAGATCCGAACGGATTCGGATCGGATAAATATCCAAAAAATAAATCCGACGGAGGGAGGGAAAGAGAAAGAGGGAGGGGAGAAAAAGGTAGAAAAAAAAATTTTTTTAATTCAAATCCATAAAAATTTAAAAATTTAAAAATATTCAAAATATTCAAAAATTCAAATATTTTTTATGGTCAAATATTTTATGGATTCGGATTTATCCGAATACAATAAAAATAGTATTTGGATCATATAAAATAAAGATTACAAATATTTTTTATGACGAAAAATAACTCCATAAAAATGTAGGATTTTGTTTCAAAGTTGAAACAAAAAACTCAAATGTCATAAATAATCATTTTGGCTCTGCGTTAAGGTACAGAACTTGTGCATAATTTGAATCCAAATTTCCAAAGAAATAAAACAAATGTAAACTTTATTATATGCAATCTTTTATGTAATTTACGCATCTATAGATTAAGTCATTTTAATATGCAATTACAAAACGAAAAATTATCAATTTAAATTTCATTTTCACTAATATCAATATTATTCCCAACCAATTTTGTTTCATTTTCTAAATAATACAAGTTCCATGCAACTGGTTTTTGCACATATCTTCCATTTTCCGCTTTACATCTATTACAATTACACTCAAACTTAAAAGTAACCAAAAGATTACCCTGACGTCGAAATTTGGATTGATTTTCGTCAATGTAGGAAAAAAATATTTCTTCACCTTTCTTTATTGCCTTGTTGCTAATAATAAACATACGAAAAGAATGTGTTCCTTTTTCTTTATAAACCATCCTCCATAATTTCATTGTGTGTTGATCATCAAAAATATAACTTTCAGATAATGCTTCAAAATGAATAGTATTTGGATCACAATTATGATTGAACATTGAGGAAAGAGAGAACAATGCTGCAGTTTCTGGTGATATTTCTGTATCATCATGTTTTGGAGGTCCTTCAAATGCATTAGGTTCAACGAGTGCCAAAATCGTGATAAAAACCCAAAAATCATATCTTAAGTCAAATAAGGAAATATTCAATACTTTTAAGATTTCTGTATAAGCGAATTCTATATCAGAACCAAAAATATTGTGATCATTGTAAATTCTTGGATGAGTTGAATTTCGACTAAGATGTTTGATCTCATCAATGTCTAAAGGACAAATATTTCTATTCTTTGCTATGGCAAATAATTTCAATGCAAATAAGACAAGTAAATTAATTCCATCCAAATCATTCTGTACATACTTAATTAGATTGTCAATATTTTTACCGCAAAGTTGTTGATGATATAAATTCATTGCAGAATTGTAACATTTACTGTCGCAAAAGAATTCTTTGCATTCTGAATTAAGACAAGGATATTTAACAGGATATTTTGAATCATTGGAAGATTCGGTGAGTTTGTGAAAACAAAAATCGCATCTAAATTGACTATAATCATGAACTGTAATAAATGGATCTTCTTCTAAGAGAATTTCCCCATCAGAGATATCCCGTTTGGTTACAATCCCTAATTCTTTGAGTTTATTATTGTTAATTTGATTATTATCTTCTTCATAAAATGAAACCTCCTTGATTTCTAATTTATTCTGACTTGCAAAATTAAGATTTTTTTGCATTTTTTCCAGGGATTCTTTTGATAATCGATTATATAACCGACAATCCCAAGGATAATTTCCTTTAAATTTATACCAACCACTTCCTTCGTTAGTGATTATAATTTTATCTTCATTAGCTTGTTCTCTGAGTACAGTCCTTTGAACATTTGCCAATTGAAGATAAATGTCACCTTTAATATTGCATAATTTTCGATCAGAATTAGAAACAATGGAATAAAATTGAAATTCTTTCAACAATAAATGATACGCTCTTCCAGCCAAGATCGGAATCCCTAATGCTGCCATAGCTTCAGCATAACGATAACGTGACTTGAATAATAATTTTTGTAATTCAACATCACTATTCAATTTATTAATATCAGATATGCATAATTCTTCAGCTTTTACTGTATCCACGAGAGCAAGTTCGGGCCAACCGCCTTTTAAACATGCTAAAGAACGGTTACACCACAAGATTGGATTTCGTGAATCTTTTATTAAAGCACGTGTATATTCTTTCCAAGCTTTAAGATAATTGTTTTGTTTAATGGCTTCATTTCCTTTGGTATGATGATCTTTATTTTGCATTTTTTTTTGAAGGATCGAAGGAAAGGAAGGTATTTAATGGAATGAGATGGTTAACAGATGATAATAGTTTCAATTTAGTTTCAAATTTGTTATAAGTATACTTTACTTTTAAATACTTTTAAATACTACTTTATGGAAAGAATATGACACATTTTTTCTGGACTTTCATTATAAAGCTTGAAATTTTTGTTCATTATACAATAATAACAATGGTAGAATTCACAATCATAATAAAGTTAATAAAGTTTAAATTTTCGTTTATTTTATTTTTTATGAAAAGTGTCGTGAGTCACGAATTTTAAACTTCATAAATTTCATAATAATTTTCTTAATTTACTTCTTACACATGATAATTTCCGAAAAATAAATACAGTATAGTATGAAACTCCTTCTATCCAAATGTGGGTAATTATAAGACATTTTATTTTATTTTAATTATTTAATGCATTAGTAGATTTGGACTTTGTCAATTTGGAGTTTAGAAAAGAGAAGACAATTGAGTACAAATATTTATCAGATAACTCTAAATTCCTTTAATATATTAATAATTTTAGATTCGGAATGAGTTTTTCTTTTAAAATGAAAATCGAAAGCTTTGTTTATTGATCGTATGATCATCGAATCGTTTCAAATATTTTTCACTCAAAAAAATAAAATAATAATACCTGCAGCGGAATAAAAATTACCGATTGTCTGATTTATTGTTTCGGCCAGTTACTGGTGCATATTCCAAAAATGAGTTTAAAGATCGATAATATAATAAATTTAGATTATTTTTCGTATTCTTTTCATTTTTGGATCGATATATAAAACACATCCCTTAAGTTAAAAAAATAATTTTATTTCTTACATTCTTTACATTTCTTATTTTATTTCTAATATTATTACATTTTTTATATCATAATTTATATCACATTCTTTTATTTCCTTTCCTTTACTCATTAATTTTTTTTTATATTATCCTCTATCGAAAATTTATAAATAATAGAATCAATTTAAAATAATAATAATCATTCATGCTGGTACATGTATTCATCACTTCTAAAATGACACGCTTCATATTTTCAACATTTTTAATAATTGTCACACTGTGTGTGCTCTTCTCGCCCTTCGTTATTGCATCCGATAAACCAAAAAATGATAATGATCTCAAAAAATGTGATTCGCTCTGGTGGAAAAACAGAAGTGAATATCTAAAATGGACAAAATCTTATTGCAAAAAATATAAAAGATCAACTCGTTTATGTGAAAAAAAGATAAAAAATATGTATCTCAGTGATTGGGGAAAATTGGAAGAACGAGAAAAGTCATATAAAAATAAATCTAAAAATAAAGATATTAAAATCGATATTTTGCACGATATTTGGTCGAAATGGGCAAGTTTTGCAAAATGTCGATGTGAATCTGTAAATTGGAAGATTAAGAATCCTGCTGGAGTATCTTTATGTTACCAAATTTCTTGGTTAGATAAAACTCGAGGAGATTTTGTTGGTGAATTCATTATTTTTAGAGATAAAAAATTGAACACATTAAAAAATTCTACATTTAATAAATTAATGTATAAAATGCCTTATTTAGTCAAAACTATAAAAACTTCTCAATGGAAGAATCAAGAAAAATTAGACAATTCTAGTTCAATTGAAAATATTTATATTTATAGTAAAATTCCAAATTATAAATCGATGGGTAATGTTGACATGACTAACATGACTAGTCCTTCGCAATATATGGTCGATGTTGGAAAAAATATTTTTTCTCTCGTCAAAGATAATGATGCTAAAATCTTATCGATCCCTAACTTTTTAATGAGTGAACTTGAACCAAATTATTCTGATTCTGAAGTATCTTCTGAGCTTACAAACACATTTTCTGTTCCTACTGCAAAAACAACAACTTCAAAGCCATCTTCTGCATCAACATCAAAATCATCATCATCAACACCAAAATCAACACCAACATCAACACCCACACCCACACCCACACCAACACCAACAACTTCTCCTTCACCTGATGTGTCCACCACCATTCCGACCTCTACTGACGCCACCACCACCTCCTCACCATCTCCTTCAAGCGATTCTCAAACCCAAAATCAAGAATCCAATGATGATGATGATAATGAAGACGAACTTCCTGGTATGAGTCTTGGAGCACTTCCAATTGGTTTAATAATATTTGCAAGTATAGTTGTCATTGGTCTCTTAATATATTTTTATTCAATCTTTGATAAGAGGAAATGGAGAAAAATATATCGCAGTCGACAAGAAAATCAATTTATAAATAGAAATAGATAAAAACTTTAAAAACTTCATTTTCTATATATATATATATATACTTCAATAGATACAGTAGATCTCGCATATATATTAGTCCAGATAAAATTCATTATTTATTTATTTTTTTTATTTCCCAAAATTTTTTTATATCATTTTTTTTTTTTTTATTCTTTCTCTTCTTACAAAAACAAAAAAAAAAGACAAAGGTTTAATTAAAATCCTTTTATAAATAATATTGTAAATTACTGCAACTCTAATCGATTCATAGCTATTTCTTGAGGGAGACTATATAATGATGGTCTTTTAATATATAAAAATCTTTTTGGCTTGATTGAATAATATAAATACAAAGTTTTCCTTTTTATTATTCAAAAATAAATAAAATTTTGGCAAGTTTTCATATCTTGCAATTAATTAAAATCCTTAAATCGAAATATTATAAATAAGAGACCAAGAAGATAAAAATAATTGTTTTAGAAAGTTCTTAGTTTTTCTGACAAATAAAATGAATTTTTATTATCACTAATTATAGCATCCTAAATATTTCAAAATTCATCAAAAACATTGCACATTTATCTTTTATCTTTGTTCAATTTCCCGAACCTTTTTCAATCTCCATTCACAATTCTCTACATATTCACAAATTCTTAATGGAAAATTTTTTAATCAAATTATTAAATATTATCCTACAGAAAACATCAAAATCATAAATACATAGTTTTTTTTTTTTTACTTACTGACATTTCCATGCCTCTTCAATTGGTACTCCTTCAGGTTCACGATCTCCTTTCCAATATATAATAGATCGTTTCAAATGTTTATCCAACATATCTTCCTCATATTCAAAATATAATGAACCTAAATCACTACCATCACCTTGATATTTATAATTCACTTCCAAAACATTATTTGACTTCCAAAAGAACCCAAAATAATTTTTTATGAATGCCATAAGTTTTCTCAAGGTATTTAATTTTTTAAAATTGCTAAAATATATTTTTATATATTTTGAAAATTTTTTTGAGAATGATTTATCCGCATCTAAATCTAGAACTTCAAAAATCCTTTCTTCTTCAATTGAGCTTTCTACTAAATTATCAAATAATTTTTTGTATAACATTATTTGATATTTTACTGATGATGGAACAGTAGATTTCTTTGGCCGAAAACATTTAGAACGAGTTTTGGTATCACATATTCTCCATTCCCAATCATTATTTTTTCGAATTCCCTGATTCGGAAACTTTTTTATTTGATCAATTATTCCAAACACAAATATATCAGATACAAAACCGAAAACTGGTAATTCTCTAGTTTCTCCAGTAGTTCTAAGAGCTTCGAGTCCAAAGAGAAGATTAAATAATCTTAAAATAAATCAACGGATAAGAAAAGACTTGAGAATAATAAATAATACAATAATAATAATAATAATAATAATAAATAATAATAAATAATAATAATAAACATAATACCTAATAAAACTTACTTAAGACCCCATAAATCTTCACTAGTTTCAATTGAAACTTTAACAAGATCATGTACTTCTAATTCAAGTTTCAAGTGTATATCCGAACCTGCTTTCATTTCAGTTGTCTCTGTTCGTCCACCAGCATGAAGTGAATAATGAAATTGCTGTTCACACCACGAAAGAGAAGAAATATCAGTAACATATAATGCTTTAAAGTCACGAAACTGTGCGTATGGTGAACTTATTTCTTTACTCATAGTTAAAAATGAATCATAATTTTTTAGTTATTGTATTAGCTATCGCGTAATATAGTCCTTCACGTGATGTTAGCTCGGGACCGACGATCGTTCGCCGATGAAGTCATCAAAAATTTTTGTGAAATTTCGGAAAAAAGTTTGAGAAGAATGCCTGAAAGAAAATTTATTAAGAGTATAACCGATTACAAAGAAAATGAATGGGAAAACAGGAAGTTCGAAACGAACCAATCAAAGCATTCTTTGAATCCGAACAACGATTGGAGTCCTTTGAATATACAAGAGGCGAAAATACCTGTCTACTTTCAAAAGAAAATATCCCCAATTTTTGATATTGATGAAATTGAAGGGTGGGGTGAACCTCCTCGAAATCCTATTTCTTGGAATGATTCTCACCAAGGTTATTGCAAAGAATTAATTGAAGAACAAAAGAAAACTACTTTTTGGGCTATACAAAATGGAGTTTGGGTTAACGTAAGTGAAGAGACGGAGACGAAGGTTTCGGAGAGAATCAGTAATAATATTCGAAATAACATCATAAAACGTGGTGAAATATGGGATAAAATTAAAAAACAAACAAGAAGTTATTATGACTTTAGAAATGAAGAGAATAGAAAAGCTGCCGATTTCATTTACGGTGATTGTATTAAATTTAAATATTTTTATTTATTATTTATATTTATTTTTATATATGTATATATATATTTATTTATATATATATATTTATTTATTTATTTATTTTATAAATATAGAAGGTTCTAAAGTACGCGTTGAACGGCATAAAGAAGAAGAGAATGATCTCATTAATTTCGATCTTTCTGACATTTCGGATTCAAAAAATTCTTCAGATGGAACAAATAAAACACATGAGACAACCGAAGTACATTTGAATAATCTTTTGCAAGAAGATCTTATAGACCTAAGAGACGAAAAAATTCAGAATACATTAAATTCTGAATATAATTCTGATATTAAGAAAGAAGGACCGATTAAAATAAAAGAACAAATTAAGGAAGAAGAGCTGATTAAAATAGAAGAACCAATTAAGAAAGTAGAACCAATTAAGGAAGAGCTGTTAATAGATTTAGATTTCGATACTAGTGTAACAGATGCTCCCAGTTATAATTCAATTTTCCCAAACAGCAAGGAATTGAATGATATTTTTTCTCTGATGCCTAAGAGTTCCGTAATTGAGAATAAAGATTTACTTTTATTCGATAATGAAGATTCAGATCCAGCCAAATCATTCTCAATTTCAAATTCAAAGAGTTCAAAGGATTTTCGATTTACTATTGAGACAAAAGAATTTGGGTTCCAAGTAATTATTGTAAAACCGGTAAATACTTTATTAATGTTAATTCATTTTTTTTTTATTTTCATATATTTGTGCTAATACTCTTTTCTTTTTTTGATTTATAAGGATGATAACCTCGACATTGTTCTGAAAAAATTTTGTCAAAAATGGAAAATGGAAGGACATATTGATTCTATTAGAAATCTCATGCAACTACATGTCAAACGCGAAAAAGGACGATCCAAAAAGAAAAGGTCTAATCATCCGAAGATTCAAAATTAACAGTTTTTTTTTTTTTTTTGAGAAATTTATCCTTATCTTCTCATTTCTCTTTTCTTATAATCCATCATTCTCTTTAAATTTTTCTAATATGTAATTTTTATTATTGGCTTCAATAACTCTTAAAAGTGCACTCAATGTCAAATTCTATTTGATAATCCAAAACGTCTTGTTTAAAAATTCTCGAAAAAAGATAAAATAAATATTTTATATAAAATTAAAATTATAACTTGAAAAAAAAAAAAAAATAGATTTTTGATATAGGAAATGATTTTCTAAAATCATTTTGTCTATAAGAAAGCTATGTAAATTATACGTGACCCCGTTTTGTAGTATTAAAGAAAGTTTTAATTACAAAAACTTGCACCGCAGCCATACCAACAATCACCGCACTTTCTAATATGGCAAACCAGAAAATTCTATTCTCGGTACTTTTGACGGTGGAGAAATTTCTGTTTTCTCTTGTTCTGAAATATTTTTGGGTTCTTGATACAGTACTCAAACTGCTACTAAGTCTTAAACAACTTTCTTCCATGCTACTTGTTTGATCAGGAGTAATTCCTTTTGATGGTGGTAATTCGGCACGAGGTTCATTTTCAATCGAAATTTCAAAATCGACGAGTTTTTCGGCAAATGTTGACATATCATTTGAAAAACAGAAAGAATATTCTCCAACATAATTTGCCGTAAACACAAAATCTCCTTGACGTTCACGATCACCAGAAATCACATGCTTACCGCGTGGATCTGTTACAATATAGTCAATATCAAAGGAACCACCAGTTTGTACCTGGAAAAACGTAAAAATAAATAGATATATAATTAATAAACCACTAAAGAATAACTTTCAAGATGCTTTATATTGACCAAGAACAGTGTAAATACTGTAAAGTATTAAAATTTCGAGTTGATTTCCTAAAGGATCCCTACTATTTAACTCAATTTTATATAGATGTCATCCTAAATCTAAAGACTTACCGCAAAATAAAAGGCAACTTTTTCTCCGGGTTTGTCTGCCCATGCATAAAAACAGGCTCTTTCATTAGCAGCAACATTATAAGTTAAGGAAGTTCCCTCTAAACTCCTAGGGAATATAATAAGACAAAATGCACATATAATACATAGCAGTAAAGACTTTGATTTATCCATGTCTTTGAATATCAATATTTATAAAAGAAATTAATCTTTAGTAAATCATTTTATACTTTTAATTGGACAATACGATATCATAAGACATTCATGTGAAATTTCTGAAGATCTCCGTAATACAAAATTTTGATTTCGTCGAAGAAATATTGAACACGTCAATATTAATAAGATGGTCAATTTTATATATATTTTTTTCCTCAAATAATAGTACGCATTGATAATATTGATAAATTGATAATATTGTATAACGTAAAGGAAGTTTACATACTTGGCAGTAAGCGACCCCAAAAAAAAAAATTCTATTTACACATTTTAGTTAATAATTGATTTTAAAGGGTAGTCACATGGAAGAGATTGTATAAAGTTTCACTAAACACAAAACTACACTTTTCTTATCTCGTAGATCTGTGATTTATTCGGTTTTTTGGGGGTGAATAAATCTTTAAAATCTTATGATAATTTTTCCATTTTAATTCAAATTGTGATCTTTCAGTTTCAAATTTAGGGTCCGCATTCCTCCGCAAAAAAAAATTAAAGATTTTCCTTTTTAGATGTTCATTATCACGTGTTTTATTTTTTAATTATAAATTCGCGGCGTCCAGGTACTGGCTCTTGAATATCTGTGTCAAAATCTTGTTATTTTGAGCATTAATTATAGAATTTTTATATTTTATCGTTTATTACTTACTTTTTATTGATATATTTAAAAGTTTAAAAGTTTTCAAGTTTTCAAAACAAATAAAACAAAATAAAACAAATAAATTAATAGAAAATGTATAACAATAAACGAAAGAGATATGATAATGATAATGATAAATTAAATAATAAATTAGTTTCAAATTCTGGTTCATCCGGGGATGCTTCTGAAGAAGATAATAATACCCCGCTTACACCCTCTTCTCCGAATTCTTCCAATAAATTTTATACAAACAATGATAGTGAAATTTTGCCAACAAAACGGCCAAAAGTTAAGGATAATGATGATAATGACGATGAAATTACAAGTTCACCTACTTCATTATTTTCACCAAATATAAGTGACGCAGATATTACTGAAATAGAGAAAAATATAATACAACTTTCAGAACAATATTCATTTAAAATCAATCCACCACCTACTGATAGACCGGTTCGCATATATTGCGATGGTATATATGATTTATTTCATTTTGGTCATGCTAAGTCACTAAGGCAGGCCAAAAATTCTTTCCCTAATGTTACCTTATTAGTCGGTGGTATGTTATTCTTAAATAAATTCATTGAATTTTTAATGTTAGTATTATAATGATATTTATGAAATTTTTTTTCTTTAAAATAAAAGTGTGTGACGACGAAACAACCCACAAAAAAAAAGGGAAAACCGTCCTCAATGAGTACGAACGGGCAGAATCCCTGCGACATTGTAAGTGGGTTGATGAGGTTATAGAGCACGCGCCGTGGACTATAGATCAAGAGTTTCTTAATCTTCATCGTGTACGTCAATATTATATAATATATATATATATATATTTTTTAATCAATTAATTTATCCTAAAAATTCAAATATTTTATTTGATATTTATTAAAATTAGATCGACTATGTCGCGCACGATGACATCCCCTATGCTTCGGAAGATTGTTCGGATGTATATGCGTTCGTCAAATCGCAAGGTAAATTCCTCCCCACACAGCGTACGGAAGGTGTATCAACGTCTGATCTTATAACTCGTATAGTACGAGATTATGATCAGTACGTCCGAAGGAACCTGGAACGAGGTGTCTCCGCTAAAGAATTGAATATTGGATTCTTGAAAGTAAATATGAACTATTATAATTTTATTATGATTTATCATGACTTATATATAATTTATTGTTGACTTATATAATAAAATGGATAAAATATTTATTTTAGGAAAAAGAGATCCATATGAAAAAGTCCATATCAGATATTAAAACTTCAATTCATCAAAACTGGCACGGAACCAGAGTTGAGTTGAGCAATAATTTTTCAGAATTGAAACATGATTTGGCCCAAACCTTTACGGAGTGGGAGGAGAGAAGTCAGGAATTTGTAAGGGGGTTTGCCGGAAAATTTGGTGCGGAAAGTGTTGTGGTATGTGAACATTTTGAATTTTGTATTTTCTATCTTTAATTATTATTTTAATTATTTTAATAATTTAATTTCAAATCTTTTTTAAATTAGGATAAAATTTTTCGGCGTCGATCGCGTGGGACGTTAGCTAGTGGATCGGAAATTACTGAAGAAGAATCAAATAGAAATGGTTCATCGGAAGAAGATCCATTGCTACGTTCAAGAAGTGTTTCCCCTGTAAGAAGGGTTATCGACTTTATTAAAAGGGATAACAAGGAACAGAGGAATCAGCAGCAGCAGCAACAACAACAACAATAATAATCAAAAAATCTAATAATTTGTATAATTTGTATATAAATTTTTATTTTAATTGGGATTTTAGATTCCCTCTAGTAAAAAAAAAATCTAGTAAACATCTAGTAAATCTTTAGTAAATCTTTAGTAAATCTTTGGTAATTACTAGCAAATCTTTGGTAATTACTAGCAAATCTCTCTAAATCTCGCTAGTAAATCTATAAAATAATATTGATAATATTTATTAAAGAATGATTGTTTTAGGAATTCATTTATCTGAATTTTGTATTTTTGTATTTTTGTATTTTCTATATTCATCATTGTGTCATTTATTTGCCCCAATTTTTTCATCATTTTTTTTCTTTTTTCACATGAAGCGATGTCACTATTCGCAAATTTACTGGATTAAAATAAGCTTAATCTATTAAACCTAATCTTTGTGAAACCAAAATTCGATAAAAATTACAAATTTGAAAATAGTTTTTATTTTTCTTTGAATTATATATATCAGGGTCATGATATAATTTTTCCTTTGAAAGTACCTCTTTTTTTTTTTTTTTTTTTTTTTTTTTTCTCTCTTATTTATGTTAAAAATAATCATATACATTCAAAATCTTATCAAACAAATAATATCTTAATTATGGCATTATTTGATAAATTTTTCATGAAAATTTCCGTTCATATAGGTGGTGTTGCTTTGGATCACTTAAAAGTAGTTTTTACATTAATACTCACTTATCCATTAGCTTTAATATATAAAAATCTTATAATTTCAAATAATCAAAGTTTTAAACATTTATTTTCGATTTCCTATGCGATCTTTGTATTTTTTGCTATCTTTGATTTAACTGAAGCATTTTATGGAATGCTACTTAGCTCCCTTTTGACATATGTAATAATGTATAATGTCAAAGGTGTTTGGGGACCAAGAATAGTGTTTTTATGTGTATTGGGACAACTTAGTTTTAGGTAAATTTGATAAATTTTTTGATTTCTTGATCCCGAATGATATTAGTTTATTAGAATATTTTGGGTCTAATGTTTAATGTCAATTAAGGATCATATCATTTTTCTTCTTCTAAAATAGTCATATATCTCGACAATATGAAGATTCATCAGATAAATTTGATTCGACTGGACCTCTAATGGTTTTGGTCATAAAGTTAACTTCTTTCGCATTTAGTGTTTATGATGGACGAAGACCGAGTCATGTTTGTGTCTTTGATTTAAAGTTATTTTTATTATCCCTTTTTATTCTTTATTATAACATTTATTTTATAACTTTTAAATCTGCAGGAATTATCTCCGGATCAAAAACTTAATTCGATTCAAGTTATGCCTTCAATACTTGAATTTTTAGGTTATGTATACTTCTTTGGTGGATTTATGATCGGTCCAGCTTTTAATTTCATGGAATATCGACAATTTGTTAATCTGGAAATGTTTAGAATTGAATCCGAATGTTTAATTAATGGTGATATTAAACATTTACAGCCACAAAAATCTATCAATGGTATCAACAATAATAATAATATTATTATCAAGGGTGAAGAAAATATTCAAACAAATGTTCAAACAAATGTTCAAACAAATGTTCAAGCGAATATTCAAACAAATAATATTCAAACAAATAATATTCAAACAAATAATATTCAAACAAATAATATTCAAACAAATATTCAAACAAATATTCAAACATTTGCTTATAAAAAAAATGATGATGAAATAATTTCGAAAATTCCAAAATATTATTTTCCAAATGGATTTATTCCTGCGATGAGCAAATTTTTAAATGGATTATTTTGTATTGCATGCATGATCTCGATTGGTAATAAATATTCATTCGATTGGACTTTAAGTGAAGAATTCAAATCGATCTCATTTTTGGATCGGTAATTATACTAAACTAATTATATTAATTTATATTAATTATATTAATTTATATTAATTATAATTAATTTATATTAATTATTTTAATTTACATGGTAAATATTAAATGGATGGTAATTTAATATATTATTTTTAGGTTTTTATACATACAAATGGCAGCCCTTTGTGCACGTTTTAAATATTACATTGTTTGGTTAATAGCAGAAGGAGCTTGCATTCTTTCAGGATTAGGGTTTAATGGTTATGATGAAAAAGGATGCATAAAATGGTAATAAATTTTATTTAAATAGATATAGATATAGATATATATATATATATCTTAGCTTCATTCATTAATAATAATTTCAATTTTTTTATTGATAATTTCTTCATTAATTAAAAGGGATCGTGTAACAAATATTGAAATTGTTGCATACGAATTAGCTGATAACATTAGATCCTTGTTAGAAACTTGGAATAAGAAAACAAATCAATGGCTAAAGAATTATGTATATCTTAGATTAACTCCACTAGGAAAAAAACCAACTTTTTTTTCGACTTTTACTACTTTCGTAACAAGTGCTATATGGCATGGATTTTATCCTGGATATTACTGTAAATATTATTTATATTATTATTTATATTATTTATATTATTAATATTATTATTTATATCATTTATATTATTTGATAATTTTTTTAATCGATTCGAAATTTTAAAATTTTTAATTAAAAAATAGTGACGTTTGTTTCCGGAGCTTTTGTCCAAAGCCTTCATCGAAGTAAGTTTCAAATTTCATTCATTATTATATTATATATATCACATAACTTTTTTTTTTAATTTTAATTTTAATTTTAATTTTTTTTGTTATTTTCATTAAAGAACTTCGTCGTCACGTTCGTCCAATTGTCTTAACACCAAGATTCGCCCACCTAAAATTTTTATATGATTTCTTAGGGTGGCTGGCCACTCAATCAATTATAAATTATTTGGTTATTCCATTTAATTTACTTACATTGAAAAATTCACTTTATGTATGGAGTAATTTATACTTTTGTGGACATTTGGCAATTCTTTTCTCCCATATTGCTTTCTTTCTGGGCGCAGGAATAGTTTGTAAAAAAATTGTTTCAGTTGGTGGCGGTTCTGTTGAAACAGAGGAAGTTATGGTGAAAAAGAAGAAAATTTTTATTAGTAAACATTAAATTCTTTCAAACTTAATCATATTCACTACCATTTAAATATTCAAGATTTATTTTGTAATAAAAAAAAACAAAATAATAAATAATAATAATAAATAAAAGAAATAAAAAAAAACGATTTAGTAAAATCTGTTTAATTACATTGAATTATAAATTAAATATACATGATATATTTTATATCAACTATTTCCTCAGTTCTATATATTTTGATAAATACCAATGTGAATTTTTGATTCGACCAAGGTAAAGGAATTGATAGAGTTGGTGTATAATAAATCATATTCCACATTATTTTTTCATCATACTAAAAATTAACTTGCAATTGGTCTATCTTTCCAATGTAATCATTAAGGGTCAATAAATGTGTCATAATGATTATCTCGCGACATTAGGGAGTGTTATTCCGAAATACGCGAGAAATCAAATGGAAAATTTTTTATACTCACAATAAAATAAAATCACATGATCGTTATTAATATGATGAACAAATTTTCACACGTGTAGATCATTACGATTAAATTTTCAATTTCGTTCATTTCATATGATTTTTATGATTTAAAGGATGATAGACTTTATCTAGTCCCCCTAATGACAATAATTTTTAAATAAAAAAATTTCACTTAAATATATTATTTATTTTATTTAACAAATTACCTTTATGTAAAAAAAAAAAAATGAATTCTTTCAGGGTAAAACATAATAATATATTCTCTTTCATTTTAACAGTAACCCTGGTTCTTATTGTCAGTTGTATAGTTCTTTCCAAAGCTTCAGAAAATCCAGTTCAAAAGAATGATAGTTTAGGATCTAATACTGATAATATTAATAATACCAATAATATTAATAATAAGGATAATGACACCAATTCCGAAGAAAACCCTTTAAAATTTATTATTGTCTTTTTCACGATTCTTTGGAGTATTGTCATAACACTTTATTGGATAATTACTATGATATTTACCCCATTTATTTGGATTTCAAAGATTCTTTTCAATGCATTTATTTATAACCCTTACATGGCCATAAAAACCGTTTTTTATTTCTTTTCCCCGCTATTTATATTTTGCTCTGTGGCATTGGCTCTTGGAATTTGTGTTGGAGGTACAGCGGGATGGTTCTCTGAATTGATTGTTGGGGTGTTGACCGCTCCGAATAATATTGAAATAATGTCAAGTGAAATTGAAAATAGCAAACGTATGGCAAAATTAAAAAAGCGAGCTGCTGCTCTCGCTAATCTAAAAGCTAAGAACGGAGGAAGACTTCCTGAATTTTATCGACACAATATGTTACCGAAAAGAGATGGATCAATGGAAGAATATGGAAATGATTATAATAATAGTAATAATAATAATAATAATGAATTTTCAGCTGCAGGAGTGGGAAAGTAATTGGAAAATTTTTGAGCATAAAACATAAAATAAGATTTTTTTTTTTTTAATATTATTTTACAATAAATTTTATTTATAATTTTAACAAATTTAACGAAAAATTTTTTATATGAATTATATATATATGTATATGTATATTTCACTACACCAAAATCGCTCCACCTAATATAATTATTGGACTTAGTGAAGTAAATGAAGTGAACCATATATTATATTTCATTTTCTGAAGTAATTGATCTAATAAATCTGGTGGTGACTCTGTTAATCCTGGTTTGTAATAACCAGAAATTTTCCATCCTGTTCTTTTCGTAAAGTCGCGCCGGAACACGACATACCGAATGAACTCGCATGAATTTATATTTCCTATCTGTTTGCCATACTTATCGAATCTTATAAGTTTCTAAGTCAATTTTAAGATTTGATTTTTTTTTTTTAGATTTAAATTTTGAAAGAAAGAATTTTAAATAAAAATACGTAGTACAACTAAAAACAGTTTACTTCTTTTGTATGGAATTTCAACATCACTTGTGCAGAGGAAAATTGTTCATATTGACTTATCTGGACAAATTCATACTTCTTTAATGGTTTCACCTCTTCGATGGTATAATAAGTCTTTGTGTTATTCTTCCTAGACTTTAATGCAAATTTAAGATTCTTTGATCCCGTATTGAATTAATAAAAATAGAAAAAAAAATCATTTTGAAAAATATTCAATAAAAATGTCAAAGATAATTTACATTATACATTGGAGTAGTTACGAGACTTTTAATTGCTTCCAAATTTCCTCTAAATATTTAAATTCAAAAAATATTTCGAAATAGGAAAATATCTTTAATTTATAAAAGCAATTACAATTAAAAGTTAAATCTTACTGAGCAAAATGTTCATTCATTTCTTTATACATCTCAAAGGCTTTATTTTTTTTAAATTGACCTATATTGTGTTCTTCATTTTTATATGGACACTCGCCTTGAGCGCGATATACCTGAATCCAACTAAAATAAAAAATAAAAAAATAAAAAATAAAAAATAAAAATAAAAAATAAAAAAATAAAAAATAAAAAATAAAAAAATAAAAAATAAAAATAAAAAATAAAAAAATAAAAAATAAAAAATAAAAAAAAAAAACAAAAGGATTATGTTGATGGAATGATAAATATGGTTATACCTATACGTTTTTTTTATGAAATTTTTCCAATCTATAGTTCGCGTAGGCCATTTTCTAGGAAAAATATAAGGATCTTATAATTTTGGAAAAAAAAAAATCAATAAAAAATTAAAGTAATTGAATGGTAATTATTTGAAATGATGATAAAAGATTATATTTTTAATAACCAACCGCTAAGAGAAATGTCGAAATTGATTTGTGAATCAAAATCTTCAGAAGTGCTGGCATAATTTCGAGTAATTAGGGATTTAAAATATAAATGAGAATATTTAGAATTTCTAAAGTAAAATTGTCTGTAAATTGGTTTGTTTAAAAACATTTAAAATAAAATTCATTCGTTACGATAAAAAAAAAAAATTATTACTTTTTATAGATCACTAAATTTATTCCTACTGGCTTGAACCATCTAGACAAAGCACGTGTCTTTTTGATTATATTCACAAAAAAAAAGAAAAAAACATACAATTTTTTTAATGAATGTCACTTTTTTTAGTTCATATGATTCTTTGAAATTCTCTTTTTCAAGTGTGTGAGAGGATTAAATACAAAAAAATTTTTTTAATAATATTTTCTTTATAGAATTCACCAAATGAAAAAGAAGCCCATTACGTATTCCAACGTGACTCCCTAGAGGAAATTAAAGTTTGGATTTTTTAGATAATCTCTGCAACTTTAAATTTTATTCATTAATGCAGTAATGCAAAATGTGGGCATCAAAATTTAAATTTTTTACTAAAAATAGAAAATAAAAAAATTAGAGTAATTTTCAATATTTAAAATAATTATTTATATATATAATTTACAAAATATTTATTGATTATTATCACTTTTTGAAAAACATATATTTAAAATTACCAAAAATAAGTTATACCACAAAGTGTTGTAATTGTAATACCAAAAATTCAAAAAAAAAAAATTCATATAATAAATTGGAATCAAATTTCAGGGGTTTTAATTTTACAAAAATATTTATGTTATGTATAAAATGCCATTTATATCAAAAATTTTTTAGTAATTGATATTGTTTGTAGTACCTCCAAAGTGAAAAAAAGAAAATAAACAAAAATAAACATTAGAAATAAAGAAATAATGAAAAAAAAGGAAAGAGAAAGATAAACCTTAATGATATTGGTGCAATTATAGTTCAATTGAAAAAAAAAAAAGTTAGATATGATGATATAAAACTACATTATATGCACATCGTGATGCAATCTAGGTAAAACATGTGAAAGTAAAAATAGAATATGTAAAGAGTCAAATTTTGTTGACTAAAGCATGTTAATAACTAGAATAAAACCAATAAAAAAAACCAATAAAAAAGAAAAATCATTAAAATCAATTAAAGTTAAAGAATAATTAACATCCACATCCTTCGTATCTAGCTGTTTCGCTATCGATTTTGATTGGGTCTGGTAAATCATTGTAACTAATGCGGAAAAGAAAAAGATTAAAAATATAATTGCTGTAATTTAACAATATGACAATATGATAATAAAGAACTTACAAATCTTGATCAGTTTCTTGCTGTAAAGCATTTTTTGCGATAGTTTGGAATGCCTGTTCAACATTAATCGCTTCTTTCGCACTGGTTTCAAAATATGGAATATTGCCTTTGGATTGACACCAAGTCATGGCACGTTTTTGAGATACCTAATAAAAAATTTTTTTTTTTTTTTTTTTAAAAAAAAGAAGAGATTATAAAAATTAAAGATCATCTTGCATAAAGATCATATGAAATTAAAGATTAAATGAATGACAAAATTAAATAATAATAGATACCATTCTTTTCGATTCTTCCATATCGATCTTATTACCCAAGACAACGAATGGAAAATTTTCGGGGTCTCGTGGAGATGCTTGAATTAGAAATTCATCTCTCCAGCTATCCAATGTCTCAAAACTTTTGGCATTGTTTACATCATAGACCAGAACGCAACAATCAGCTCCACGATAAAAAGCAACACCTAAAGATTGAAACCGTTCTTGACCAGCCGTATCCCAAATCTTTGAATAATAAAGTTTATTTTTTATTCCATTATGGAAATGAATTAAAGAAATTAAAAAAAAATTTTATTTTTAAGAAAAAGAAAAAAAACCTAAAAGTGGCATTAATTAACAAACCTGCATTGTCACAAGACGATCATCTACCATGACTTCTTTGGTCAAAAAATCGGCACCAATAGTGGCTTTATATTGGTTACTGAACTTTTTATTAACATATTGATTCATTAACGATGTTTTACCAACACTATTCAAAATACAAAAAAAAAAAAATAATAATAAATAACAATTAAAAAAGTTTTACATATGCACATATGTAAAATGGATAATGGAATCCTGTCAGCATGACCCTGATTTATTCATTTAGACAATTTGTGGTATTTTTCTAAGACCTTCTAGAAGTAACAGAGAAGTAATAGTGTTTGCCAGATCTAAAGACTAAACAAAGGGCTGAGGAATATTTTAACTATATATCAAAAGAAAACAATTCGGTCTTCATCGAACCATAAAATTTTAAACTTACCCACTATCACCTAGAATAATAACCTATTAAAAAATAAAAACAATTTTTAACTTTTTTTTTCATAAAATTTCATAAAAAAAAAAAAACACGAATGAAAAATGAAGACACGGAAAGATTGTTGTGAATATATATTATATATGATCCTATCACAACAGTACATACCTTTAAAAGAACCTTCTTACGGGAAGCCATTTGAAAATGTAATTATTTATATGACTAAAACAAAAATTAATCGTAAAAGGTATAAATATATATATATGTTCAAAATTTTCAGGTTAGACAAGAGTCCACGATATATTTAAGTAAGACACGAGGTTTTTTTAATATTTTAGATAGATATAAAATAGATAAAAGTTATGCAGAGTACAGATAGAAAGGGCTATTAAAAACGGCTGAATTGCTTGTGAAACCAGGAGAACGAAGAATGTAAGATGCTGCGTTGGATATTAATGAACATGGGGGTGTCAATGACATCACAGCCAGAGTACAATATGACTTTATTTTTCACGCCTTCCCGCAGCAATGTTTTATTGTGTCATTATACATTTCTTTTTATGTAAAATATTGGTCGATTAAAACAATTGAAATTCTCGAACGATTATTTTTTTTTTTTTTGAGATTATCGAGATTTTTTTGTAGTTAAATTTATTAGAAAATAGATTAAATAAATTAAAAATAAGATTAAATAAAGGTAGGTAATTATACATAATTCTAAATAATATTTTCTGGTTTTTAATAATTATTATAATTATTATTACGTTCTTGGAAGTACTTTCGGTTCCCAAGCTATAATTTTTGGTGCAGTTGTATTATAAGTCTTAAAAGCTTTGGGAGTACCTGTGAAATTTTCAGTATGTTCTTGAAGGTATTTTAAAGATATCGGTGGATTTACTGTTGGCGGTTCATCTATTATTTTATGTACCCAACCGTGCCTATTCAATATTTTGTGAATAAAAAATGGGAAAACGGGAAAAATATTAAAAAGGTTAAATATGTCAAGAAAAGAAGTAAATTTATGCATAAATAAATAAATAATGAAATAAAATATATTACCATTCTGATGGTATTTGACTAGAATCCGAATGATAATGAGCATATTCTACCCATCGATCTCGACCTGTAGTGTATATTCGATTAGTACGTTTTTTTTTTGTAATTGCTAATTCTATTTTTATTTTTTTTTTAAATTATGTACATACCACAAACCTCTTCTTTATTTTCGAAATACTTATTACCAAACTTGTCAACACCAACAAGTGTACCAGTTTTGACTTCACCAATGGTTAACATTTGTTTAAAAGCTGATCTAGGACCAACCTTAAATATATTTTTGACCAAGCGTGGTATAGAACTCATCCTTGAATAAAAATAAAAATTTAAACAACTTTTTTAACGTTGCCAAATTTATCATGATTGGCTATTTAATTTCCAAGCCACATGTATGATTAACATGTTATATGTTCGAATTTCATTCAAAAAAAAAAAAAAGTTAAATTTAAAGTCTAAACTATTAAATCTATATAGTGGGAAAAAATGGTTATAGAAAGGAAACGTTATGCTATTGGAATTATTCTCCTATTCGTTGTTGTCATTATATGGGTTAGCTCTTCATTTTTAACAAAAGTAAGCTAACTTAAATAACTTTATGTATTTTTTTGAGAATATTTATCATTTTATTGTCCATTAATATTATAATTTTTTACATATTTTGAAGCACATTTTTTCACAAAAAGAGTACAACAAACCATTTGCTATAACATATTTGAATACTGCGTCCTTTTCATTGTATTTATTAGCATTTATTTTTAGTAAAAAACGTCCTGTGGATAAACAAAGGTATATAACTCAATAATGATTTCTTGAACGATATTTTTTATTTATATATACGCGAATGGTTGATGAATTAATTTTCTTTTCAGAATATTAGAATTTAACCACGCGTTATATGATACGAATTCTCAATTATCAAATGATTCAAATGATTCAATAAGTAATCATTCTATAAAATCTGACGATGGTATGATAAATGTAAGTTATTGAAACCTTTTTCATTTATGTTTTTTTTTTTATGTTTCAAACAAATTTTTTTTTTTTTTTACATTATTTAAATTTAAATTATTATTGATAGGAAACGGAAGCTCCCGAAGTTGGCAATTCTGGCAATTATAATTTATATTCCACACCACAAAGTAGTACATTCGCTTTAGGATTAAATAATGACGATAATTCCTTTTTTATGCGTTCACCTCGTCCAACTGAAGATTATTCTTCTATTGATCCTCATGATTTACTCTCAAACGTTCGCGTTGAAGAAAAGTTGAAAACGCATGAGGCAAGAACGCAAATCTTATTGTAATTTTGAGAATCAATGATTTACTTAATGTTTTATACTTCTCTACATACATACATACATACATACATATATATATATATATAGGTCGCTAAATTAGGGTTTAAATTTTGTATGTTATGGTTTGCAGGTAAAAAAATTTTGAAATTTTTCAATTTTGTTATATTTTCATACAAGAGAAATTAATTAAAATTATTTTTTTTAATAATAATAGCCAATTGGTGCAGTAATGCATCTCTTGCATATACAACTGTTGCAAGTAGTACAATTTTAGCTTCTACTTCAGGTTATTATTTTATTTCCTAATATTATGTAAGTATTTAATGTAATATTTAATGTAATTATTTAATGATTTTTATTTATTTCTTATTAAGGGTTCTTCACTTTGGGAATCGGATCTCTAGCTGGAGTTGAGAAATTTACATATGTTAAATTATTAGCTGTCTTTGTTAGGTAAAATATTTTTTTAAATATTTTAATTAAATCTTTTTTAAATCTTTTTAATTAAATATTTTTTTAATAATTTATTTTAGTGTCATTGGAGTTTCCTTAATTTCTATTGAAAGACCTGATGAAGGTCAGGATAATCCCGTTGATCCCTTTTTTGGTGATTTTCTGGCAATTCTTAGTGCATTGTTTTATGGATCTTATTCGGTTTTTTTAAAAATTCGAATACAACGTGAATCTCGGGTCAATATGCCCTTATTTTTTGGATTTGTTGGATTATTTAATGTTTTTTTATTGTGGCCTCTTTTTATATTGTTACATCTTTGTGGTTTTGAATATTTTCAACTTCCATCTAATGGTGAAATTTGGGTTATGATCGCAATTAACGCTTTAGTGGGAACATTTCTTTCAGATTATTTATGGTTATTGTCTATACTTATGACTACTCCATTAGTTGTAACATTAGGATTATCATTGACAATACCATTAGCGTTAATTGGTGATGTTTTTTTCGAAGGAGTTCTATTGAAAACGGGATATTTAATTGGTGCATTGTTAGTTGTGAGTGGATTTCTTGGAGTAAATTTTGAGACTTTGAAAGATGGATATAAATTTAAATCATTAATGAATGAAGATAATATAGGTCAAGATTCTAGACAAGATTCAAGATGTTAAATTTATTATCTCTTTTAAATTTATTATTGTTATTATTATTATTATTATTATTATTTGTTGTAAGTATTTTTTGATAAATATAGATTGTTTATTTAATAGACTTTTTTTTTGGAAATTTATTTATTATTCTTTGACTTATTCTTCGATTTGTTCTTTGTACATTATTTAAATTTTTTTTTTTATTCATTTGTCAATAAAACCAATTTAATTACTTTTTTAAATATAATAATATAATAATAATAATAATAATAAATGTTTATATACAAAACCAATAAAATATTTATTATTCAAATAAGCACACAATTTATACAGTTTATACAATTTATACAATTAATATTATATTTGAAAATAACATCAATTTACTTTACATTTATTTATTTGTATTTGTTTAGCCGTGTGATATTTGAAGTTAGAAACAATTGATTTTTTTTTTTTTGACTTCCAATATGTACAAAAGAATTCATATCACATTATCTTACCGAAGCGTGATTTTAATCTCGAAAAAATCGTGCATAATATTCATTAATACTTGTAAATGGATCCTTATAATGATGCATCATTCCTGCTCCCGGAATTTCATATGGATTATTATATTGACATGGATTATTATATTGACATGGATTATTATATTGCCATGGAATATTATATTGCCATGGAATATTATATTGCCATGAATTATTATATTGATGCGTCATTCCTGCTACTGGAATTTCATATGGATTAATTTGTCGACGCATCGTCGTTGGCATTTCCATTGGATATGGATTAAATCGATACGATCTCTCCTCCCTATGTAATCTAATTCTCTCCTGTTTATCTTGTTCACGATGTTTTGAATCAGCGCATTCGGAATTTGCATTTTTCATAAAATCATGAAATGAAAGTAATTGTGAATCCTTTTTCAAATCACAATTTTTGTTATCCTCAGTTAAAAGTTTCGAACTAGGTCGTAATTGGGAATCCTTTTTTTTGGAATCATCCGGGAGACGTAATTGTGAGTTCTGTTTTGAAATACTACTACTAACATTTTTTTTGGAATTATCAGAGGGACGTGATTGTAAGTTCTGTTTTGAACCATTACCACTTTTTTTGTTGTCACCAAATATAGAATTTATTGCTTTGTCCAAAGCTTCATCAGTTTTTTTGCAAAATTCTTCATACATTTCATCTCTTTTGGCAAAATACTTGGTATTATCAAAACGTTTGGTGGTAGAAGATTGAGAAGATTGTGGGTTCGATTTTAAATCATTTTTTTTGGTATCCTCAAATAAAAGTTTAGGAGGTAATTGTGAATTCGATTTTGAACTACTTTCTTTGGTATCATCAAGTTTAAGTTGGGGAGGAGGATCCTGTTTGCTGGAATCTATAATTGAAGATTTGTTGTCCAATAATAAATTATTAGTGGATTCCGGTTTATGGCTAAAATCTAGAAATGAAGGTTTGGGAGGTAAACCAAATTTGTTGTATTTGTTGTCGTTTGTACTTGATTTTGGAGGGTGAACAGGTTTGTTGATATCTAGAAATAAAAAAAAATATATTCATTAAACATAAAATATATCTATATCTACATAATATTATATATATAAATATATATATATATATATGTATGTATAGCTTTAAAATTAAAGTTATTTCATAACATAAAATTGAAAAATTCCTGATTTAATTGGTTCCGAAGTTAGTTTAGATTTGTTAATATCACCACCTCTGACACCTATTTATTTTTCATTATAAAAGTTATAAAAATTATAGAAACAAAACTATAAATACTGTAACTTGAAACTGAAACTTTACTTATAAGGTTTTCCTTTGTAGAATTAGGTTTAATTTTACTTTGATAAGCAAAAGTTTGATTACTTCCATTTTTATTAGGAACTAAAGTTTTGATTGAGCTTTCCGAGTTTTTTTCAAGGCTGGGCAAAGGTCCCCATGGTGTAAAATATTTGTTTAATCCAATATTAGTCTCAGGTTTGTTTGAAATTTCTGTATCAGACGAAGAATCGTCTTCAATTACTATGACCTCTGGCTCGTCCTTGCCGGATTTGCAGTGGCCATTGGAAATAATTTTTGAAAACGACATTTTATAATATACCGCGTAAACAGATAACAGAATTCGTACACATGACGCTCATTAAATAGAAAAAGATTTGTTTATTAAGGTATCAAAATCGTAACTTTTGCCTTTTTATATCCTTTGTACTACACCTTAAATAATTTTTTTTTTTTTTTCAAGATAATCCATTAATAATTAATCATAAAGAAAAAGAAGTACATTTAGTTTATAGTAGTTTATAAACAATGGCAACTATTTTTAAACTAACGAAAGCCCAAAAAGACCTGGAAAACCAAGAAGAACCACAAAAGAAAAAAGATAAAAAGTCAATCTATAAACAACGAGTTCTGATTATGGCTTCTCGAGGCATAAATCATAGGTTCGCGTGAAAATATTAGTAATTATCAATAAATATCAGTATTTCTCAATTTCTTACATAAATGTTTTTAAAATTTTTCATTATGTAGACAGAGACACCTTATGAATGATTTGACAACTTTATTGCCTCATTTTAAGAAAGGTTAAATTTTATATAATTCATTTGCTTTTAATAATCTAATAATTTTTTTTTAATGATTATTTTTTTATTATTTAGAATCTAAGTTTGATCAAAAATTCCAACTTGCGATCATAAACGAATTAGCGGAACTTAATAATTGTAATAATTGTGTCTTTTTCGAAGTTCGCAAACGTCAAGATTTATATTTATGGACAGCAAAAGCACCCAATGGCCCGAGTATTAAATTTCACGTTCTAAATAGTATGTTTATAATTATAATGTAATGTTAATTTAATATCCGTTATGTTGTTGAGATAACACCTAATATTTTTATCTATTCTATATTAATAATGATTAGTCCATACAATGAATGAACTTAAGATGACAGGCAATTGTCTTAAAGGATCACGTTCAATTCTTTCTTTTGACAAAAGATTTGATTCGGAACCTCATTGGATGTTGATAAAAGAAGTCTTTACCCACGTAAGGAATCATATTTTATTAATTAATTTAATGATACATTCATGTTGAACTTATAATGTTATAATATTCATTGAATATATTCCCAGATTTTTGGTGTGCCCAAGAATGCGCGCCGTATAAAGCCTTTCGTTGATCATGTCATTTCTTTTACAATAGCTGATAACCGAATTTGGTTTCGGAATTTTCAGGTATATTCTAAATTTATTGAATTTAATGAATTTAATTTATTGTGCAATGAATTTCATTATCAAAACTGCATTTAATAATATTAATAATGTTTTGGTTCGTTCTTTCTTTCTGAATGCTTTCTGCCGAAAAAGATTGTTGAAAAAGATCCTATAACAACTAATAAAAAGAATTCAAATGATAAGGATATTTCACTGGTCGAAATTGGTCCTCGGTTTGTTCTTAATGTTATTAGAATATTTGAAGGAAGTTTTTGTGGTGCAACAATCTATTCCAATCCAGAGTTCGTTAGCCCAAATCAAGTATGTATAATTAAATTCAATAGAGAATACTATATATATATATCGCGTTTTTTCATGAATTCCTTGAAGTGTGATAATAATTAATATTATACTCTTATTGCAGGTTCGACGCAATATCCGTATGGCTAAATCTGGTCGATATAAAACAAGAATGATAGCCCGAAATGAAAGGCAACTTAAGTTAGAAAATTGTGAATTGCCCGAAGATACTCCGAGTGAATAATAATTTTTTTTTTTTTTAATTATTGAACTTAATTTATTTTATTTATCAATTCTCTGCCTCTTAAATGGCATTCGTTTATGTTCTTTAGCCGCGTTCCTTTTTCTTCTTTTTTCTATGACTTTATCAATAGCTTTAGGATTCTTCTTTTGTAATTCATCAAATTTGTCAATAAGTTCCAATTTCTTTTCATCAGCTAAAAATGTATAATTTAGATATTTCATAAGCAGAGAAAGAAAGAAATAGAAATGAAATAAAAATAATAAAAATAATAAAAAAAAAATTTTTTTACATTTTTTGATATAAAAAGGATTTTTCCCTTTAACAACACGTTCCAATTCCGCTTTTTTTCGTTCTCCTTTCAATTGTTTCTTTCGTTTTAATTCTTTCTCGTGCGCAAGTTTAGATTGCTATATATTAATTTTTCCAACAACATTTATTAATTAATTGATGAATCATTCAAAGACTTATCAATAATAAAAAAGATTATTTATAATACCGATCTCGTTAATAATTTTTGTAAATTTTGTTTTTTTATTGGATTCTTTTCTTCCTTTATCTGTTTTCGAATTTCTTCAATTTCGGATAACTTGTATTCATTCAAAAAGCTATAAGATTTTTCAAATAAATCTTCATTTAATTTGCCCGAAAGATCACCGAAACGTGGATCGCGTTTTTTCTTTTATATATATATATGAATTCACCAACGCGAACGCTCGAAAGTTAATTTAATGTACAATATAACTAATTTAAATGAAATATAGAATAATTTCATAATAAAACGTACCGGTGAAACTACTTCAACAACTTGTCGAAACCTACTGACGGGCTTTTTTGAAGACATTTCCATGGGACTTAAATGATAGTAATAAAATATAACTTTGAAAATCCTTTTCAAAATCGAATTCGTAACTGCAATATTTAGTTTATTAAATTAACTCTAACCGGTGTTTATGTTTATTCACCCTTTTTGAAGGACCCTCTTTTCTGGAATGTTTTCTTATTTCTTTCTGTTCTTGTTCTTCCGAGGAATTCTCCTCTTCCGAAGAATTTTCGCGTTCTTCTTCTTTCGAGGAGACATCCGAGGTATCTTCACTATTTGAACTATCTAAAACAAAATCCGATTTTTCCGATTTTTCCTCGGATGTCTCGTCATTACTACTATCCACGTTTTTGATGCGACCCAAATTTTTATTTTTATTCATGTTTCAATGTTTTTACTACGATCCGTTTTTTTTTTTGGATTCCGATCGTCAATAAGTTTAATGCGTAACTTGAATTCTGATTGGATTAAGTTTAGTCTCTTTTTCTTAAAAAAATGGGTCGCAATAATCCAACTCTTGAAACATTCAAATATTACAAAAAAGAAAAAAGAAGTCGGAATGCACACGAAAAATTAGCTATAATTACCTATTTTGAAAAAAATCCACAAGCTTCAAAACGAAATACAGCAAAAACATTTAATATTGAACCTAAGCATTAAGGGATTGGATTAGAAAAAAAGAACAGTTGTTGTCAGTAAGATCTCATATCAAACGGCTTAATATAGGTGCAAAACCACGATATCCAATATTGGAAGATGAACTTTTTGCATGGGTTAAATCTTTACGAACTTAACAAAAAGTTGTTACTCGTCATATGATTCGTGAAAAAGCAAAATCACTAGCTAGAAGATTTTAATTTATTGCATTATATCCAAATATTTCTGAATGTAAATGGGATGAAAAATGGTTGGCTGGATTTATGTGACGCTATAAACTTAGTAATCGTCGCCATACAACAGTATCGCAAAGGATACCAGATGATTTAATTGGAAAACAACAAGAATTTTTAAGTTTCATTTTATATCGACATATTCAATATGATTATCCTTTAAATTTAATTGGAAATATGGATGAAACACCATTATCTTTTGATATTCCAAGTAATATGACTGTAGAGGAAACTGGTGCTAGTACAGTTAGCATATGTACAACTGGACATAAAAAGTCTAATTTTACTGTTGTTCTTAGTTGTATGGCAGATGGTACAAATTACCACCATTAATAATTTTTAAATTAGTAAATTTTCCGTGACAAATATTTCCATTAGGGGTTGTAATTCGTGCTAATCGTGAGGGATATATGAATTCAGATGAAATGATTTGGTGGATTGAAAATGTTTGGAACTTACGTGCAACGCGATCTATTAACCCACGCTCATTACTTGTTCTGGATTCATTTCGTGGTCATTTAACAGATGTAGTGAAATAAAAAAAATACAAATTTAGCAGTAGTTCCTGGCGGCCTTACAAGTAAATTACAGCCACTTGATGTTTGTATTAACAAATCATTTAAAAATAAGGTAAAATGCAAAATTTATTTTAATTTTATTTAAAAAAAATAACTAAAACTATTAATTATTATTATTTTTTATAGTACCGAGAATGTTATAATAATTGGATGGCAGAAGAAATTAAAAATTTGACACCAACTGGACGAATACAATGTCCTGCTTATAATCTTGTAGATGAATGGGTACAAACTTCATGGGAAAAGGTTGATATCAACCTTACACAACGGTCATTTAAATGTTGTGGCATATCAAATTCGAGGGATGAAGCAGAGGATAAATATATTTTTGATTATGGAAAAAAAAACAAATAATAGTAATTGTGTTTATGTAGATGAACAAAATGAGTGTGAGAATAATGAAAATAATGAGCATAACGATGAGCGCACTGAGCGTAACGATGAACGCGGCGAGTATAACGATGAGTGTGATAAGCGTAACGATGATGAATATGATGAATATGATGAAGAAAATAATGAAATAATTGATTTAATTAATGATAAAGAATTATCTAATGGTTATAGTGAAAATGGTATAGATAATTACTATGATGAGTTATCGAATTATACAAATTTATGGAATTGAAAAAAAATTTAAAAAATAAATAATAAAATAATTTGATTTTGATTGGCCATATATATTAATCCATGTAAAATACCTGGGTATATTACATTCTACCATATGGATATCTTATGCGGCGCGTATCTTAATTGTAATCGTGTGATTTAATACATAAAATTAATAAAAATTAAATTTAAAGCAATTATGCTTCTAATTATTAATGGAAACATATAAAGCAATAATTTTTGATATAGGAGGGGTTTGTGTAGGTTCACCTTCAGAAGGAATTGCACAATACGAAAGAAAACATAATTTATCACCAAACTTTATTAACGTGTCAATGTACATACGGTAATATATTATCTATTAAATCTCTAAATCAATCTCTACAGATATAACTTTTTATTATGTGATTGTTTGGTTAATTGTGTTACTGTTCGGACCTTGCATTTTTTATTTTAATATTTGATCTTTAAGATATCTCAAGTTCATATATATATATATATCTCTCTATTATATAAAATATTATCTTAATTTCTACTGGAAAAAATAAGAATATTATCCCTTAACATTAAACTGCTCAGAAATTTTTTGTATATTTCTCGAAATTTTTCGCATATATATGAAATGCTATTATATTTATAAAATATTATTTATTTCTATTAAATTTATATTTTTTTTAAAAAAAAAGAATAAAGTATGCGTTAATACCATTATCAATATTAATATTATAGATATTCTAGATGCATTATTTTCACTAACTAATAATTTTTAATGCATGTGACACAAAACTTGTGCTAAATATTTTCTCGGCGACATTATTAAAAATATTAGAATTACGTATTATCTTCTCATCTATTTTATATGACGCTAGCATTATTAAACATTATTAATTCGTAATTATTGTTCTCAATATCACAAATTTTACTTATTGCTCTATAAATAGCACTGAAATGGATGAAACATGTGAACATGATAATTACAGATAACAAAAAGAGGAATCGCGAAGAAAAGGAAGAAAAAAAATTCAATTATGTGATGTATATGGTTAATATTATAAAATATTTCTAATTGGAGGATATATGATAAATTTTTAAATCATATAGAAAATATTATCTTACCGCGAATTCATGTAGTAATCCGTGACTCTCAAGGTTATTCTAAAATAGTACTTTTATTAATATTTAAAACAATAATAAAGTCTCGGTAATAAAAATAAAAATGTGCGTGAATACAAACATTTTAACTGCGGATTTTTAAGAGTTTTTTTTTGGTGTTGATTGATCAAATAAAAATATAAATTAAATTTCGTAATTACCTTTATCTTGTAATCCATTCCCACGAACCGCATTTTTTAAATTCTTTATATCACTTAATTCTCAAGACTGATTAAAATAACTTTTCACAATAATAGGAATAACTATTATATATTAAATATAGAGTTAATAACAATAACATTATTACATTATTATATTGTTAAAATCATAACATGTATATTCTCTTCATTTTCAGGCGGAAATTATTTTTTTCTCCTTTGGCATGATCATTTTATTTATCATCCCTTATTTATTGAACTTCCAAAATTTGATAAATGCAGAGAACAACTCAAAACTTCTGAAGACTATTGGATACATTTATTAAAGGAAGCTTCCAATGAAACGGAACCTCCAAAAGAAGTACCTGACGAAATTCAAAAAGCTTATGATATTCTTGAACAACATAATTGGACCGAGGTGGAACGTATCAGCTATGAAAAGACCAGGATGGCAATTTTAGATGATGAAGATGCAATAAGAACGGCTGTAGGTGAAGCTGTAAGTGACATTGCAAAGAAGCTTTTGAAAGAAGGTGTATCTCATGAAATTATTTCGAAAGTTACAGGTTTATCAACTTCGAGAGTTGGGGAATTAAATATGGAATAATATTTTTTATTATTTGACTTCAAAATGATATACAAAATTTATGTTATGTGCAATACACAATTCTAGGCTTTTCGATTTCATTTTTAAAATACTCTTCTATTCGTAGTGCAATGAAAAGTAGGTTATTATAATTTATGCCTATAAAAAATCGGCAATAACTCTTGTCAACAACTTTTTTAATCTCTAGATAAAAAAAATTTTACATATTTATTTTTTATTTTTTATTTTTTTTTAACACTTTATTTTGTAAATATTCGACTATATACCCTGTCAAACGTACATTTCGAATCTACTACAACTTATTCTATTTCTAAAGTTCAATATAGTTATTTGCTTTTCGTTTTTTGTTATTTTTAATTCAGTTAAAAAAGAATTTATACTGTAGTTAGTAGTTTGCACTTAAGACAAACAATATTTGTGTACTAGATTATTGGTCAATCTTCCATATTTGATATATCTACAAATAATATTATTAAAGAATTCTTTTAAATTTTAATATAAATAAAAGTTTTAACGTCGTAAATTTTTATATCTTGTCAAAAATGACCATTGAGAATTTTTAATAGAAAATGAGTATCAAAGGTAACGTCTAAAACGGTGAACCAGTAGTTCGAATTAGGAAATTGGAATGAAGAATTCAAAGTCCATTATTATGTCAGTGACTGTCACTGGGATATACATGTCGTGTTACATAGTGTGATTTGTTATTTAATTTATTCGGATTTTCCATTACATTGTTGGATTTAGAAGTATATTCTAATCTTTGATATTCACGAATATTAAAGATATCTTCTTTCATCACGAAATTTCGACATTCTTCCATTATTTCTAACAATGATTTTCCATCTTCAATTCTTTTTAGGAGCTTTTTACTTTTTTTGGATCGAAGTATAATTTTTCATTAAAAATTTCAGTAACCATTCTTAGTCCAAACCCAAAATGATGCGACTTCTTTACAAATATCTTCATAGATTTCTACTTTAAGTTGATCCATACCTTCTTCCACTTCTTCCTCTTCTTCTGCTTCTTCTGGAAGTGTAAAATCATTTCGTGATGGTGTATTAAAATGATGTGACATGATTTATATAATATATTATCGTCATCAAAAATTATTTTTCATAATAATTATTCTTTCAACTAATAATTTATATAACTTGCTGGCAAATAAATAATATCCTCCAAGTAATATATTTTCAATTTGTTGATTTATTAATTTTGTCTTTGGTTTTTGAAGAATTAATAATGATTGAAGTAAAAATATATGTATTATCAAGAAATTCCCATTGATCAGGTAAGAAATTATAATATTTAAATTTATATGATTGATACCATACCAAGGTAAATTAATTTTTGATTATGTGGTATCTGGATCTAAGATCATTCCTTTAAATAAGGAATCATATGCTTAATCTAATTTAGATAAATAATTTGATGTCATCTTTGTTTGTTGTTTTAGTTATTGTCGTCAAAATTTTGCAATTGAAAAAACAAGGTGATGATATAATTTATTCATAAATTTTGAGAAGAAGAAAAGAAACATAAAACATTAAATTTGTTTAGATTACTAAATTTAGTGATAAAACCATATTCAAACACTAATAATGTTAATTCATTGATAAGGTTATTTTCATTATACTGTAATTAATAATATAAAAAATTAAATTAAATCATGAATAGGCTTAAAATTTAAAAGTTCAATAAATGAATAAAAAATTCAATTAAAAAATTTTAAGAAAATAGTGTAAATAACATTACTAATTAGTTTTCTTAATAGCCTTAATTATTTCGTAATTAACAATTGAGAAATATTTTATTGCTGCTATTCTAATGGATTTTTCATAAAAACCATTATTCTGACATCTGCAATAATTATCTAAAGCAAAAACTATGCATATAAAAACCGTAGTTTCCAACCATTGATTGGAATTTTTTACTCTGCTAAGAATTGAATTTTGTATATTTTAAATTATAATAACGAACAATAAATTCATCAATAGCAAATAAATAAATATGTAATATTTCATTTAACCATTTATAAATTATAATTAACAATTTTATTTATCCATTTATAAATTATACTAACCAAGGAAGGCAAATGTAACTGTCAGCCGATCTAGATTATGTGATACAAACCTTAATATAATAAGAAATAATAATTTGTTAATAACTTTCGATAACTTTTCTTTCTTTTACCTTTTCAAAAAAAAAAAATAATGACAAAAGTATTAATACAATTTAAAGAACCTTTTGACAAAACTTTTACTTTTATTGAACCTGATTGTTTAGAGCTTGGTCGTTCTTTCATTCCAGATCCCTCGATCAGTAAGAAACAAGGTACTTGATGATGATTTTACTTTGAAAAACATTCTCCATTTCATTTATTTATTCGTTCAATTCATTCATTCATTCATTTGTTTATTTTTATTATTTGCTTTTATCTTTAATATTATATTCCGTTTAAAGCTCTATTTGAAATTAGAGATGGCCGAGTTTATGTTACAGCTGTAAGTAAAAAATATATAATTACTATTGTTTATATTGTATTAAATAATCATTATTGTTAAATAAATTAAATTTCATTCTATAAATTATCTTTTAAAAAAAGCTTGGACCTAATTCGATGATGAGAGGAACAGAAAAAATAAGTAAAAATAATCGAGTAGAAATTCTTGATGGTGAAACATTAACATTGATGCATGTATGTATCTATTTATTTATTTTATTTACAATATTTAATATCTATTAATAATTATTAACATTTAATAATATGTTTCATAAAAATTTAATAATAATAATATTATTATTATTATTAATATTATTATTATTGTTATTATTATTATTAGAATAAATATCCATTTGCAATAAAGATCATTCAACCGAAAAAAGAAGTATTACCTAAACCATCAGAAATAGAAGAGAGAGAGAAAGTAAAAGACATAGAAAGGAGTAATAAAGAGAAGAATCAGGAAGATAATAATAAGAAAGAAGAAGCAATAGAAATGGTAGAAGTGGCAGAAATGGTAGAAGAAGAAGATAATGATGAAGATGAAGAAGAAAAAGAAGAAGAAAAAGAGAAGATAAAAGGAATAAAAAATATAAATGTTCATGGAAAAGATAAAGAAATTATTACTTTATCATCATATCCTAATAACAAATTAATTTCAATGTCCATGAATAGTAATAATAATAGTAATAACAATAACAATAATAATAATAATAACAATAATGATAATAATTATTATTATAATTATAATTATAATAAAAATAATAACAATAATGATAATAATAATAATAATAATTATAATTATAATGATAATAATAATAATAATAATAATAGAACATCTTCACAATTATTACAAGAAATGTTATTCTCTCAAGATACAATTAATGATGACACAATTAATGATGATACAATTACCGATGATAAATATAAGTATAATAGTAATTATAATGATAATTATTATGAAATAAATGAAGATATTGATGATTATAATGATGATGATGAAGATGAGGAAGAAGAGGATGAGGAATTAAGTGATACTAATACAGAAAATGAAAATGAAGATAAAGATAAAGATAAAGAAGAAGAAGAAGAAGAAGAAATAAATAGTTATGGAATGAAAATTCAAAAAGATTTTTCTGATGAATCATCTTATTTGGGAAGTTCGAGAGAATCATCATTATCATTACCCGATGATAGTAGCAACAACAACAACAATAATAATAATAATATTAATATTAAGAAAAAATATAATATTAATTATAATATCAATCAAAAGAATAATAATAAAAAAAAGGTACAACAAAATGAATGTGAAAATAATGAAAATAATAAAATTATTGGTAAGCGTAAACGAACAACAACAACAGCAAGAAAACACTGATTATATCAAATATATATATAGCATCATCACATGTATTAATCGTAGATCTTTTCTTAATAAATATGACCTTTGCATTGTAAACATTTTTTTTAAAAATTTTTTTTTCTTATTCATCATGTTTTCCAATAATAATAATAAATTTTTATATAAATTATCTAAATTGTCATCATTATCATCATCATTATTCTTATTTCGTCGTCATTGTAACCAAGTACATTATATTTCTTCAAATAAAAATTCAACAATTAAACAAATTCAAACTTTTAAAAATTCCATTTTAATAAATTGGTCAAACAACAACAATAGTAATAATAATAATAATAATAATAGTAATAATTTAACTTTTTCAAAATTTAATTATCTTTGGTTACTTGATAATTGTCAATGTCCAGAATGTATTCATCCTGATAATCGACAAAAACTTTTTTCTAGTGCACAAATTCCACTTGATATTAAACCAATTTCAATCAATGTGATAAATAATAAAGAAGATAATGAAAATAATAAAGAAGATAATGAAAATAAAGATGAAGAAGAAATTTTAGAAATTACCTGGAATAAATCATTATTAAAGTCAATTCCTTCAATTAATTCTCTTAATTCTCTTAATTTCCCAATTAATTCCCCAATTAATTTACAAAAACAAAAAGATAAAAATGAAGATGAGAAAATTCATAAAAGCAAATTTCCAATTTCATTTTTATTTCATTATAATTCAAAACATTCATCTAATCAATTTAGATTTAATAACTTAAAACCAATCACCTGGAATCGTGATTCTATAATTGAATCTAAAAATCTTTGGATTGATTATAATAATTTCATGAATTCAGATAAAGAATTATTAAAATGTCTTAAACAATTGTGGGATTATGGTTTGATATTTTTAAAAAATGTACCTATCAACAATCAATTATCTATTACTAAAGAGATTGAAGATAAAAAGAATAATGTGAATAATAATAATAATAATAATAATATGAATATGAATAATAATGATCAAGGTATAATAAATGTAGTTGAAAGAATTGGAACAATTAGATCAACATTTTATGGTAAAACATTTGATGTAATATCAATTCCTGGTGCGAAAAATATTGCATATACAAATTTAAGTTTAGGATTACACATGGATTTATTGTAAGTTATTATATTATATTTATTAATAACAATATTTTCAACATAACAACAATATTAAACAAATTTAATAATAATAATAATAATAATAAATAAATAATAACAGATATTATCAAGTTCCACCAGGTCTACAATTTTTACATTGTTTAAAAAATTCAGTAAAAGGTGGAGCAAGTATATTTACAGATTCATTTAAAGCAATAGAAAATTTTAAAAAGATTTATCCTCAAGATTTTGATATTTTAACAAAAATTCCTTTAACTTTTCATTATATCAATGATGGTCATCATATGCATTACAATCAGTATGTTATTGAATTAGATAAAGATTTTGATAAAGATGATAATTCTAATAATCCTATTATATCTGTAAATTATTCTCCCCCATTCCAAGGTCCCATTGAAGCTTTATTACCTTCTTCTTCTTCTTCTTCTTCTTCTACTATTACTACTTCTAATGATAATAATAATGATAATAATAATAAAAATATTGATAATTATAAAGATAAGGAAGAAGATGATGATAAGAGAATATTTTCATTTTATCAAGCATATCAAAGATTTTGTGCATTTATAGAAGATCCAGAATTGAAATATGAGTTAACTTTAAAACCTGGAGATTTGGTTATTGTAATTAATAGACGCATTTTACATGGTAGAAATTCTTTTGATATTGAAAGTGGTGAAAGATATTTAAAAGGTGCTTATTTAGAATTATGTGAATTTAAAGATAAATTTAGAGTTTTAATGAAAAAATATAATCCATAAAATAATTAATTAAATTTATTAATTATTGTTATATTTATTTATCATGTATAATTATTTATTTATTATATGTATTCATTTATTATTATCAGATCTATTGTATATTCATTATCATATTTATTATGTATATTATTTATTATCATAATTATTATGTATATTTATCGATTAAATATAAATTTTATTAATATTATTACAAAAAAAAAAAAATATACAAGTGAATAGTGATTAAATAATAATTAAATTCATATCAAATTTCTATATAATACATTTTTTTTTCAATTATTAGTGGGAATAAATGAATAAATATCAACAAATTTGAAAATAATAAATATATATTTATCATTATTCATTTGACTTGACTTGATGGTTATTATTGATTATTATTATATAGTTAATGTTATTCATTGCATAGTTGTTAATTTTTCTTTTTTTTTTTTTAGTCATGAAATGTCATATATGAATTCTTTATTCATATTTTATTATTCACCTTGATCCACCAGACCAAATGATTACTGTACGATCCTTATCAGCAGTGAATACTTGTGATCCATGAGGACTCCATGAAACACCACATATTGGATTACTTTAAAATATAATGAATATTTGATAAATAAATAAATATTGATAAATAATATTGGTGATAATAATAATAATAATAATATTTGATATGATAACTTACTGGTGTTCTTTAATAGTTTTTTCCAATTTTGATTTTTGAGTATTCCAATAAAATACAGTTCCATCTTGAAATATTCAAAATATTCAAAATATTTAAATAAAATTTAATAATTAATTTTTTTAAAATAAAATACAAAAATATATATATATTTACCAACTGAACCTGCTGCCACATATCTTCCATCAGGACTATTAAAAATAATTAAATTAAATATAAATAAATAAATATAAATTAAAATAAAATTAAATGGTTATATTTTCTTACCTAAAACATGACCTAGACCAATTTGCTCCAGTTTTATATCCATCAGCCCTAAATTTATATAATTTATGATATATATATGTGTGTGTGTGAAGATATAAATTTACATTTACAACATAATAATAATAATGTCAAGAACACACTTAAATGTTTGCTCAACATCATAGGTTCCAAGGTCGACTAATTTTAATGTATTGTCACGGGAATTTGTTAAAACTTTAGATCCATCTATCAATAAATATAATAAAAAATAAAAGATAAGAAAAAATATAAATAATTAAAAAATATATAAAAATAATAAATTAATAAAATTAAATGAAGAACCTACCAGGAGATACTGATACAGAAGTTATTTGTCCAAGGTGAATCCCTGTTAATTCTTTAATATCTTTTCCTGATCTCACATCCCAAAATCTTAAATTATTATCTAAATGACCACTTACAAGTGTTGTCCTATAATTAATAATTAATAATAATAATAATTAATAACATAAATTAATAGTAATATAATTAATATCAATATAAATTATAATTGATTACCCTTCATCATCCAAAGGAACAACATCATTGCAACTGGAAAATGAAAATATAGTTCTAATACCTAAATCATTTATAAAATGTATAAATATAGAATGTAGATATAGATAGATGGATAGATAGATAGATATATAAAGAGAGAGTATATACATACAATATCCTTTTTGTAAATCCCAGACTTTTATGGTTCTATCATGACTACCAGTTATCACTTTACTAGAATCACCATTAAATCTTGCGGAATATACTTTTCCAACGTGACCAGTTAATGTAAGCTAAATTTCACAAATATTTAATAATAATAATAATAATAATAATAAAGAAAACAAAAATAATTTAATAAGAATTTAAAATGGGATATAAGGATGAAAAAAAAAAATGAAAAAAAATAAGGAAGAAGACAATCGCGTAACGTACTCTTATTCGACCAGTTTTCAAATGCCATAATCTTGCAGCATTATCATTTGATGCACCGGCAATCATTTCACTAGTATTATTAAACGATACATGCATAATTGATTGTATAGAACCTGATAATGTTTGCCTTATTTGGCCTGTAAAATATGAAATAATAATAATTATAATAATTAATAAAATAATTAATAAAATAATAAATAATAATTATTTATAATAATAAATAATTAATAATTATGATAAATAAAAATAAATAAATAAATAAATAAATAAATAATAAATAATAACCTGATGTTGAATCAAATATCTTAATAGTTTTATCAGCGCTACCAGTTGCAAAATAATTTCCGTCAGTAGATGCTTGAATTGTATGTATTTCACCATCATGTGGAGTCTAGTAAATTAACATAATTATTAATACATGTGATTATTAATGTGTAATTATTATTATATTAAAAAAAAAACAAAAGATTTATTATTATTATTATTATTATTCATACAATTCTCCGAGATACAATTGTAGGTATTATCACTGGACCTGACGATCTAGCTCTTGATCTAATTAATTAAAATATTATTTAATATTATTTAATATTATCATTTAATATCATCATTAAATAATATCATTAACATTATTTAATATCAAAATCACACGAACCTTACGTATCCAGAACTTGTATTATTACTATCATTTGGAGATGATGGCGATGACGCAGATGGTAATGAAGTAGATGGTAATGTAGTAGATAATGAAGTAGATTTAGGGGATTTAGGGGTAGGTGTAAATTCTTTATCAACAATAACAACTCCACTTTGAAATTCTAATGCTTTGGCATGAACCTCTAATGCACTATGATTTTATATTAATATTTATATCTCAAATATATAATATTATTATTTTTGACATCAAAAAAAAAAAAATTTTTTTTTTTTACCTTTCATAAAATAAATTTGCTTCATTCATCTTTTCAGCTTCTTCATTCATCTTCTTCAACCACCTTTGTAAAAGTTGTCCATTTTCTTTTTCTAAATCTTTCATTCTCTCATCAATTTTACCTAATTCTAATTGTAATGTAGATAATTCATCTTGCAATAACTATATATAATTGATCATAATTAATAAATGAATCAAAATATATATATATATATATATTCAATATATATAACCTAATGTTTACCTGTATTGTAATATCTTTTTCTCGAAGGACTTGAAAATGGAGATCAACTTTGTTTGTTAAGGTTTGATTAATTTCTGTTAATCTCTGTGTTCTGTCAAAGAATAAAGAAATTTTCAATTATAAAATAAATAAATAAATAAATAAAATAAAATAAATAAATAAAATAATGATGATGATGATGATAATAATAATAATAATAAACTTGCTCTTCTTGTTGTTTTTTTGATTGTTCTTCATGATTTCTTAAAACATCATTTAAATTTAATAATCTTTGAGCATTCATTCCTTGAGTTTTATATAATTCTGCACGTTCATCTTTTAAAGTTTGAATTTGTTGTTCTAATTCTGCTGTTCTCTTTTGATTCACTGGACTCCTAATAATATTTATAAAAATTTATTTAGGATTATTATTATTTATTTATTTATTTGAGAAAATTTATTCCAAAAATATAATAATAATTATTAATTAATAATAATAATAAAATAATAAAAATAATAATAACATTAATAATAATAATAATTATTATTATTATGATCAATTCGATTACCCTAATTCCCGTAATTTTTCAACTTCAAGAGATAAATTTGCATATTTTTCGGTAATTGTTTTTTCTGAAGATTCCAATTGTGCATTTCTATCAGCAAAATTACCAAGTTTTTGAACCAGTGAATTATCTATACAAATCAATAAAACAATATATATTAATAACATTAATATGAGTTAATGATGATAATGATTTAGATTGATTATGGATAATAATTAATTAATTTAATTGATTGTAATAATAATATGATAATTAATTAATTAATTCATTCAAAATTTAAAATATATATTTTTATAAATAAAAAACAAATTTTTATTTCAACAAAAAAAAAATGAAAATGAGAAAATGCAATTACTTACAAGAATTAACAAAATCAGTAAATGCCTTTTCTCTTCTATCTCTTAATAATAATTTCACCAACAAATCTCCTTGCCAGTTACCATTAGTCGAAGGAATGGTATTATTACTATTACTATTATTATTATTGTTATTATTATTATTATTATTTGCAGGGCTTGAAAAAGACATTGTTTTTACTAATTGATCATAAAAAGGAATAACAAGAATAACAAGAATTTTTTGTTATTCTTTCATCATTCATCATCAAATGTTTGTTGGTGTTTTTGTGTTCATGTATGTTGTGTATCTGTGTTACATAAATCTTTTTCACTGTTTTCTTTCCGTTTTCTTACTTTAACTGGGTGGGGATTGATTGGAAAGGAATAGTTCAGATAAAATACGTATTAATTATTATTTAGTTCTTGTTTTAAAGCTCTTGAAATTAAAAAAAAAATGATTCAAATAATTCAAATTCATAATAATCATTCACGCATATTTTTAACTTTTATTTTGATTATAAATTATTTTTAATTATAAATTATTTTTACTGATAATCCCGATTTAGCAACAATTATAATGTATACTTTTCTTGGCTAAATTCATATTAATTTATTGTTGAAAATTCTAAATTTATTTTAATGTTAACAAAATTTGACTTGTCCTACTATCTCTAATTTATCTTCTATCTATCTAATCTTCATGATTTTTTTTCTAAGAATAAAAATAATTTATTTCAGAAAAAAAAAATAAAGGAAAAAGTGATACGAAATGAAAAAATGGAAAATTGAGGGTAGTGTACATCATGATTCTATATAGGAATAAATAAAAGTAATAAAAGTTAAGAAGTTAAGTATTTCTACTTTTTATTTTCTCAAACTAAAAGTTTTATATAAATAAATATTATAAATATTATTATTTTGAAAATGTAAAATCTAAAGATATTTAAAGAGATGAACTATAAATCTTTTGAAAAATTGTATTTTATATATAATTATTAACTTTGTTTATTTAGTACAATATCTTTAAAAAAAAAAAAAGTTACAAAAAAAGATTCTATTTATATATAAGATACAATTACATATCATCCAGAGGTGTTTGTGTGTGTTTTACATTAAATAACATTAAAAAATAAATAAATAATAACAAATAACCACCAACCACAACAGTAAGTAAAAATAATATATATAATAATAATAATAATAATAATAATAATTCTTTAAATTAGATAAAAAAAAAAAAAAAAACCCCCACCACAATTAGAATTTACAAAGAAAAAGAAAAAAAAAATTGAAAATAACTACAATGCAATTGAAACAATGAATTAGTTACTGTACTGTATGCATGTATATATATATATACATATACATATATATAATATATACACATAAATATATATATATATATATATATATATATACACATATATATGTGAATTCTATAATATGAATATTAAATAAAATTCTTCATATATTAAAAAATTATTATTATTATTATAATTATTATTATTATAATTATTATTATTATTATTATTATTATTATTATTATTATTATTATTATTATTATTATTATTATTATTATTATTATTATTACGAATTTATTAATTTTAATCAAATCTTTCAATAAATTTACTTTTTACCATTACATTATTATTAGTGGTGGGGAGAGGAGGTAAAATGGGAGAAATGATGTTATCCGTATCATCACCACCACCACCAATATCTATTAAAACGGGTGGTGGCACTTCAATAGTTGGTGTCATAATTTCAGTAACTTCTCCATCATATTCAGAATCGTAATCTTCATCTGATAATCTTTGAGCTTGACCACATCGACTTTTACGTTTTAATAAAATTATTATAACCAAACATGCTATTGCTATTAAAGCTGTGATTGCACCTAATATTGGACCTAAAATATTACTACCATGATTTGGATTATTATATGTGGTGGTGGTGGTAGGTGTTGTTATTATTCCACTGGTTGTGGATGATGATGTCATTGTTTCACTTGAAGTATTTCCTCTTCCTGTTCCTTTTCCTGTTCCTGATGTTGATGAATTACTAATATCAGTACTAATATTCTTATTAGTTGTAGTAGTTTCTTCACTTGTATTTGTATCTGTTGGATTAGTAGAATTAGATTCTGTATCTGTTTCATTTTGAGATGAAGTAGAATCAGAAGTTTCAGTAGGTTCAGTAGTAGTTTCTTGAGTATTAGTAATAGTATTAGTATCTGTATTAATATCAGTGGTGGTATCCGGATTTCTAGAAGAAAGTGATATAGAATCTGTAGGAGATGCGATTTGGGTTGATGATTGTTGAGTTGTTTGTGGATTGGTTTGTGAAGTTGTTGGAGATGGTTGAGTAGGTGTGGGAGTTGGTTGAGCAGATGATTGAGAAGGAGCTTGTGTATCTGTTGGACTAGGTTGATTCGTCGTCGGATTTGGAGTTGGAGTTGGAGTATTTATTTCTAAAACTGAGAATATATAACTAGTTACTTCTTCAACTAATTGCTCACTTTGTGAACCACTTTGTGTCATAACAATTGTATTAGTAGCCTGAGAATTTTCTATTGTGTTTCCGTCGTTACTTTGAGGAGGATCATTTATTACAGTGGGATCATTTAATCCTATCGTTTCAGTGGGACCATTATCAAGGGGCTGGGGACTTCCTATGGCTGCATCTCCCGTTGTCAAAGTGGGTTTGGGATTTGCTATCGTGTTAGACTGTGGTGGTTGAGTATTGGGCGGTGGTGGTGGTGGTTGAGTATTGGGTGGTGGTGGTTGAGTATTGGGTGGTGGTGGTTGTGGTGGATTGTTCGACTCAGTCGAATCTGCTATTGTTGATATTGGTACTGACGGAATTACTGACCTGTCAATAATTATTTTTGGTATTTTATTTAGATTTATGGATTTTCCTAAGAATAAATATAAAAAAAAAAATTTTTTTATTTAATTCGGATAACGAAAATCAAATAAAAAAAAAAGCAAAAGAAAGAAGGAATTAAAACTTACCTAATTTTCCATTAAATCTTTTTTTTATCCTAGAACCTACATCACGTTTTTTAAATATTATAGAATTTCTTTTTACAAAATTAGAACGCACGGATCCTACGAAATGGATAACAAATTATTAAATAAAATGGGTAATAAAAATAAAATTGATCAAAAAAAAAATTGAATAAAAGAGAAGAAAATAAAATAAAATTAAATAATATAAATATATTAAATAAAGAAATTCATTAATTTTTCTCACCATAATTGTTCTTGTTATATTTATTAAAATTATCAATATTAATACTAAAATGATTATTACTTTCAATATTATTATTAATATTATTAATATTATCACTAAAAACGACCACTGATAAAATCAAAGAGCATAATAAAACACCAATAATATTTTTAAATATCATTTATTTGCTCCTAATAATTAAATACGTAAATATAAATGATAATATAAATGAGAGTTGTGATATTTGAAGAAGAGTTTCAAAAAGAAGTAAGTTGGGACTCTTCAAGAGGAAAAGAAGGAAGTGTACATGTAGATTTTTATTATTTATTATTGACATATATAAAATCATATATAACAAAAAAAAAAATAGAAAAAAACTACATGTGCACTTTTTTTTTTAAAAAAAAAAAGGTTTATTTTTAAATCTGATTATTGATTGCCCAATGAATTACAAAAAAAAAATGAGAGAAAGAGAAAGAGAGCGAGAGAGAGAGAGAAGAATGGAGGGAGAAAGGGAAGAAATAGAAAGGGAGAGGGGAAGGAGGAAAAGAATGAAAAAAAAAAGATTCAAAGGACGAAAAAATTGAAGAACCGGGAGAAAGATAAAAATATCAGCGAAAAAAAAAAGAATGACATTTCATTGTATACAAGGTAAGACAAAATTTGGTCGTTAATTGTTTTTCTCATTATAATTATCGTAATTATCGTAATTTGTAATTTAAGTAATTTAAGTATGCCCAACGTGAAATTGAGTTACAAACGGTTTAATAATTTTGGGTAATACAATTTAGATAATTTATATGGAAACTCTTTATGCGTTGTAATAATGTATGTTATATTATTTTCCTAAATCGGGATGACTTTTAACAAATAAAAATCAATGAATGTAAATTTTTATTTGTTTAGTGATAAAGTTTATATTGTGTGTGATAATCAGTAATTTTTATAATATAATTTAATTAAAAAAAATAATGAATTAATTTTTAAAATTTTTAAGCATTTTAAACTTTCTAAATGATTGGATGAATAAAAAATAATATATATATGAAATTTATTATCAATATAATAGTTGATTTATTATGGAAAAAAAAAATAGAAGATTGGGGATCCAAAAATGTTCTGATAGACAGAAATTTGATGTTGCGTAAATTGTAAGTTGTGTAATGTAGGAATTTTTTAAAAATTGGGCATTAAATGCATTAAATTGCATATTTGGTAAAAAGTAATAAATTTTAATTTTCCGTCATTATGTAAGGGAATTAAGATTTCCAATATTTTGGTTTAAAAAAAAAAATTTAATATTAGTTAACTAATTAGTTATTTTAGTTATTGATATACATACATTTACACTCCTGTCCCTTAGTATTCATTTCTAATATTTTTTATATTCTAATATTCTTAGTTTCTTGTTATAATTGATTAATAGAAATATAATCCCTTTGCACATGTAATATAAATAAACATCAATGCAAAAAAAAATATTTTTGGGAATTTTTACTTTTTCTTTTGCATGAATAAATGGTATCACTATCGAATATATCAAATTAGATAATTTAGGTATCAATATGTATCAATATCATTAATACATACAATTATAATATACGCAATCAATCTCGATGATCTACTAAAAGGTGCATTTTATTATTATTTATTCCACCAAAAATTAATTGTCCAATAATAAAATGTGAAGAAAATTTGTGAACAATAAAAAGTGGCTTTTCTTTATATTAATTTCTTTTCGAATGAAATTTTCACAACATATCTTCAATGACCGTGGAAATATAATGACCAATTTATTAATGTTACACGATTTGATCCAGGGCATATTTCTGACGTAATTTTATATGTATGTAATTTTTTATCTATGCAATTTTATGTGTAATTTTTAATTGATTAAATGAAGTAAATAAATTCTTTTAAAGTATATTTATTCTAATATAAAAATAGTTAAAAAATCAAAATTTTATTTTCAATTCCATTTTGAAAGACATCAAAAAAACTGTTTTCATCATTTCGGATGACTATGACTTATTGTGATGATCTCATCATCATAATAATGATCATAATAATCTTCCGTGGAGCAGAGCAATGCAACGGAGTCATGTTTCATGTTTCAAATGTTAACTAAATTTTAATTTTTTGTACTACTATTTATTATCCGTATTATTTGTTTATTTATTTGTATTTAATGAATACGAATGAATAGACCATTAATGTAGATAAATTATATAATATTACCATTTCTGTTAAAAACAATAATCAATTCAATATATAGATTTCATTCATGGAAATTACAAAAAAATTTGATAAATTAAATTAAATTAAATTAAATTATAATCAATATTTAAAATCTTTGGATATTGAGGATAATTATTATTATCAATGGTTAATAATGATTCCAATAACTATTTTCATCAAGTTCATATTTATTAATACAGACAGATTTACTTTCCTTAAAGGAAGATCAAATTTTTTTTAAAAAGAAAAAAATATAACTTTATTGAGAAAATAAATAAAAAAAAATCACTTAGGTTTCTTCTCATATAAATTTCAACTATATAAAACCTTGTTACTATTGCTATATGTTACTATGACTTATAAATCAAAATTATTATATAATTTAAATATTAATGTTTACATAAATACTGTAATAAATAATAAAATATGAACCTCCAAAGTAATTAAAGATGAATATCCCAAAGGTTAACTTTACTTCTTAAAGAAAATTCATTCCATTGGATCTAGTTGTCCATCCCAATTTTTCAATAAATCACTTTTCACTAGTTCCTTCCATTTATCTTCCATAAGGTTTCCTCTCAAGATCTCACCAGTTACTCTCACTGCAGAATTTAAAGCTGCTACAATCCATCTATATAATATTTTATAATAGATAATAACAGTATAAAATAAATAAATTAAATTAAATAAAAATAATTCCAAAAAAAAAAAAAAAAAAGTTCCCTAAACTTTACCCATGATGAACGTCTGTATGTTCTCCAGCCCAATGGATATGACTTTCTTCGTTGATAAGTCCTTGTACTTGAGTTTCAAATTGGGCTGGTCCAAAGAGTGCAAATGCTCCTCCCACCACGGAATTATCTGTTGCCCAACAATGTGCTTTGTTATTTTCTAACCCAGGTATCCAGCATTCTCTTGCCACTTCACCATGAATTTTCACTACATCTTTAAGTGCTATCTCAAAACATTCTTCTTCAGTCAAACTGCTAAATCTTTGCGCATCAGAATTCCAAGTATACGATGCTAAGAGAACACCTCCTTCTTCTTTAGGAATATTAGCATTACCTTGGTAGTATGAAGGGTATACTACTGTACGTACTGATAGATCAGTACTTGAAGTACCTCCTACTATTCCTTTATCTGAAGTTCGTTGACGGGAATTTGCAAGTTCTGATGGTGAATATTCCCAAAATCGTTTAGTAAACGATAAAAAGATCTTTACCGAGTCTACATAACCGAGTGTTCGGATAGCTCGCCGTTTTTGATAAGATGTGTCTAATATATATATATATATATACATACAACAGATATTTAAATAATCAAGTATAAAGCGCGTTTATTATTATTATTATTATTATTATTATTATTATTATTATTAAAAAAAAGGACTTACTTGCAGGCAAATCCCAATGACTAACAGCCCCTAAAGCGGCGGTGACAACTACTGCATCAAACTCATCGTCCACGCTCACATTGTTGTTTATTCTATCTTTCCAATAAACTTTAACGCGACCTTCATTAGTTGTATCCAATTTATAAACTTGACTTTGAAATTTTATATTTATATCTCTTTGTTCAAGATAATATAAGAAAGCATTTGGATATCTTGACATCCCTTTATCAATTGTTTTCCAAACTTGTTGAAGACTGCTATTAGGATTACTAAACGTATAAATATCAATTACTGTTTCAAGAAGTGAAAGGTGGAACAATCCAGTTGAGGTTTCTACACTTTCCATTGCTGAAATAATTTCGTCATATTCATCACTTTGAGTTGGAAATATTGCGGGCAAATAAACATCTCTTAAGTAAGAATAAACGGAATGTTGTTTTTGTTGTTTAAGAGCATTCAAACCTTGTTCAAAATTAGCATTAAGTGCTTTAAAGAATGGTGTCAGTGCATCTTCAAAGATATCTCGATAATTAGAAGGAACTTGAGTTGGAAAATTTAACTGTGTAAATTGTGCTGGATCTTCACTTATTTTATCCACATAATCTGCGGTCATGACTTTTCCTTCGGGACTTGTGGCATTGTTATAGAAAAATATGGAACTACAAATTGATTTGATATATATATATTTATTTATTTAAGCATTTATTTGTAGCAAGAAATAAAAAAAATAAAAATAAAAAATAAACTCACTCATCATTTGAGAATATAAAATCGATAAGCTCCAATTGATGTTCTTTATCAACATTCTCATTCAAATATTGAATAGAATCAAATACCAATTGATGTGGTGAAAGATCTGGGTTATCTTTAATTTGTGGAAGTCTCATGGCTCCAATTTCACCATAACGACGTTTATCATCATTCGGGTCTTCACTAAAGTAATGAGTATAGATACGACCCCCTACACGGTCACGACCTTGATATTCCAATATTTTTATGTCTTTAAGTCCAGCTTTCTCTAACAGCAAGGCTGTGAATAACCCGGCAATTCCAGCTCCAATTATACAAATTTCTATACGAAACGAATAATTATAATATTAAAAAAAAAAAGAATAATTCAAGCACAATCCATAAACTATTATACTTACTTGGTTGCTCCTTTGGTTCCCATCCCGAAGTTGATTCAGTTATTTTAGTTGTTGTTTCTCCTTTACATTTTCTGAGTTCATAGGTCCTATTATTTTAATTAGAAATAGAAAAATTATATATATATATATACCACTTTTGTCGGAAAAAAAAAAGAAAAGAAAATAATGATTTGATGATGCAAACTTTTTTTGACATTCATCCCACCACATATAATTTCTGAGGTTAGCACGTTTCTTGATGATTGAGGGGTCATCTATTTGTTCATCTTTAGCACGTTCTCTCCCAAAACTCTTAATACAATGATTACGTGTTAATGACATTTCGGGTATTATTTATTTATTGTATTATTTGATGTAAAATTTAAAAGAATTCGAATTGTATTTATAGAGAATAAGAATATTTAAATTTTTTTTCAATAATTCCTTTTATTGCATTCAATTTTTTTTTACGTAAGATTTTAAATTTAGAAATATTAAAAGAATTTTTATTTGATACTCGATTTCTATAAATTCTTTTGTCAATTAAACCTTTTCATTTTAACAATCATGTTTAAAAGTTTCATTCAATCAATCATTTAGGCGTACGGGCGCATAATTTTACATTTTCCAACTCATGTTTGTTTTAATAAAGCCAAAAAAAAAGAAGATTGAATTAGATTTTGACTTTGCTTCCATAAGAAATTGGCTTTATACCTTATTATTTTCACATTGATTTATAATTTTAGATGTATTTAAATGTATAAACCCCAATTTTAATCTTTATGATCTTTATTATGTAATAACATCATACCTTTTTCATCTTTTTCGCTTTTTTAAGTAATTTTGAATTACATCTAATTTTAAAAAGTAGTAATTAAATGACGAAAAAAAGTTCGGATTTGTTTTTTTGTTCGAATTTTCTAACGCCCATCTAGAAAAAAAAAAATACTTTCAAAGAATAGAGTTTTCCTTGAAATTATATTTCTTATAAGAATTTTCTATTTTTTCCCAGAGGAAGTTTTCTAGAATTTTCTACTTTATTGAAATCCATTTTTCGTAATACCGCAGAAGTTTAGTCATTTTCAACGCTGTCATTAGTTAATTAAAATGTTCAATAGAAACTTCCGACAAATTCCAGTTAACAATAAAATAAAGTTTTTGAAATCTCGTTTTTTTTTTTTTTAAAAAAAAAAAAATTCATCTTTTCTCTGGTATAACTTATATATAACAATTTAAATAAAATTTTCTAAATCCAATTACACAATTACATCAAGAAGAGATTACTACTATTGATGTTACGGAATGACCTAAATCTATTGATACACAATGTGGGATTTATGCTGATAGTATTATTATGGAATTCGTAATTTATTGCCTAATGAAATGAATGTTTTGGTTTTTAATTTACAAGTTTTTGCAAGATCTAGTTCAGAAGATAGAAAAATTTTAGTTGGAAAACTTAAAGAATTAGGAGAAATTGTTGTAAAGTGATTAATAATAATAATAATTATTATTATTATTATTTATAAATTTCTTTTATAACTTAATTTTCTAATTTATAATTATTATAATTTAATTTTAAATTTATAAATAACAGTTCTCGACGACTAAGTAATGAGCTCAATCTATTGAAGGGTGCAACCGCCAATAAATATTTTATAATTATTTTCTTTTTATTGTAACAGGACAAATAATTATAGTAAACATTTGGAGGAGTGGCATTTAATACTCAAAAATTAAGTATTATACAGCGATTAGTATGTGTTTGTCTTGAATCCTCATCTATACATTTTTCATTTGATACAATCCTCAATTCAAGATTTACCCGCTGGAAAATCATGGGATGATGAGTAAAAGAACCCAAACATCAACAGTTGGACATTCCGAACCTTCCGATCAAGAAAATATTAACCAACCAATGATCGCATAGAAATTGTTTCGTTTCTTTGGTTTTGATTTTTTTTATTCTATACTTTATATTTTATATTTTTTTGTATCAATGAATTTTTTTTTTTTTTTTTGAAAAAATCTGTTCTGTGAATTTAAAAGAACGAAAAGAACAAAACAGTTAATTAATTTTATTGACAAAAAAAAAAGTAATCTAGTTGTAATAATTACTTTTTGCAATTGTGATAATCATGTAATTTTTCTGTTGTAAAAAATAAAAATTATTTATTTATGAATATGACTACGTTATTCGTTATGGCAATAAATTAAATTTTAAATCTGAAAAAAACTTTGTGTCAAGATAATAAAGCTGACTTTATTATTTAATAATAAATTACTCATAATTTTAAAGAGAAACAAATTATCATATTTTATTAAATATATTGACTTCAAGTGAATAAAGAACTTTTGAATAAATTAAAATAAGTAAAATAAAAATATTATCATTTATTAATAAAGCTTATCATTTGCAATAACTCATAATGTTTTTCCTATTGTCCTGAAATATAAAAAGCAAAAAAAAAAAAAAAAAAAAAAAAAAAAAGCAAAAAAAGCTTGAATCTTAAATGTATATTAAATATCATTTTTCGTTTTTTTTTTCATTTCTATCGTCTACATACACTTTTTTTCACTCTGTAAAATTAATATGAACGAAGACGACTTGGGATTCTTGCCTCCCATGCATTTTCGCCCCAAAAATCCATTGTCATTACCTCCATCTCGTCGTTCCCTCTCCAAAAAATCTAAATATTCTAATAAATCTCGATCTTCAAAATCATATAATAGTAAACGTTATGGAAAATATCCAAATTGGAAAAATAATAATAAAAATGATGATAATAATGATGAAGAAATTAGCGCAAGACTTAAAAAACAACAATTATTTTCAGAGTCAAAATCGAATCCATCTTCTTCGAATCAAGTTGATGGCGATAATAATGAAAGAAAAAATTCATTAGGACAATTTCAAAGATTGATGAATGGTTTCATGTTCGGTCGTAAATCTGTTAATTCAACATCATCTTCTCTTATGCCTCAAATGCAATCATATGTTGAAGAAACAATTCTAGGTGAAGAAAAGTCTCAATTTAGTCGATTAGGAAGTTTTCAAAGATCCTTGAATAGCAGTCAGTTAGGTATTAAATCTATTGAACCTACAAGTGATGATGTATCTAATAATGTGTTAGTGCAAACTGAAAGAAGACCAATTGAGGATTGTCAATTTGTATGTGAGAAAACCAAATCCGTTAAACGTCAAAGAACTTTAGAAAAAGATCAAATCAATGTTGATTATCCAAATGAAACAAATGAAGTAGTTAGTAGAAAACAACAATCATTTTCAACAACTAGGCATACGACTACCATGAGATCTTTACGCCCGTCTATAATGAGTTCTTCCGACTCTTCTTCTATGTTCAAGTTTGATCGATCAACAACAAATTCTTTATTGGATAATATATTTAGGAACAATAAAATTAATGATCATAATAACAATAACAACAATAATAATGATAATCCTTTTCAAGGATATGTAATGGAACGAAATACTTTGAGAAGAATTCGACCTGAAATTAACAAAAGGGAAATTATTAATAAAGTTCCTGGACCTATCGAGTTTCTTCCTTCTATGGTAAATTATGCTAAATTAATTGATTTTTAAATTATTAATTTCATAATATATTATTAAATTTATTGATATTAGGATCCAATTCAAATAAGAACATGTGAACAAGATCGCGCAACTCTGAATAATGTGATGGAAATTTATCAAAATCAAAAATCTTTGGATAATAAATCTCCTGAACTATTTAAATCTTCCAATATTTCCGAAGAAGAATGGATTTCTATTTTAGATACAATATTTCTTTGTAATTATATTTCTATTACCTATAATATTATTATTATCATTTATTTTAATTATAAAAAACTTTTTTTTTTTTTAAAAAAAAAAAAAAAAAAAAAATAGCTGAAGAATATTCAAAAGAATCGATCAAAAATACAATGAAATCAATATATCAAAAATTAGATTATAGAGAAAGAATATCAGTCACTATTGGAAAAATTGTTAAATTCGATTTAGATAAAAGAATTATTACTATTGCAGATTGTACAGGTAATTGAATTGTAAAATCATTATAAATGAAGAAAGAAAGAACTTAAATAAATTATGATCACAGGTGAAATCCAAGTTATCTTTCATGAAAAAGTTCATCAAGTTTATAGTCAACAACTTCAAATCGGAACGATTATTGTATTGCAAAATGTAAATTATTTAAATTGATTAAATTTTCCAATTCATTTTTAAACAATAATATTATACGCATAATATATCTTGATTTTTTAATATAGTTAGCATTTTTACGAGTAGGAGGTAATAATTATCTCAACGTGACACTTGATAATGTACATTGGATGTCGGGGAAAATTGTCGATAGAAATTACGAAATAGATTCGAATACGAAAGTCTTGTCTTATCAAGATGATAATGAGATCATTGAGCGAGTTCAGTTAAATGATAATATTAATGTTAATATTCATAATGGTAAGTTCCATTTTATCAATCTTTTTTATATCAATTTTCTTTTAACTTTATTGTATGCTCTTTTCATTACAGTAACAACAATAACATCAGAGATAACTTCTTCAAAGGCTGCGTCAATTGAAGAAAAAAATTTTAGCTGTGTATTTTCAAACATGGGTGATCACGGAGATCTTTCGTGGATGTTGGATGACTTAGATGAATTGTGCAAAAATTAATTTATAAATTAACATAATTGTCAACACAAAAAGCAGTGCTACATAAACAATTTCCTTTCTTAAGTATACCATATCGAAATTTGATGTACAATTTTTTGTCCGAACACACAGGGTATTAGCATTTGACTTAATACAGTATATAATTTTATTTTCACAAACCGATGTAAAAATAACAAATTATGATTACATATATTTATAAATTACGCACTTCTGCATTTTATTGTGGACTTGATTACATATTTTACATTTGGAAATAAAGCCTGATCTGGTGAATTTATTAAAGTATACATTTAAAAAAAGTTTAAGGAATTCATTATACATTATGGTTCAAAGAAATACTAAACTCTGTTCTTATAAAGTAAAGGACTTTAACTTAGGCTTTTAAGCCCAAGAATTAATTGGAGACACATCAAGTTCGAAATCATGAGACGTCGTAATACATCCGGTAATTGCAGATTGAATTTCTTTGCAATTTCTGCAAACCTTTTTACATCTGTCTAAATTTAAATCTTCACTGCAATCCTCACAAACCGGACAACACCTTTGTGGTCTCTCTCTAACTGATTTATTGCAACACGGGTAAAATCTTTCGCAACCCCTAGACCCGACCGTCGAATTATAACACTCGATTTATAGCGTTCTCTGCATCCAATACTTCCATTCGCGCTATTGCAACATTTATGTCCAATCATGCAACCATCGTCACCCTTTCGACAACACACAAAACCCGGGTTGTTGTCGCAACACTTATAATCACATCCTGGCGAGCCTCTTTCACCATTACAACAACTATAATAGGAAGGCCTACATTTCGTTTCATGAGGATCGAGGATACCAATGGTAATTATTCGGATAAAATTCGCGCCAGGACTATGGTCTTGTTCTTCATACTCCTCACCATCACGAAGTTTACCAGGATGTATCCGATATGCTTGAGGATTCCTATGAATCCGCTCTTGTAATAACTATAATGACATCGTGTGACCACTCGCTCTGCTGTCAGGTACTACAAACCACATGATTGTGGTCAATTTCGTAATATTTTTCTCCACATCCTCATTAGTATCATCAAAACCAGGCGTATCAACATAGAAACATCCATTTCCACAATCATGAGCTGTTACTTCGTCTGTTTCTGACTTAGAAGAATGCCCAACTGTTGAAGACGCACCAAAAATGGTTCCGGCAAAGCTTTTTCCATTGCCCGTCTTTCCAATTGCAAGAATACATTACTGAGGTGCCTAAATAAAACGTTAGTTTTTTCCTTGTTAAATAAGATTGAAAACATTCTTGTTCGTATTTCTCACTGACATCGATCATTTTTTCGTAGTTTCAATAAAATTTGATACGAATAGATAATTTATTCATTTTATTCATTTTTCCCTGAACCATTGTACACAAAAAAATATTATTTGCAACGAAGGCTCGCATGTTCGAACAACCTTTGTCAATGGGCTTGTAGATTTATGTTACGCGCCATTTTTAATGGGTATAGTAATAACTAAAAGACATTATGTATATAAACTGTTTTTTAAATCCCAAATTGGTAATCTAAAATTGGAAAGCCATTCATTTTTAGAATTCTGCACGCAGTATCGAAACTCCTTTTTTTTCACGCGAGTTAAGGGGATGATGAGATAAACCATTGTATATACTTTTTCAATTACACTTTCATGCGATTTAATAATAATATCTATTTAATTGCCATTGTGATGACAATAGTTTGATTGTTGATAAATTGAGTTAATAACAACATTTAAATAGGATTTAAAAATGATAAAGATGTATCTTTATCATGCGTGTATCTATATCGACTGTATCGCCCTATCACAGAGCATCTCCTGTCAATTTGAAAAGTTTAAACGAATGAAAATTTTAATTTAACATTTCACAAAACTAAATAAATAGACTTTCTCGATTTTTTAATTATATAAAATTTTTTTCTTGGTATTATGATAAATCAAGGCAATAACTTGATTTTCTCGACCAAGAGGCCATTTATGAAAGGTCTTTTGATTAAAATCATCAGTTCAATTGGCGTTGCAATAAATTATGGGCAATAGAACAATAGTTTAGTTGCCTTGACCAAAAAGTCATTACTAATCAAAATCAATTATTCACCTGAATAAAATCAAGTCGCGATAGTTTAACTAGATGAGAAAAAAATGATGGCTTCCCTGCAGATTAAAATAATTCCCATCCAAAGAAAAAATTTGAATCTTACATAATAAATAAAAGAAAAGTACTTATTGTATACCACCACTAAATTTACTAATAAAAGTGAGTTCACAATCTCATAAATGAAACAATATAATCAATAAAAACTACATTATCATTAAAATCTTCATCCGTAATAAAAATTTGTAGCTATGTCATCTATATTTATATCATTCTGCTTCACAGGAAATGACAAGTATATGTCTGGGAGTGCCTTATACCAGATGAAAGGTGATGAAGATATATGTACATGCTGATGGCATCTATTTGTGTCGCAGCTCACAATATTGGTGGAAAAACATTACACTCGTTATTAAAAATCTGAATTCCATGATGGAAGATACTAAACTTTAATCCATCTCAACAAAGAAGACAAAACCAACCTAAAAAAATGGAAGCAATAATATTGTATTTGGAGGAATACCAACTCTAGCGATAGGAGACTTAGCTCAATTACCTCCAACAAGGCCAAAATACGTCTTTCAATCTCCAGCCTGGTCACCATTCTTTCCTTTATTTTTAACCACACCACAATGTCAACAAGAAGATATCAATTTATAATGTTCTTCAAGAAATATGAACTGGTCACCTATCAAGAAGGTCAAAAAATATTATTCAATCAAAATCAATATGAGTAATGACCCTGAAAAATTCTATAGCACTACTCATATTGTCAGTACATGTCAAGTCGTCTTCAACATAAATCAACTCCTGTGTAGCTACCTCCCATTTGATTACACAACAAATGAACCCCTCACCTTGATATCTGAAGATATCCTAAACTTGAAATGCTAAATGAAAACAATTTGATCACAATTTTAAACTCTCGAAAAACCTACCTCATATTATACACTTACAAAAAGTTGCGCATGTCATGTCTCTAAATAACAAACTTTTAAATGATGGTATTTGAAATGGCTCAATCGGAATCATAACAAGAATTATTGATGATCAAAATATAGAAGTAACTTTTCCTACCTTTACGAACTTAAGCAAAGTCATTGTTCAAAAAGAAACTGTCTATTTTAATATAGATGGAAAACGTGCATCAAGAAAACAATTCCCACCCTAGAATGCCTTTGCCTTCACTGCTGATAAAGTGCAAGGTTTAACATTCGTGGCAGAACCTCCGTATCATAAACTTTGACTACAACTACTTGATATCACCAAGGCCACTCTGAATAAATACAATAAATTAAACGCGATACATGCTAAAGGGTTCCAAAATTTACAATAAATCTTTGTCATACCAGATCACATGTTCTTTTAACTAATAACTTTCATTTAATAAATTATTATTTCCTACTACTTATTAAATTGTTTAAAAATGATATCTTAAACGATTTAATGAATATTTCATATTTAAATCGTCCAAAATCGTCATTTAATAAATATTTCATTAAGAATCGCCTGAAAATAATATTTTTTTAGACGATTTATGGACGATTTAATAATTAATCGTCTAAAAATATTATTTTTAAACGATTTAATAATAATATTTATTCCCTAAAATAATATTTTAAATCATTTAATATTATTATTATTTTTAGAAATTAATATTTTTAAACGATTTACGGATGATTTAATAATTAATCATCTAAAAAATATTATTTTAAAGACTTAATAAAAAATATTATTTTTAGATGATTAAATAAAGATTATTAAATCACCTAATAATATTATTGGACGATTTAATTATATTAGGCTCGCGAGCCCTAAGACTCATGGGGAGCTTTATGCCAGATGTAGGTGGCGGGACAACCTCCTACATGGAGTCTATAAATAAGGAGGAAAGATAACGGTGTAATATATAATTAATTGATGTAATGCACAACGTGAAAAAAAAAATATTAATAAAGTTGTAATTTTCTGGTATAATCACATATCGGATTATGGAAAAAAAATTCTCAAAGAATATCCCGGAAAAAATACACGTCTATTGTTGCATATAAAATATACGCGACATATAGATGCCAGATACATGATGGTTTAATAAAAATACAATATTATTATCTATACTCCGATTTCATTTGTCTGAATGGAATAAAAATAGTTTGAATCTGGATTATATGTAGTTAAACAGTTAAAAAAAATTAATTGGTCGAATATATGTATGGACTAATGCTTATTAATCAATTTTATAAAGTCTCATTTTTCTACGACTACTCCAAAGTGATAGAGCGGAGATTAAAAAAAATGCTTTATATGTAGGATAAATCATATGTTCTTTCCAAAATTCGCATCAATATTCAAGTTTTTCGGTTAGCGCAAGCTTTACAACTCAGAGGTGAGTAGTTATATGCAATTAATGTTCTATCCTTTTCTTTAATCCCGAACCCACCAAATATTATCAATGTACAATATTAAAAAATGTACTCTTTTCATATCTTATCCGATCTAGTTCTACCGTTGCTTCTTCCCATATGCAGTCTGCACCACTTCAGTTGAGAAAAGTTCGCCTTAATCAAGCCAGGGAACATTTACTTGCATTCCAAGAAGAAAAAATAGAAGTGAGCGAGGATATGAAGCCAATCGTTATCGCTGAAAAGTATCTCAAAGCTGAACGAAAGCTCCCTGTTAGCATTCGTTTGATCGATGGAAAAATTATAGCCCACGAATTACCTCTCTCATCACATTGAGTAGTATCGAACAGAATCTCTACTTGATATATGTCGGAATAATCAATTACTTGGCGTAAATAAAGAAGATCTTATTATGGGACCGAATAGTTACTATACAGCTGACCTTACCATTCATGGATCTAACTCGGAGGGGAATGCGTATACTAACATTGGTTGTCGAAGTTAGTAAAAGCGAGACTGTTCCTAGCCTACATATCTTTCAACGGGTTACTTTTCTCCACAGACAACCATTCAAATTTACCTTGCGATCAAAATATTTTCCCAAGCGTCAGGATGGTACAATAGCAATGCTTACACTGCGCTACCTACGTACAAATCAAAATAATATAGTGCCAGATATCATCATATCTTTTGGCACGTCGCCTCTCCATTATAATACAATGGAATTTCTTACGAATACTGTGGGTGTTCCACCTGCTAACATTACTGGCTTCGGTTTTATAGCAACTGCTTGCAATGCCCCTGGTATATTAAATTATCAATTGCATATTCCCGCCATTGAACTTTTCAACGGTTCTCTCGGTGGAGCAATCAATGGGTTTTACTTGGACTTGTGAGAACTAAAAAGTATAATATTAAAGTATTTCCGCTAATGATAGTGCATCATGAAAATACGATCTGTTTAAATAAAAAATAATATTAACATTTGATTAAGTTTATAATGATAAAAATAAGCCAGATTAAAGGGTTAGCTTTATCTTTATCTTTTTAATCGTCACGTTGCTATGACGTATAAAGTTTTTTCATTAGGTCGTATGCATCAAAAATAAATTTTTTTTGTGAAGTATTCATCGATTTTAACAATATATAAAACTTATATTGCAATTCCATTAAATTTTTTCATGATATATAATTTTTAACTCATTACAAAACAATCCAATTCTCTTCGCATTCGAGTTAACTTACATTTGTTTTTTGATAAAATTATTGGGACAAAAAATTCGTTATATTCTTCGTGAAATAAAAGATCCCATGTGCATTACAATTTGTAAAACTGATCACTTTGCAAGAAAATATATTAGTTGCATATATTGCAGAGACACGCTATGTCATTTCTCCGAAATAAAAAATTCTTTATTGATAATACGGAAAAAATACATTATATATACAATAAAAATCATTATATATACAATAAAAATACATGAAATAGAATTATTATTTATTTTTTATTTTTTCCTGCATACAACGTCTTTTGTTTTCGGGATCTCCATATGCTGTTACCCTTGTCTTTTAACAAAACCAATTATTTGTTTTATATTATCCCGTAAATTCTCCTGGTTTCCTCTAATAGCTTTTTTCGTTAGATCTATTTGGTGTTCAGATTTACTTGCGCAGTATAACCCGTCTGACGTAAACATGTTGAAATGTCAATCTACACGCTATGGATTCGATAAAAGTGCACCGTGTCGACTCATTGACATCTGTCATTGATTTTATTTGCGCAAGTCGTAATGAAATTTCTGCAATGCATTGTTTAAGGCAATTACCTATAACAAAAACTTACTTGGATTAAATTATTTTATATTTGTAATATTATCCCCATTAACTTTATATTCGCGTAGTTCTGTAAGACGAAAAAGCTCGTAGTTTTGTTCTTTGAGCTCTTCAGCAAAATCCGCAAGAGAAACTATTCCAAATGAAAATCCAATATTACGATATTCCTCCTTGGTAGTCTTAAGAAAAACACGATCAGCTATTTCCTCCTGCCGAAAAATATCAAAATGCGATTCTTTAAGTTTTAAATCTTTCCTCCGTAAATAATCGATTAGTTCTTCGGTATCATAATCTTTTTATTGTATCCGAATTATTTCTTCTTCACCGGAAAAATATGCTTAAGGGTGATTTATAATCATCAATTAAATTATGTAACATATAAGTTATCCCCTAGCTATTATAAATCTAATATAAATATTTGTTTAACATGATGATCAAAATTGGGACTTGCCCTAATGCTTTTATAAAGGTTTCTCCAGTATTATTATTTCTTTGATTTCAAGTTACCCATATAGGTACCGTTATATTAAAAAATATATTCGTGACTATATAAAGAATTATTTACTACAAAAAGTTTTTAATAAAATTAAGTTACTTTCGGTAAAGAAATAACTATAATGGAAGCCAAAGTTAATGGAAAGATGAACAAGTTGTTTAAACGTAAAGAGAAATCAGTTACGAAAGAAAAAAGTAAAAAAGATAAAGAGGAAAATGAAATTAGTATCATTACTAAAAAAGTGGTAAAATTTTGTAAGCCAAGTAAAAACAAGCGAAAAAATGAAAAGAATGAGGAAGAAGAAATTATGGTAATTATTATAATTTTACACTTTTGAATAATATTAAAATAATTTATTTCAGTATTTTTTATTAATTTATTATGTAATTTATTTATTGTACATTTCTTATAGACTCCGGAAGTTAGTCCACCTAAAGTTGAAACAAAAGAGAAACCATCACAAGTACAAGAAATGCATCATATTATTAACAAATTAAAGGATTTTTTAGATCAAGATAGACAAAATTTACTTGGTCCTGCTAATAATCTAAAATATATTCATAATCAACTATCTCAACTTGAAAAATCTAGAGATAATAACATGCGACAAGCATACATTAACCAATCATTCGAGATAAATACCTTACAAGATTATTATAAACCATTAGAAGAATTTTCCAAAGATTTTGATTCATATCTTTGGGAATCAACAAGAAAGATAATTACTTTTGATTGGCAAGCAAAAACAGCAATTGTTCAATTAGTAGAAATTATTGAAGAAAAGGATGCAGTTGCTTATGAATCAGATTTAACATCAAATACATTAAATGAACGCAAAATCAAATCTTATAAAGAAAAATTTTCGGAAACATTAAAGGATTCCATAATAGCAAAGTTTGGAAATATTTTAAATAAAGAAAGAAGTCATCTAGCAATAATCGACAAATTAGAATTTGTTTATGAGGATTTAAAATCAATAAATAATCAAATTGCACCACAATTTCCTAATATAAGTCGTGAACTTGTATTGACATATCATAAAAATGTATATTCTTTGTTAGATGATATTTTACAAAGTAAGCCAGATGTAGAAATTATATTCAGATTAATTCGATGGGTGCGTCAATATCACATTATAGTTCTTATAGATTTACAAGATTTACAAATGTCAAAAGATTTGTTAAAACCACAACTTTTAGATGGGCGAGAACAAGAATTAGTAGATGAATATATAAATATTATGTGTAGTAAAATTCAAGAATGGAAGCCCAATTTGATAAAGAATAATATTGAGGAATTTATTAAACGAGCACAAAATCCAGATATTATTGATGAAAATCAATTATTTAGACTTACTGAAACATCTATAACAATTAATATGATTAATCAAACAGTTGAAATTGCAATTAATTCTGCACACAATAAAATATTAGTAGAAACAATTAAAGAATGTTGTCAAGTGATGATAGACTTACAACAAGATATGAATAGAACTTTAGAATCAGAATCATTAAAATTTATTGAAAAAATTCCCCCTGATAATTTTATAGAATACGCTTTCGCCTTGGCCAATGATCAACTTCGTTACGCAGATTTTATTGAAGAAATTATAAAAAGAACACAAACAACATCAAAAGAATGTATTTATGAGATAAAAGAGAAAACTTCGCTTATATTAGATGGATGTTTTCGATTAGCTAATATTGCTATTGATACTATAATGAAAATTATATATAATGAAATAAATGAATTTCTTGAATTGCATACATCATCATGGTATAAAGAACCTGGGAAATTTATGAAAGATATCATTGCTAAACTTAGAAGTGACACTGAACACTATAGACCACATTTAAAATTATATTTGTTTGATAAATTTATACGAACAATGACACAATTTTTTGTAATAGCATATATTGAATCAATGATAAAGAATAATACTAAATATAAAATGCCACAATGTCTTGAACTTATGAAACAAGACATTCAAGAAGCACATGAATATTTTGGAATATACCTTAAAGCAACAGAAATAGAACAACAATTTGATCCAATTTTAAAACTACAAGAATTTTTAACTACAAATGGAAAATGGATAGATAAAGATTATAATTCCATAAAAAATGCGTATGGAGATATTCCACGAAAATTACTTAAAAAATTTTTATCAAAACGAAATGATCTTAACAAATTTCAATTAAAGATGCTTGGAAAGACTATAAAAACTAAAGAATTAGAGATGGGAGAATATACAGGAGAACCAACAATATTTAGTAAGGTCACAATTAAACAAGAAGATGAAGATATCAACGCATTACAACAATTTAAAGAAGTGAAAGATGGAATAAAAAATAAATTTCGTCAAGTGAAAAAATTAAATTTTTAAATTTTATTTAATTTTATATTTTAATATATTATGTAATAATTGTATTATATATTTATTTACTTTATTTATAAAATATATAAATTTATTTAACAACAATCTGAATAATGTAAAGAAATATTGCATGACACAACTTTATTCTATCAAAAACTCAAGGATTCACACCAACAGTGTAAAAATCATATTCAACAATTATATTGACAAATACATTGACAAATACATTGACAATTACATTGACAAATACATTGACAATTACATTGACAATTACATTGACAATTACATTGACAATTACATTGACAATTACATTGACAATTACATTGACAAATACATTGACAATTACATTGACAAATACATTGACAATTACATTGACAAATACATTGACAAATACATTGACAAATACATTGACAATTACATTGACAATTACATTGACAAATACATTGACAATTACATTGACAATTACATTTAGTCTATATATACGATCATTCTTTCCTAGAAATAAATAATAAATTTTTAATATATATACATATTGAAACTTCCAAAATGCAATTTATATAATAATATATATTTGAGAAAGTATAAACAATTAAATATAATAATAATAATAATTTGATGAAACTATTTAAATGAATTAAAAATAATGCAAATTTAATAAAAGATAAATTTATCATAAATCTGATAAACTTAATAGAATTTAGAAATAGCTGTGATATCATTGGCATCTACATTGTTAAAAGATAATGAATTTAGAATTTACTTCTAAAATAAGCATAAATAAACCTAAACCATAAATAAGCATTCACTTCTAACAAAACAATGGTAATAATAATGGTATATAATGTTAATATTTATTAAATAAATAAAAAATAATATAAAATAATTGTAATCATTTGAAAACAAAAAAGTACCTTTGATCCGGTAAATGGGACATCATAAAATTTTAATCTCTCGATAAAATATTTTTCAAGACCAGCAGCACACTTCACATATATCGTCCCTTCGGCGTTGTAAAGACGACAATTACTAAATATAGTTTTTATGTCGGAAATATAATCATCGATGGATTTGTAACAATTACTTTCTACTTTCTTTTCAATTTTCGAAAGATCTAAAAAACAATAAATGAGTTAATTAGTGAAATTGTTTATTATTATTGTTGTTGTTATTATTGTTTTATTATTATTTTATTACATAATCATTATTATTAAAATAAAACTTTTAGTAAATTTAACAAAAAGTCGTAGATTACCCATTGGATTTTTAATAACATTATAATAATCGGGCACTTCATCATGACTGACAGCATTTCGAAATGGCCAAGATTTAGGATTTTTCTTAAGTTCGCTGGTAATATTCGCCATAATATTACGTATGGATTTTTTATTACCGCGAGCACTAAAGAATCAAATTTGAATTAAATTATAAAATTGAATTAAATTGTATAAATGGTATAAATGACGAGACTTGTGTATACAAAAGAGAATTAACTAACCGAGCTTCCATTTCTTCATTCCAGCCGGATTCAGCTATAAAAAAAATGTTAATATTATAAAATCCATGATCAAATTAGGAATAATATTTCAACAATTTATATATACAATTAACCCTCTATAAATGCACCCAGGGAATCAGCATTTATAGAGGGAAATTTTATAAGTGTTATTAGTGGACGGGTCTGAAATATAGAGTGCATTTATAGAGGGTTCACTGTATATATTATTTATTTTTGAAGTAACCTACAAATGCCAGGTATTTCTCGGGGGTTGACCGGCTTACCCCCGTTCTTAAAAATATCTAATCCCTGATAACGTGGGGTGTTTTTTCTTCGCTCAGCAATTTTGTCCCTAATTGCCTAAAATAATTAAAATAATAATTAAAATATTAGTAATTAACATAATAATATTTAAAAGAAAAAACAATTACAAATTACACACCTTCCTTTGCCTAGCGAGAGTTTCGTGCAATTTTAAATATTCCACCTTCTCGATCATCGTGCACTGTGATAATAATAATAAAATTTATTTATTTATTAATTAATCAAATTAAGATAAAATTAAGAGGAATATTTATAAATACCTGCATGATTGTTGCTTCATCATAATCTTTAATGAAGCTCATCCATAAAGATCTATCGAGAGTGATATCAGTTGTGAATCCCTGAAACACAAACAATTTATGCATTAATTTATTGAATAAAAATAGAAATGAATTCTAAAAATTTACATTTTTTTTGAAAAATCCCATGGCGTGATTATCAGCATAAGTCATTAAATGTTTAATTCCTTCTTTATCTTTAAGATGATCCTTCAAATGATTCATTAAATGTGAACCATATCCCTAAGAATTATATTATTAAGATTATTATTATTATTAATCTAATAAAATATATAAAGAAATAATCAGGAAATAATACAATATAAAAGATGACTTGAATTACCTTCGCTTGTTCAGTAGAACTAACAACGCAAAATACAATTTCTGCTAATTGATTATCTGGAAATAATCGATAAGTTATCCCACCAACAACTCGATTCCCATCTTTGACAAATGTTAAAGAATAATGACGACTAATATAATCAAATAATAAAATCTTGTTTATTCATCTTTTATATCTAAAGAATATCTTTGTCTATTAACTAATATTTATTTTATTAATAATAATATATATATATATTTCTTTACTTACTTGTCATAGACGAGTCGTGTTATATATTCTGGTGGCATATTAGGCAATTGAATTTTAATTAGATTTTTCAATCCTGTTAGAAGAACAAGGTTTTTTGAACTTTTGCCATCATTGGTTAATATTTCCTTTTTAATAATGCCTTGACGTTCTTCAATCATCGCTGGTTTATCAGGTATTGTAAATTCATCGATTTTAGTTTTACGCGCATTAGGACCATTCTCACGTTCATCATTTAACTTTCGTTTTTTTGAATTGGAGGAATTTTCTCCTACTGCAACGAGTTTTCTAGAATAATCATTATTTTATTAAATTTTTTATTGGAAATTATTGAAATTATAAATATTTTATATTTTATATTAAAATAAATTTATTAAATGAATTTATTATCTAAATTTTATTTACATATAAATTCTATTTTTATATAAAATTTACATTTTACATGTATAACAATTAAAAATAGAATTCATACCTTCTTAAATTTAACAATTCATCATCCTCATAATCAAAATCTAATAATTTATTCTTTGATTCTAAAATTGTATCAATTTCCATTGCTATTTCTAAACGTGCTTTAAATGCTTCATCTGAAGTCAATTGACTCTCGCCATGCAAACTAACCCGATGGTTACACTGACATAAATCTGCTCGATCTTTAATATCTTTTTTATCTTTTTTAGGTTTCCAACCAAGACATGGACATATACTCCCCGAATGAACATCTGCTGCACAAGGAGTATTACGACCAATTTTTAATAATTTTTCGGTCAACGTCAGTGTTTGGATCGATCTTGAAGCAGGTGGGTAATCTATTGAATGCATTTTTCAATAATAGTAATATTTATAACTCTTTCAATGAATACCGCTGAATCTATGAGCTCTAAAAACCATATAAAGAGGATATAATAATATTTGAAACGAAAGCGAGAATCTTTATAAACCTACATATATATATATATATATATAATAAATTTTAAATTTAAAGGAAAAAAAAAACTATATATACTGGAGTCAACTTCTATAATATCGCCCCTATATATCACGCCTTTATTGGTCACAAATCACATGATTTTGATAAATCCATATATATGTCATCATCTTTGGTATGCTATTTGAATAAAGAAAAAATATTTAAATAAGACTAATTGTATGTTAATGTTTTATAAAAACCAAAAGAAAAATTGAATTACTTTTTTTTTTTTTTATTTTGAAAATTTATATAAGTATAGATAAATCTATACATTCCAAAAAATAATAATTCTCACACATCAAATTTCTTAAATAAATACATCATAAAGCTGCAACTTCGTGGCCTGTGACCAGCTTTGTGAAATCCATAAGTGGCCTGTACTAACGTGCTTGGCCTCAAACCTCTGAAACTGACACACAAATACACGGATAAAATGATTATAGTATTCTCATAGAAAAGGTATAAAGGTTTTTTTGATCTATTTTATATTTTTAGTATTAAAAATATTAAAGAGAGAGATTATTATTTTTATATTATTGTTTGTCACAATGAATTTATATTTATCACAATCATCAGGTTACAGTATATTGTAAAGATCTAAAGAGAAAAATGAATAAATACATTTATAACTGACAGGTAACTTTGCATGCGGATACTAAAAGGTAAAGCAAGACGAAAAGTGTGGTGGTATTTATTTGTTTACTTTATATATTAAATATACAGTTTTCTTAAACATTAAGTATTCAATTCATTCTCAAAGTAATAATTAGAATAATACTTTGTTCAAAAATGTATTTTCCGGAATTTTTAGAATTCCAGAATTCTTTATCAATATGTCATTTTTTGATTATTTTCTTCATGTCTATATCCAATATTTATCGTATCACCCAATCATCCAATCATAAATAATCTCTTAAATCAATTAACACATTCTCCAAATAAGGATTGTTTAAACCTAATTTTTGTAATTTTAATAAATTCATTTTTTACACAAATATTTTACTCATTCAAATATGAAAATAAAGGCACGCATAAAGTTTACATTGAAAATATTCCAACCCGAAAGGTTTATTACTTTCCCATGTCGAACTAATAATCATTTAATGTAACACTTAAATATGTTTACCACCTAAAAACACCACTCAACGATTCCATTCTTACCGTGAAACACTCGTTGATTTGTGATTACCTTCCAGCCAAAATTATTTTATGCATAAATTAAACACGAAGCATTATTTTAATTTAAAATTCAAACTTCTTCCTCTTTACTAACGAATCATCTAATCATTCAACATTTCACCAACTATTTTTCTTTACCTACTCCTACATTCCTCTTTCCTCCATCCATAAGTTTTCTTCTCAGCTTTAATTTTATTTTATTTTTTTTTAAAAAAAAAAAAATAAATAAAAGGTAAAAATGTCTTGGCCATTTATGACACTTAAAATTCTTTATCCTCTTCAAGTAATTATCTCATTAGCGATAATTATTCTTCTTAGCGCTTGGGTTACTACCACTGAATCGTACGTTCATGATTATGATGGAAAATCTAATCCAATTCATTTACCTGGAGATCTTTATACGAATTTCGTGCTTGGATCCATATCTATTATTACAGCTATTTCTTTAACCATACCAAACATAACTCGTAGATTTGGATATAGTATTTTTGCATTATCTATGGATATTATGTTAGCACTTTCTTGGTTAATCGTTGCTATATATACAACCGCCAGAGCAACTAATGGATCATTTATAGATTCAAATGTTATAATGAAAATAAATTTTGGTTCTAATTTTGAAGGAAAAGGTGGTGAATGGATTAACAAACGTGCAGTTGCTACTAAATTAGGATGTTCTATATTGGCATTGGAATGGATAACTTTTATTACTTGGACAATTTTGAGTATTATATTATTTCGTGTTCGTTCACGTAGATGGGCAAATAAAAATTCAGAACAAAATAAACGAATTACAATATGTAGCAGTTATAACGATTCATTCGATGAAGATGATGCTAAAATGTTAACAACCCCTAAAATTAAACAAAAGATTGATGATCTTCTTAAAAATCCTGAATCGACAAAACAATCAAATCGAGTTTCCACTATTATGAATAGTAACAACAGCGAAAAGAAACCGATAGTAGAGATGAATTCAAATATTAATAGTTCTACCACAAAAACCTATTCACTTACCAATAGTAGTACTTTTTCTCCTGATTACTACACTATTGCTCTTAATGATATTAATGAGGAAAAGATACAATAATTTATTATCTAATTCATTTTTTATATTTATATTTTTATATTTTTATATTTTTATATTTATATTTTATTTTATATCATTTTTTGTTTATAATTAACTGTAATTTTATAATGTATATGTTTATTGTGAGTTTTTTTTTTTTATTTATTATGAGTGAAGTGACAACTGTTATTTTAGAACAAGAATTCTAATAGAATGAGAAATATTTAGTTTATAAATTATTTAATTTTATATTCTCGGTAAATTCTTTATACATTAGATTCAATTCGTTTAATTCGCGTTTAAATAAATAATAGAATGATTTTATTTCGTGTGAATTCTCTTAGAAGATTATACGATAATTATTTATTGAGAATTAAAATTATTTGAAGCCCTACTTATTAGAAATATTAGAAATTTGCATGAACATTAAGTTTTTAATTCATTTTTTTTTTTTTGAATTTGTTTCATGTTTTTTTTTATTGCATATCATCATTTGTTTCATATTTCTCCTTGTATTCACGTTTTGCATTATTATATGAACAAAATTAATAATAAATATTATTATCCAAAGAAGCAATTAAAGCAAATAAAAGGTTCATTTTGAAATATCAGAAAATTTTGTTTATTTATTTATTTATTGTAGAAAAAAAAAAAGAAAACTTTTTATTTAGACCAGTGAAATAAAAGGAAATAATTATATAACATTGAAACATTAATAAACTTCGAAAAAAATAGAGAAATAAATATTTATATATTTAGTATAATGTTCCAAATTTTGATTAGAATTCTTCAATAAAAAAAAAAATAAAGAATTTTTTTAAAGAATAAAGAAATTAACGAATAAAAAAGATAAAGGTTAAAAGTTTTAATAATTAATTAATATAGGGAAAAGAGTTAAAGTATGATTTTTAATTTCTTTGGTGATAAAGTTTTTTGTTGTTACAAGTTTAATGAAAAAATAATAGTAAAATAGAAGTAAAAATAAAGGATTGACACATACCACTAATAATATATATAAAATAAAATATATGGAAAATTATAAATTAAAAAATGAATAATATACATTATTTTTAGTATGAAAAATATAAATTAAAAAAAATAAAATAAAATAAAAATTCTATATTATAATAAATCCTAATTGAGTTTTATCTTCTTATATAACCTTATGAACGTAAAGGTTAATAATGATGCCTTCAAATTTTGATTAATATACATCTTGAATATTTTGATTTGTTAACGATACTTCATTATTTTTATTTGATTGTTTCTAATAAATAAAATAAATAAAATAAATAAAAATAAAATAAATAAAATAAATAAATAATTTATGATTATTATAAAAATAAAAATTATATAACTCACCAAATAATATTGTTGAATTGAAAAGGAAGTAGAAAATCCTTTATTATCAGTAAATAGATTTGTAGCAATTGCTTTCATCTCTTCTTCACCGTAATAAGTTTTCTCTACATTTGTTTGCGTAATATCATTATCATATTCTTCTCGTTTTCCCTCTTCTCCTTCTCCTTTATGAGAATAAATATCATCATATTTATCTAAATTTCGTGGTTTCGGTAAATCAGGAAATTTAAATAATCTACTTTTATAAATGGCTCCTGGATGACAAATAATAGATCCATTAAAAGATTTTTCTTCTTCTTCTTCTTCTTCTAAAATTCGTAATCTCTCTTTTTCTGCAGAAACAAATTGATTTGCTATATCATGTTTTTGAGATACTCCCATATGCCATCCCCACGACATTAATGTCGTTTCTAATTCTCTAATATTAGGTCTTAATCTTGGGTCAGCATTCCAACATTTTTCCATTAATTCTATATAACATTCAGGAACTTCTGTTATTATTGAAGGTCGTAATCCCTTACAAATATCTTCAGCTAATTGTACATCATGAGATCGTTCATGAAATGGTCTTTTTCCAGTAGATACTTCCCACATTATCATACCAAAACTATAAATATCTGATGCTTGAGTATATTCTTCTCCATATAATACTTCTGGTGCAATATATGGTAAAACTCCATAAACGCTTACATCATCGATAGAACCTTTAATTTGTTTACTTGCTGGTCGATATTGTCCTAAATCTGTTATGTACGTTAAATTTTGTGATCCATTAAAATGTCTTAAAATATTTCCACTATGTAAATTTCTATGAATTAATCTTGCATTATGAATTGTCATTAATCCATTTGCTATATTATAAACTACTCCTAATTTCTTTTCCCAAGTAATATCTTGATTATTTTTTTCAAGATAATGTCTTAAATCGTCATCAACCAATTCTAACACAATTACATAGTCACGTGTCACGGGGTCGCGACTAAATCCATAGCAACGTGGAATATATTTATTATGATGACAACGATGTTGACAAAGCTAAAGAAAATAATAACAAAAAAAAAATTATAAGAATTAAAAAGTGAAATAATATAATAATTAAAATGGATTTTAAAAATATGAATATATTTATTTACCTCTTTCCAAAAATGAGAATCAGCTTTATTTGAATCGTAAATTCTTTTAAGTGCTATTTTTTTTTCTCCTTCACGTATCCAAGTTTTTCTATTATCATCCCAATATATTTTAGGTCCAAGATCCCATGTTGCTTTATATACAACTCCAAAACCACCTTTGCCGATCTCTTTAATCTTTTCAAATTTATCATAAGGTATCCACTCTAAAAACATTAATGGACCCGTAGTATTTATTTGTGTATTTCGAATAAATTGATCTAATTCATTATTTCCACTCGTCCAATTATGAAAATTATCTTTAAATCGGTTTACTTCGCAAGGTTGACACCATCCACGTTGAGTATATTGTTGTTTACAAGTTGGGCAAATTTTTTTGGACGGATTAATTCCATTTATATCTCGGGTTTTCGATTTTTTACTTGAAACGCAACCCATTTTATTATTATTTTTATTGAAAATAAAATATAAATTTGAATATTTTTATAATAGATTAAAGGTAAAAATATTTTTTTTAATTAAAAAAATGAAGGCGGAAAGAAGAAAAAACTCAACGGATTTATTAATAGAATTTTTCTAAGAGGAATAAAGAAATATTACCAGAATATTTAGCTAGACTCTCTTCTATAAGGAATATATTTATATGTATGCAAATCAAATTGAATTTTATACACCTTCTGCATACCACATTAAACTTTAAGTAAAACCTATGCTAATCTGCGGTGAAACGGAGTAAAAAAATTCTCTACCGTTCAATGTCTTGTATCACATTCAGCGCCCAATTACAAGAAAATTTTTCATTCTCTTTCACCCTTTGTTTCGCTGAGATCACGTAGATTTCCGTTTAATTCATTATCTCCTTGTTTTATAGATTAACCGTAAAATAATCAAGAATATTAACTAATAATGAATTGTATAAATGAAGCAACAAATACAATTGATAATGAATCGTAAAATCTTCGTCATTTGGCATGTGATAATCCGTTTTTTTACTTTTACGGAGTTATCTATTATTAAAAAATTACATTTTTTTTATAATATTTCCTTATTAGATTTTAATATATGCAACAATGCTAAAAACAGAAAAAAAAATGGTTAGGCGGACAGAAATTATTCCAATTTCTTATTTTAGCTATTCATTGCATTGCTTTTGCATATTGCATATTTCACAAAGAAAAAAAAAGGTACTTCACCCCTACTATTCAACCCAATTGTAGAAGAATATGGTTATAAATTTCGGTTTTATGCTATTTTCAATTTATCAAAGAACAAAGTTTTTAGCCTTGGTATTTTTAAATTAATTTTCAATTTCTAAACACGGAATAATGTAACACGTGTTCAAAAATAATAACATTTTTCATCATTAATTTTTTCGTGAACTACGAAAAAAGAAACCCAAAAAAAATGAAATCAAAATACAAGCGATATATATTAATATAAACAATATAAAAACTTTCTGAATTTTTCTTTTGCGCTAGTAAATAAAATGTGGTGTCTGGATACAATTCCATGTTAAAAGTAAAGCATCTATATATCGACAGTATTTTTTTTGTCAACAAATGATATCATCAAAAGATTTACGTATAATGAAAAACCTAAAAACATAATAAAACGTATTGTATATTACACTTAACGCGTTTACTTTTTGTTTCTCACGTTTTCCACCTTTACATTATTTTATTATCTAAAAAACCTCTTCTGCATCATTTTAAATACTTGTTTGTCATTTCGTTCTTCATTTTCCCATTTCTACTATAATAAAAACTTATGTTCTTCTGCTCCTCTAAAAAAATACAAATAACCCACACAACTCTTGATTTTTTCTTTTTTTTATTATTTTAATTTGTAAAACTTTAATACCTTATATTTCATTTTTGTAAAAATTTAAATAAAAAGCTAATTCTTCGTCATCCACTCCTGCTATTAAATAAAATCGCAGGTAAATATTTGTTTAAAGGTTTTTTTTTTTTAGATTTTTTTATTATTTTTATCATTCATCCTTCCTTCCCCATTTCCATTATAAATAAAGTCTTCTCTAAATTATACACATAACAAGATTGCAAGTGTTTATTTTTAACCGTCTTCCCCGTTCCTATTATCAAATTCATCCATGTTTCCCGTCTCTAAAATACTCTCATAATCCCGTGATCCTCTTATGTTATTTTTTTTGTTATGCTTTCTCCCTTTCGCAATAAAAACTTTAATAAACAAAATTCCTTGTTTACCACTTTTAATGAGGTGAGGTATATATTTTTCTGGTGGGCTTTGTTTAGAATATTTAATGTATTTGTATTTTATTGTATTTTGAGAAAAAATAAAATATATTATTTTTAAAATCTTTATTTAAATGAAAATTTTTTTAACGAAAGAATATGTATGATAATTGAGTATTTTAAATATTTTCTAATAAAATATGTAAATATTTTCTAATAAAATATGTAAATATTTTCTAATAAAATATGTAAATATTTTCTAACAAAATATGCAAATATTATCTTTAAAATTCGGAAGTTAATGCACAGCATTTTATGATCAGTGTATAAATTCTTGGCAAATTCTGTAGAAGTACGAATATAATTTTCATTAAACAGTTTGGCAGCTTTACAATTTTTTATTGAGATAATTATTTTTTACAAATTTGATCTAAGAATTTTTTTCTGATCTAGAATAAATTTCATGAGAAAATAAGAATTAATTAAAAAATAGAATTATACTTTTATAAATAAAATTAATATATTTAAATATATATATTAAATTTTTGAAGTCTATGTTAATTGTAATAGATTTGATGGTTAGCCAAATAAATATTATCCGACTCACAATATATCATTCACAAGAGCGCAAAAATTGGATTTAAATACGCTACGTACGAGTAACGAAATGTTGCATGGTTAAATGATCACTTTCTTTTTAGTCATCTGTCAAATACCCAAACCTCTTTTTCTTGGTAAGGCCCCAGGTTCTCTTTTACCTGGAATAATTATACGTGTTCCTTTTGATTTTGAAGTTGATTGCTCTTTGGCTTGTGTTTCTTCTTGTTCTCGAGCCATCTTAATTTGCATTTCCATTGTCATTTTGGCCATCTCTGATTTGTTTGCAGCTCGTTTTTCCTATATAATTAAATAAAATAAATAAAATTAAATAAAATTATTATGAATATAAAAGATAAAATATGAAATAGTTAAACCATCTCACCTTTTGTGTGAAGTTTTTCTCTTTGATTGAATAAAACATGGGTCTAAAATAAAATATTTACATATATTAATATTAGTAAATGAAATATAATAACAAATAATAACAAAACAAAAATACATACCCCATTTCCGCTAGCCAATAAGGATCAACAGCAGTCACACACTGCATATATTCTTTGGAAGTCATCACAAGTTCATGATAGACAATGTAATCTGGGGTATAACCCAAACCATACAGTGCACTTGTTGGATGAAGATGACAAGGCATGCCCGTACGACAATTAACGTATTCTCCGATTCCTTTGACTCTTGCAGCTTGGTGGAAATATGCTGAACAAATACATTTTCGGACAACATCCCAATCTGTTCCACAAGATACTATAGCCATCTTTTCGGCTTTCATGATATCCATTAATTGAGAACGAACTTCTTGTGCTTTCCTCATAGCTTTGGAGTGTATGTAATGTTTACTACACCATTCATCACGAAAACTGAACAAATAATAATGATAATAATAATTACTTATTAAGTAAAATAATTAATATAATGAAATATAACTTTATACGCCACTAACTTACCCATGAGATTTCCATTGAGTGTATACATGCAAAAGGGTCAAATGATCACTTTCGGGAACAAAGAACTTTTCTCTGGCTGCATCACTTTCATCCTGTCGTTCCTTTGGTCTATAAAACACAGAGGGAACTGAAAGCATAGAAACGATCGTCTATTATATGCAAAACAAATCGACATTTCGTTACCATCATTATTATTTTATTTAACAAAAAACATTATTCTAATTATTGTTATTATTAGGAAATTAAAGCATACTAGAATTTCTGCCGTACACCCTAACTCTTCTGATACTATCAGCATCTTGGATAATGAAGGATCTAAAGGAAATTCGACCATTCTGCGACCAAGAGGTGTTAATTCACCAGTATTATCTAATGCACCTAAAACCCATAGTTGATACATCGAATTCAAAATATTATCCTAATATAGAATAAAATATGAGTTAATGTATAAGCAGAATAAACAATTAAATTAAAAAATTAAATCGCAAATTATTAATTAATCTTACTTGTGGCGGAGGGTCCATGAAATCAAAATCTAACAAATTCTTTACTCCTAAAGACTTCAACAGAAGTACAACATTTGCAAGATTCGTACGTTGAATTTCGGGTATAGTATTCATAAACATTTCGTGATGGTAGGCTTGTTCAGTATATAGTCGATAACATGTTCCTGCACCTGTACGCCCGGCGCGACCAGATCTTTGGTTCGCATTAGCTTGGCTAATTGGCGTAATTTGCAAGGAGTCCATACCAATTTTAGGATTAAAAACTTTAAGTTTATTATATCCAGTATCAACAACATACATAATACCATCGACTATTAAATAAGAAAAAAAAATAATTCGCCAGAAATTTTAGCAAAAAAACAGGAAAAATTCCAACAAAAAAAAATAATAATAAATTATGGATACCAGTTAATGAGGTCTCTGCAATATTTGTGGCAACAATCACTTTTCTAGCATTATCAGGAGCTTTTTCAAAAATTCTGGCTTGTAAATCAGCGGGTAATTGAGAGTAGATTGGAAGAATCGCTAGCTCTGGCGGATTATCCAATTGTGATAAGCGTTCTAAATAATATTAAGATAAAAGTTTTAGAGATATTTATAAAATAGAATATAAAATAAAACATTACAATGTATTCGTTACCTGCTATCACTTTGCATGTTATTTCGATATCTTCCTGACCAGTCATAAAAACCAAAATATCGCCTGCTGGATGTCCGAGATGGATTGCCAAAACTTGTTTTACTGCACTATCTACATAATCTTCACAGGCACTCTTACTAAACATTACTTCTACTGGAAAAGTACGTCCAGGTATTGTAAAAGTTGGACAATTTCCAAAGAATGCAGAAAACTAATTAAAAAAAAAAATAATAAAATTTAATAATTTATTATAACTCAATAAGAAATATATTCAAAATTGACGATAATTTATAAACTTGCCTTCTCTGCATTCATGGTCGCTGATGTAACAATCAACCTTATGTCGCGTCTTTGAGATAGAACTATAAATAACAAACAATATTACAATGCTTGAAAATACATTGCATATATATACCCATGAAAATTTAATTAAAAATCAATAATATTACCTTGCCTTAACAATCCCATTAAAACATCTGTTTGTAAAGAACGTTCGTGAGCTTCATCCATGATAATAACACTGTAATGATCCAAGTCAGGTTCCTTAAGCGATTCACGAAGCATTACACCATCTGTCATATCTGTAAAGGAATGAAATACATCAACATCTCATTATTAACGAAAGATGATAAGAGATTAAATTAACTAAATGCTCACATTTAATGACAGTGTTTTCCGAAGTACAATCTTCAAAACGAATGGCATATCCAACGGTAGTTCCAAGTTTACACTAAATGCAAAAAAAAATCCATAAAATAAATGTTTCATAAATGAATTGAACATAAACTAAAATTAAATACGCACGTCCATTTCTTCACTAACACGCTTTGCAACAGACATAGCTGCAACACGGCGAGGCTGTGTACAACCTATTATTCCATATTTACTATATCCATCTTCGTGAAGATATTGAGTTAATTGGGTAGTTTTACCTGAACCTGTTTCACCGACGACGACGACAACTGTAAATTACAATATTTTAATACTTTATTTGGTTTTAAACTTTGTAAAAAAAAAAAATGTTTGATAAAAAATATTGTGAAAATACCTTGATTATCTCTTATTATTCTTAACAATTCATCTTTAACTGCAAAAGCAGGTAAATATTCTCTTTGCTCACGAATAGTCTTAGATTTTGAAAAGGCACTAACTGCTTCGGAAGTTTTTAAATGAGATGCAAATTGGGATTCTCCCTTTGGGTTCTCAATATCACCCGATTCATTAACGCTAGGTGCTATATAAATATAATTCAAAATTATAAATATGTATATATACAAAAGGCAAATTTAATCACTGTTCAAAATCTTTAAAATTTTATTTACCTGCTGAAGTCTCATCTGAAGTTGAAGTTTTGACACCTAACAGATTGCCAAGAGCTGTGCCTGCTACTTCAGTAACATCTTTAGCAGCCTATTAAAATAATTCGTAGAACAATTATTGTAATATCCACCTTAATTGATTTACTAAATGAACAAAATGTAACCTAAAATACCTTTTGACGCTCTAATTGTTCTCTCTTTTCTTTTACTAACTGACTACCTTTTCTTGAGAACACAGATAAATCTGACGTTGGATCCTTAACAGATTGAACGGCCTCCAATTGTTTAGTGAATACCATACGACCGTCAAGAAATGGTGGCTTAACATCATGTACTAATAAATGTACTCTTGACTAACAAATGATGAAATAATATGTAAGTTTTATAACAATAGGTTTGAAAATATCGATATTTTTATAATATTTACCTCTGAATCATCCTCAAAATCCAAATCCATCTCCCTTCTTTGGACTACACCTGATGTTAACATACGATTAGTTTCCCAGAGTTCATTGTCTTTATTATATTGTTCTTGCCTAGCTGATAATTTTTTCTAAATTCAATAAGATGGAGCGAAGTCAAATTAAAAAAACAATGAATTAAATAATCATTGGAAAAATAAAAATGAAGATTACATAGATCACATACAAGTTGCCTCTGAGCAAGTTCCTCCTCCTTTTTATGTACGAAGTCTGAATAATCTGCGAAAGGATTATGTGTATCATCCATAGCCTAAAAAGGTAATTACTAAAGTTAAAATTTGAACAAGAATCTTAGCTAATAAAGAATGTAACATATAATATAACTTACACCGGATGATTCTTCGATAGTATACCACTCTCGATCTAATAGACGTTGCTGTTCCTCCCAAAGTTGTCTTTCTTCATTATTGATTTCGTCATTGTCTTGATTATAGGCGTATTCCATCTCATCATAATCAAACGATACAAGTCGTGGAGTGGGAAAGTCTCTTTGATAATCTAAATATTATTTAACAAGAAAAAAAGTTATAAAATTTGAAATCGGAATAAACACATTCATGATAGGAAAATAAGATTAGGCACCTTTTCGTGAAGTTAATCCTGCTCCAGAAAAAATTGGGGTGCTTGACCTTGTTGGAGTGGAATCCCAATCACTTCTGCTTATCCTCGATGAATTTAGCGAAGACGAACTTCTGCTTGAATCATCTCTCCTGGATGATCGAAACGGTGAATTTCGTCCACTTGTAACTGACGGTGATCTTCTACTTGTAACTGACGGTGATCTTCTGCCTGTAACTGACGGTGATCTTCTGCCTGTAACTGACGGTGATCTTCTACTTGTAACTGACGGTGATCTTCTACTTGAATCATCGCGTCTATATTTTACTGAAGGAGAGCGTCGCCTTGAATGATCTTTAAAAAAAAGAAAGAAGCTTGAGTCCGGAAATTTCAAATTAACACAATAAAAATATCTCTTTCATTATCAATCCTCCTTACCATAATCCCTCTCCTTATCTCTTTGGTCTCCATAATCTTTATCATCTGAACTTTTATAAAAGTCTCTGGCTATATTTTCACGATTAATAAAAAAAGCAAAAAATTATTCATTAATATTATAAAGAAAACTGAGCAAAACTCAATATTTCATTACTCATACATCTATTTCTCTGCCTTTCTTGTTTATGCTCTGCCGATCTTACACGAGATTCTTCGGAAATATGTGATGTTCCATCGGTCACCCTTCGATAAGATTTTTTATTTGATGATGACCCTATGGATATAATAATAATAATTCAGTGATTTGATAAATTGAAAAAAATTATCCAGTTGGAAAATAATAAAATAAACAAAAAGCAGTTAAATGTACCGTTTAATTTGCTGTTGTTCAACCCTGAATCATTCTCCGAAGAATCCTCTGCATCCCAATCTGATGATAATCCTATATTAATCCGTTTTGATGGGTAGGAAGGTTCTTCTTGGGCCTTTCTAGAGGCCTTAACAGCAGCAGAACGTTTCTTTTCTTCGGCAATCTTATCTAATCCTAAAAGTGATGTTCTTGGCTCCGGAGTTTTGAATACATGACGATTCTAAATAAGCAAACTATTAGTGAATTGGTTCAAAGATAATTACACATAAGTAAATCAAAGAATCATATATGTACTTCGGAAGTCGCTAATTTTCCGGGTCGAGTTAAGCCACCAACTGAAGGGCTATCCAAAGTCAGTACTTCTCCAATTACCGTAGAAACATTTAAAGTAATAGAAGAGGAATCGGTATTTTGAGAATTTGAATCAATAGAATCTTCTTTTACCCATTTTTTGATCTTTGTATATAAATCAGCCAGAAATTCTTCTTGAAATCTTCCAAAACCTTGACAGGCTGATTACCATCAAATGAAGTAAAATAGATTAATGCTATTTCGGTTGAAATTTAAAATTTTTTTAAAAAAAAAAACTGAATAATACCTTTAATGAAAGTGCCTACATTTTTATGAACTTTAGCAACCTGTATTACTCTTTGGGCTAAAAGATCATTAGGATTTAATAAATTTAAGGCTCGTGACAGTTCAATGGCGATTTGATGAGTAAAATCGGTTTCGTTGATAGTAGACATTTTACAAAGTTCTTAAGTAACCAGATTTTTATAATCGAAAAAATTTTGGTAATTATAATGTTAGTCATGTGATCCTGGAAATTTTTTTCATGTGATATTATAAAAATTGTTCGATGTTTTTTCTTTAATACAAAAGATCCCGATTTTTAAAGGTTTAATATTCATTTCATACAATCTCGATTGGTTTAATAATCGATTGTTGTTCTCTACTTATAAAGAATTCTTATATTTATGATATTATTCCTATAATTTAATTTTTAAATTTTGAATTTTTTTTGTCATTTATAAATAGAAATTAGTTCAATTTGAGTTATTTAATAATAATAAAAAATTACTAGAAATTATTTCCAATTTATTATTATTTTTTTTTAACAATAAAACAATCAAAATATATTAAATATGTACAAAGAAATTAAGTATTATTAGGCATTAACTTAATATCTCATACTTTCTAGGTATGATATTTGAATATTATTCCAATTGATCAACATTAAAAAATTATTACAACTGAATCAACTTTTCATCTTGCAAATCCAATTAATATTTCTACAATTTTATCTAATATATATTATTTATCCATGTTACTAACTGAAGTCAAAGTAGATATAAAAGGTTCTCCATTTTTAAAATAAAAGAATTTTAAATTTACATTCACAAGGAAACCTTATAATTATTTAGGAATTCTATAAGTGAAAAAGAGACGTGAATTCCAGTTAGCTTATAGAAGAAAATTAATATAGGTTTCTTTAAAGATATTAAAAGAAAAAAAATTATAATTAAAAGATCCTAAAGATTATATTTCTACATATTGATCAAAAATTTAATGAGAATCAAGAAATGATGATATAAGCAATGCACCAATTGACCGCCTTTTCTGAATTTTGTTTTTGTGGATAATACTGAATGATCAATTCATTGGTTTGAATTTATCTTTATATCTAAACTCAAATTTTTTCAATTTATATATATTTGTGTTTGTTTAGATTCACCGTCACCCAAGAAAAACTTTATATAAAACTTAAAAATTTTTTTTTTAGATAAATTCGGGAAATGATTATCCATTTTTTCCATTCAAATAATAGAAATTCCGTGGTGAAACTTGTTTTTTAAAGTTTTGATTTCCTCTATAACCTGAAACTATAAAAAGAAGGCGCCACATCATTTCAATTTATATAAATTTGTAAACAATATTATTAACTTAAAACGAAAAAGGGATTAGAAATATTTATTGTTTGTAAGACAATAAAAAAAAAAAGAAACACCACTAATTTCAGACTAAGTATAGTATTGAAATTGAAAATAATATTTTACATTTTTAACACACGAGAAATTTCAAAAAAAAACGTTGAAAATTCGTTTATCAAAAAAAAAAAATATAATCACATAATTGGAGGGGAAATTCTCATCCCTGTAATATATTTTATTATATATTTATGTTTACATTCTATTATCACCCCCTCAGCACTCTATTTTTATTATACATATTTCCCCAATTCAAACTAGCTATACTCATATAAATGAATTTTAGTAACATACGTACGTGTGTGAATCAAAATTAGTTTAATTAGGATATTGCATGTATTATTACACGAGGGAGAAGTTTTGATTTGTTTTATCAACATTCCGCGCGCATATTTTTTTTTTTTTGCAAAAAAAAAAATTACGAAAGTCATGTCGTTTTTAAGTAGTTACACAATGCATTAAAAAATTTTTTTTTGCGTTAATGTTTAATAACAATTAACCAAAAAAACCCAAAATGATAACGGTAAAGTCATGTTATTCTTAAACAATAAGATATTTTTCAATAAGGCACAAGTACGAAGATTCGATCCTTTTCCGTAATATTTTTCAATAAGATATTTTTTATCATTGTTTTCTTTTTGTTTGAATATTGAGATGAGACCATAAAGAACTCACAAATAATTATCTAATTACGCGAAATTTGTTAACAACTATGCAATTCGGAAAATATGATAACGTTGTTGTCGGCGATTTATTCCTTTTTTTTATTAAAGAAATGAAAAAAAAAAAGATGAAAAAAAAGTATAACAATGAACCTCCTTGACTCAAAAGTATTATTGTATTAATTGATTGATTATCAATGAGAAGAAAATCCACCACCAAATTTTATGTTAAAAAGAAAAAGACATTTGATTTAAAAAAAAAAAGGAGAAAGAAAATAATTGCAAATGAATGTATAATATGATTCAGTCTTAAAAAGTTGAAAAAAATTATTAGAATTATAATCCCAAAAGGTCGAGGGCGCACCGACCGGCAACGCAAGTTGATGCCTGTTAATATTTGTGGAAATTTGATCATCTTTCATAAATAATATATATTGACACAAGACTTGCATATTCAGACATAATTTTCCTTATTTTATTTTAAAAAAAGAAAAAAGAATTAATGATGATGTTCTCTTTGATCATAATAAATTCATTGCCCCTTACAAAGAAATTTTAGCAAAAAACAATAACAATATATATACTTGTCTTTATTTATTCGGGCAAATTCTTTGTTCAGTTTCCTTAACTGGAATATTTCAGGTTTCTTTTATGGTGATACAACCAATCTTAAAGATAGACAGATAAAAAGGTTAGATCTGGTGATCTGGAATTTTTTTTTTCTTTCCTTTCTGCTGCTGCTTTTGACAATAAAAAGTGCATGCAGGATATTAAATTATTTTTCATAAATCAAAGTGTTGCACACACTATATACAAATATACCGAACATATCAGTCTGTTTTTCAAATAATACTTACTTTAAATTAGTGTAAATAGTATATAATAAAGACTATAAATTTTGTGTATATATATTTATGTTCTTTTGTCTCGCTCGTTTGATTTCTTATATTTCTCTTATGCTACTTTTCGGGAATTTCATTCTGTATTTTTATTTACCCTATTGTTAAAACGTGGAAAAGTCAAAGGTCATTGACAACCATAAAATAACTAAAATAACCTGATTAAGTGTAGCCAATAACTCGGATTCGGTCCTAACCCAAAGAATTGGTAGGTTTAACTTTAAAAAAAATAAAGTTTTATTGGTCCAAATTTTTTTTAAATTATTGATGAGCTCAATCACCTTATCAACTTTCGTTTCTTGAATATATCAAATCATACGATTATAAAAACAAATACAGAAATATGGAAAAGCCTAAGTTAGTATTTTTATTTTGAAGTTTACCGATTTTTTTTAAAAAAAAAGGAACGCCACTTACTTTTATACTTATAGATACTTGTGCAAGAACTCTCGGTACGAACCTAACATAATGTCACCTTCCGGTCCAAACATACAACAATACAGGTTAATACCTTTCTATTTCATTGAAAAAATTCCACAAAACCCATAAATAATATTAAATTTTACTACTATAGACAAATAACGTATGTTGGTGGAATAACAATTATTGCATTGTTCTCAATGTGGTTTTGTATTCAACCAACATTTGAATACGGAATTTTGAAGAATCCCTCAAAGAGAAGTGGATTCTTTATGATTCTACGCGCAAAACTTACCAGTGTACTACAAATCCTAAAAGCAAAAAAAAATGATGTGGAATTTAACGTTAATGATCTACAAAAGGTAAAATTTAGCCTATATTGTGGATCAAAGCAAGATAAAGGATTAAGGATTTTGCTTTATGAAAAAAATGACAAACAACCACCCATATTTCGAGAAAACAAAAAATCTAATTCGATGAAGGTAGAAAGTAACAAACCACGCAATATTCAAACTTGTGTAGGGACGCCTAAAGTTACAAATACTGTTAACTCTAAGAACAATAATACCTTAAATAATAATGCTGATTTGCAAGTTCCTAGCCAAAAATGTGAAAATGTAAATAAGTACTCCAATGAAAATTCACAATGGTTTTCTAATCCAAAAACCAAAAACATAAGCACTTTGAAGCGAAATTACACGAAAAATAATGTAAATACGAACACTAAATATAATAGGAATGTTACTCATAACCGGTTTTATGAACGTAACTCGGAAAGATGTTCAAATGAATATAAACTTACGAAAATAAAAAGCAAATCGTCTAACGTAAAAGATATTGATGAAAGCCAATCATCTAACATAAAAGACATTGATGACTTACAAAGAAGGATTCATAATGTTCTTTGTAAAATAAAGTCGCATAGTTATAAATGTGAGTATTTTTTTTTTTATTTTTTTTATAAATTTAAACCTTTTTCTAATTTAATCAAGTACCAATACGTTATAATCATTATTCTTTTTCATTTTTAGACAAACCAGAATCCAAAGAAAATATAGATATTTTAAGTTCTCTTGAGAAAATCGAAAAAAGTCGCTATATTCGGGATTCAAATGTCATTTCGTGTCTAAAAAGACAACTAAAAGCGGAAGTGAATTTTAAAAAAGAAATTCAAACCATCAAAAATTATTTAGATGATGACGTAATTCAAAGCCATAATGAAGAAAATGATCCCACCGGAAAAGTTATTCCTGATGAGACATTTAATTCGAAAACTGACTCAACTTATTCTTCTCTAGAGATTGATATTGAAAGTGCAACACAATTTCGGATTTTAAGAAATCTTTACATTCAAGAACTTTTGAAAATAAAAAAAAATGCTGAAAAGGAAACAATGAACAACATAAACATTACGTTAGATATTTTGAAATTGCAGTCTAAATCAATAGTCAAATGCAAAGGGAAGATGAGATTATCAATTCAAAAAGCTAATGATAATTTTGACAAAGCAATTAATAAAATGGAGTATCTCCAGGGGTGGCATAATAGCATGGTGGAGAGACTTGAAGAACTTGAAGATATGGTTGATAATGTAAATTATAAAATTAATCAAATTTAAACATTTATAGGTTTTCTTTATATGTGTAAATAATGATTAAATCTAGGTTGTTTCATTACTGGAATTTTCGTGCTAAAGTTCACCAATCAATCATACATACAGTAAATCTTTTTAAAATATTTTCATCATTACTACTCTGTGAGTTGTCATGGTTGTATATACACTTTCAAATTTTTATTAAAATATAACTATGTAAGATTATAACAGGAGAGAAAATTACAGAACTATATATATTGCATTCTTTTCCATTTTTCATTTTATATTTAAACATGTATATAGATCCAGGAGATTTACAATAAAAAGTACATGTACATACAAGAGAATTTACTTCAATAACAAAGTTGAAAATGCAAACTGGTCTTTGCAATAGTGACATTTTAATTTATTTCACAAGATTCTAAAAATGAAAATGATTGAATTAAAGATGTAATTATTATTATTATTATTATTAGATTAATTTTAATGATGACTTCTCAAAGTTCAGGTTATTAAAGAAATTCAATTGCATACAAATAATTTTTTTTTTTTTTTGATTTGATATCTTTATGTACAATTATTTCCGAACAAAATATAAGAAACTCTCAACTTAAAATTTTGAATGCGTGTGTTAAGGGTAGGTAATTGTTCAATACATTGTAAAAATATAACAAATAATTGTAAAAATATATTTTAAGTTGAAAGCGAAGTTCTATATTTATATTTTAAGAATTTATATTTAAAATTTGATAAGGACTCTTTAAATTTCTTTTATCGAAAGACAAAACCATAAAGATTCTCCGAATTATAAATAATAAATATTAAAATAAAAATATATTTTGTTTAGATTAAAAGATTTTTAATATTGTATTTTCAATTTTATTAAAATTTTTTTGTAAATTACTTTATTAAATAAAATAAAGTTTAATGAATATTATAAAAATTAACTGTATAATACCATATTTATAGTAAATATAATTAAAATGAATAAATAACAATAAGAACAATAAACATTTCAAATTTCTATAAAAACAGTTTTTATAATCTAAACGATAAAGAAATATTTAATTATATTTTGTTTTTAAGCTACTACTTTATATTATTAATTATTTCTTTAATAAATCCTTGGTCCTCATTTTCCTTGCTTTATCTTTCATAAAAGTATTTTCCGATCATGTGTTGACTCTTAATAATATCACAGCTTTGTTATACCATTCTTTCGATCCTTATTAATTTCTTCAACATTTGCATAGCATAGCAAAATCCAAAATGACACTATGTCACCTATACCTTTTTATAATAATGACCACCAGTATATATTGCAATAACATTTTCAGCAAAGCAGATTTCATAAGCCATTGAAATATTTTAGCTTTATCCTATTCTATTTATAAAAATAATTCAAATTCTTTTTTTTTACATCTTTCACAACCCCAATAACTATATATGCTATTTAATTTAAAGCTAAAAGGTTCCCTTCATCAATCTAAAATGACTTTTTCATATCCATATCTTTTTCAACATTAAACCTTTAAAATGCATATCTGCAAGATAGATTAATCCAATTTCTTTATAAATGTTTTGAAATTCCATTAATAAGTAGGTATTTTTCATATAAAATTATTTCATTAGAAGTTAAATTAAAGAATTTAAAATGCCATTTGGTTATCAACAATAATTCCAATGCATAAAAAAAAATCCTATTAAGCTTTGTATACAAGTCAAGTAATAAGATGGATGGATGTCTAATCATTTCAAATAGAACTTCCACTGGATTTTTGTTACGATTTTTTAATATAGGTCCTGATCAAAATTGGATGCAAGTTTGTGAGCTGCTTTTTTTACAGAATCGATAATGAATTCAAATAATTCCTGAACAAACACCCACCTTAACTTCAGTTGAAAGATGATCAGGTTTAATTTCATGTTTTGCACTTTGCCTTAATAAAGAATAATTTTATAATTAATAATTGTTTTCAAGAGATTTAAAAGCATATAAAGTATAACTTATAACTTAAAAATTTATATTTTTCAATTTAACAGAAATAACTTCATCTGAGGGTACATCTGATAAGTTTCAGTTTTTACATTTATATCCGAAATAATGATTTCTAACCACTTGAGAAATATCAGGTCTTGAATTTCAATAATTTAATACATAAACAATATGAATTAATTATCATAAATTTATACCAGTATACTGTATATTTAAGAGGATTCTGAATATACTGAATTGGCAAGCTATTCCAAAGTAATTTAGTTTAATGTTCCTATTATGAACAAGAATATTTCAGAGTTCTATAAAATAATTATATTAGGGTTTGATTCATTTGCAAACGTAAATAAAAATATTTGAAAAATAATCACCAATTTTCCATGAATAATATTATTAAATGTAAGTATAGCAATTTGTTTTGCAAGATTTAATTTTACATTCATTTTTTGAAAATTAGTTTACAAAGAGAATTCATATTATCATATTCAATAATAATCATGTAATTATTGGCATTCTCTATAAAAATAAAATAAAACTAATTGTCTGTTCTTATTAAATGAAAATTTAAATATTTTATATTTTTACTTTAGAATAAAATTTTTATCTTGCTTAGTAATACTGTAGAATTTAAGAATCCTCACGTCTTTAAACCAAATTTAATTCATTTATTAAATTGTCTGATACAAGTTTATCATTTAAAGAAATACATTTAAAAGCAACAGCTTTTTTGAGAAATTTTAAAGTGGTTTTATAACTATTTCCATTAGATAATTCTATATTCTAAAATTCGGAGTATTTTTCTTTTTGTAAAATATCTTCAACAATCGATTCATGTTCATTTTCTTGAGACATGATTAATAATTCATAAATTACTAACAGCTCGTTTGATAAATGAATATGCAAATTTATCAAATTTATAAAATTATTTCATTTCTGTTATCGCTTTGATCAATAGAAAATTCTTTTAGAACAATTATCTTTATTGCAATGATGATGAAAATGGCAAGGTTGTACAACGCAACAAATAAAAAATACAGCTACACTATTTTTTAATAAATCAATGACATGATATATAAATTTACTCATATATACTCAACTAACTCTTGGAAAGTAAAGTCAAGAAGTCCATAGCATTAAATCCATCTGTTTAACTCACCAAAAAGAAACCAAATCCATAAGATTATCGATTTCAAGATATTAAAGAGATAATGAAAGGTGTCTCTCTATTAATATTATCTGAGGACCTTGAAAACTTGAAAAATTTTCAGTTCTAATATTTCATTAATTAATATTGTATTGTTACATTGAATTTATAATTATACTAACTATGATAAAAATAATAGATAATATTATAAATATAATAATTTTAATAAATCAATTAAATCTTCAACTATGTTAAATTTAGAGTTACCAACAATGTAAAATATATTATGGTTCTTTAATATGCTAAAGGTGAAAATCTTAAGAAGCCAATTATCTTAATTTTAAAGATTTTAATTTTTAGATAATTGTCATATAGTTCCTCTAGAAGACATTATTGTCTAGAGTGTAGTGTAGGACAATATACTCATAATACTGATTTGAATTGATAATAATTCTGCTTACTAAGTAAAAAGATAATGATTAATGATAATGATTCTGGATGAAGATGATGATCATGTGATTCTGATATCTCATTGGCTCCATACTTACAATGAAATAGTACTTAATATTACACATTATAATTTAATATAGTGATCATTATTAATTACTAATAAAAACTGAAGCTATATATATTTTACTATGTAATATAGTATGTACACTCTAAAGATATCAAATAATATATAACTACTGAAATTTCATATGCATATGTTACATGGTATAAAACATAAATCCATGCATGTGATTGGTTAATATCATAATATAACTGAAATATCAAAAATCTTTTTTTTTGATAGATTATCTTTGTGTATATGAGATAAGGTATTTATTATACTTTTATATAAGTATGAGATGCTATTATAACTTTATTTTTATTTTTTTTATGATATCAAAAATAAAAAAATGGATTAGACAAAGTAAAGAGGCTGTCAAGAAATGTTAGAATAGGATTTATGATGATACCAAGTCTGGTGATAATAGAACATGTATTGATATTTTGTAAATAAATAGTAAAAGTAAACCTATTCAAGATAATAAATTTGTGACAAAATTTTAAAGACTAAAATTGAAAATATTTGAAATACTTATCAAAAATTTCAAGAAATCAGATGTATAAAAATAAAAGGATAAAAATTAACTTATACAGATCTTGACTCATTAACTTTACAAAATAAAAGAACAGCATTGAAGAAGGTTAAATCTGAATTTAAAAAAATTACCAACTGGTTTTTGGCCAATAGTAATAATGATAAATTCTTCTGAATTAAATCTCAGAACAAGCTTCAGAATAAATTTCAGAATAAATGTAACGAATCTACTAATTTGTTATAGAAAATAAATATCAACAAATATTTATTAGTGAAGTTTGTAATTTATAATTAAATTATTTTACAAGACTTACTTGTATCTTTATTATTCATATATTATATTTACATAAAAATACATAATTAGTATTACATAATATAAATATATAATAAATAATATCTTAAGTTTTACAAGACCAATTCAGATAGTTACATATAATAATATAATAAATAAAATAAAATAAAAGAAATAAAATAAAATAGAAATGAAATAATTAACACATGAGATTATCACATTGTAAATCTAAAGCTAATCTTATATACTATTATTCATTATCAGAATAGAAAGATAAAAATAAAAAGAAATAAAGAAATAAAATAAAATAAAATAAGTGTAAACTACGTAAAATATTGTGTAAAGGATGTAACAATAAAAACTATTACAATGAACTTTGAAACAAGCTTCAAGAAAAACTTCAAGACAAACTTCAGAATAAACTTTGAAACAAGTTTCAAGACAAATTTCTAGATGAACTTTCATCTAATGAATTGATCAATTCTAGTAATAAATCTTCTTATAATAA